GGCCACAGGGGTGCAAAGCTTAGGAATGGCTCCACTAGTCAGCAATCTTTGTCAGTGTTGTGTAATGCTGGTATGTTTTTGTGGGTCCCTAACAGCCCGGGCTCTCTTATTTGCTGCTGGTTTCTGGCTGCCAGTGAGTCACTCCTGAGTGTGTGTATGTATGTGTTTAGGGTGTGAGCTGCCCTTTGCTCACTCCCATTTATTTCTCTACCTCTCACCTGTCTTGGGGAAATAATTTGGCTGCGAATGGACGCTCCTTCGGTGGTGGGGGTGTTGGGCTGGGGATTAAACCTCTTTCTCCCCAAAGTTTACAGCACCCTGAACTTCTAAAGTCTCCTTTTTGAGAAAAAAACAGCAACCTTAATGCTTCCTGCCTCTTTACCACATAAAAGGATTTCCAGAATAAAATCGACCTGGAAACTCAGCTCAAACTCATTTACACGACTCTAAAGACAGAAAAAAACCCAAGGAAGATTGATTCAAAAGGACTAGCAGCTTGAGGATCTGTTTAGGTTTTCAGCTCGGGCTATCCCTCCCCCCCCCAGCTTACTTTTGCATTCCTGCCTTCTCTGTGTGCAGCCTGGACCAGGATGTAGCCAAAAGATGACATTCAAACAAAGTGAGTTGTGTGACATACACACACACACACACACACACAGAGAGAGCTTTGTCGCTTTTTCCAGCTCTGGTCGATCTGGACAGGTGTGGCTGGAGACAGCTCAGCCCAGCCAAAGGTTAGTCTTTGCTGTATAAAAAGTGTGTGCATGAGAGAGAGAGAGAAAGAGAGACACAAACACACACACACACACACACACACACACACCGGTGTGACCACACTGGGTTAAAAGGCTACCTGGGAGAGGCCCCACCCAGAGGGAGGAGGGTGCCCTTTGCCAGGCCTGTGGCCTGTGGTGGGGCAACTCCAGACTGGTGTTTGTCCAACCTGCAAAGGAGAAGGAGAAAGATGACTCTGGAAGAGGTAGACTCAACACTCTGCTTTTCCTCCCGGTGCCTTTTTTATTTTATTTCTCCAGTTCTTCTCTACTTTTTTTTTGTCTCTTTCTGTTTTTCCCTTCCTTTCTCTTTTCTTTCTTTCTTTGTTTGTTTCTTTCTTTCTTTCTTTCTTTCTTTCTTTCTTTCTTTCTCTTTCTTTCTTTCTTTCCTTTCTTTCTTTCTTTCTTTCTGACTTTCTCTACTCCTTCCTCTCTGTCTCCTACTCCTTCCTTCTTCTCTCCTTCCTTCTTCCTTCCTCCATTTTATCCCTTCCCTCTCTCCCTCTCTTCCTCCCTCCCTCCTCTCCCTTCCTTCCTTATTACTATCTTTCTTCCTTCCCTCCCTCCATTTTATCCCCTCCCTCCCTCCATTTTATCCCTCCCTCCCTCCCTCCCTTCCTTTTTCCCTCCCTCCTTCCATACCTTCTTCCCTCCCTCTCTCTCTTTCTTTTTTTCTCTTCCTTCCTTCCTTCCTTCCTTCCTTCTTTCTTTTCTTTCCTTCCTTCCTTCCTTCCTTCTTTCTTTTCTTCTTTCTTTCTTTCTTCGATAACAAAAATTACATTCTTGTGCTCTTTCAATGTTGAGATATTCACTTTTTCTAAACATTGTTGGTCTAATAACTAAACTTGGATATTTTTTGTGGCTGGGTTAAGGAAGGCATTCATACAAAGGATTTTGAGGTTTGTTGTGCTTCACGAACGTACCGAACATTAAAAAAAAGTGCTTTTTGCCAGTTAAGTTTGTTTAGTGGGTATATTTGAATAGGAAAAGTCATTGCCATTTCTTTGCGTTGCAACTGAAGGTGTCAAAGGCCTACTTTTTTTTTCTTTATCTCCCTGACAGCTGAGACATCAGTCTGATATTTCCCCCCTTTTACAGTACTCAAAGTCATACTTTTTTTGCCACCTTGAGGACTAGAAACCTGATGGCTGGATACGGGAGGCATTTTGGGTTTTTTTTTCAAAGCTGATGTCTAGAAACTTGGCCTACATGCACCACTGTGTGTTTGGGTGTGATTTCCTTAAAGAAGACTAAAATTTTCTTTTCTGCCCTCTTTAATGCAATAGCAGATAACATTAGAAGGATTTCTCCTATTTCAAATTGTTTCATCTTCCTTCCTTCCTTCCTTCCTTCCTTCCTTCCTTCCTTCCTTCCTTCCTTCCTTCCTTCCTTCCCTTCCTCCCTCCTTCCCTCCCTCCCTCCCCCTTCCTTCCTTTCCTCCCTCCCTTCCTTCCTTCCCTCCCTCCCTCCCCCTTCCTTCCTTTCTTCCCTCCCTCCTTCCTTCCTTCCTTCCCTCCCTCCCTCCCTCCCCCTTCCTTCCTTCTTCCTTCCTTCCTTTCCTCCCTCCCTCCCTCCCTCCCTCCTTCCCTCCTTCCTTCCTTCCTTCCTTCCTTCCCTCCCTCCCTCCCTCCCTCCCTCCCTCTCTCCTGCCATATCTCTAATTCTTGCATGACTCAGGAAAGTTTGTGATCATTCAGCTATGACTCCTAGGAATTCCACATGGCCTCCGATCTGCGCTTTCTACTTTTGGAAAGGATTCCTGGCAGATCCATTCTGGGATCCAGCAAAAGGATCTGCCAAGTGCCAGCAGCACCGCTTTTACGCGGAACTGTTTTAGGGGTATCCAGGGGCCTTGCAGGCATAGCTCAGCTGGGCTAGTGGACAGATGTGGCCTTGCTGGAGGCCTAAATGGAAGAAGAAAAAAAAAAAAGGATGGCCGATTGAAAATAATTTCCTAAAATGACCCGATGGCTTTTTACCGCAGATGCTTTCAAATCCAGGGCATCGGAATCAAGTTTCTAGTCCTGTTTAACTGAACCATTTGTTGTTCTTTTTTCCTCTTCCTTTTTGAACCACATCTCTTTCCTTTTTCTCTGCACAGGGGCTGCACCAGCGGAGGAAAGGAAGAGGAGGTGAAAAACGGCACCCCTTGTGTGTGTTTCTTTGGCAGTGTCTTAGCTGGTTGTTGAATGTGATGACCGAAGAAGCAATCAGCAAGCATACTGCTTCAGAAGTGCTGCACGTTTGCAAGCCTGCCGGAAACAGCCTTTCCTCCTAGAAGCATCAGGAAGATGGAAAATTTGTGGGGAAACAGGAAATGGACAGCTCTGAAGGCCACGAGCTCCCAATTTGGGAAGAAAGGAGTGGATTTTGGTTCAGCTTTCCTTTCGTTTCCCCGAGTTTTCTCAAAAGCGATAAACGGGTGTTGAACCCAACAGATCTCTGTTATGGGGGAAACAACTTTGCGAAACCTAGAAATAAGGAAAACGTGGTGCTTTGCGCCCAAGCCTTGGAGGGTGTTGACATATTTATATTTTATTTTCCCTTAGGTGTTTTTTTTAAAGAGCAGTCAGTCTGACTTAAGGGAATTGAGCTTTACCTGTGGTTTAGCATCCCGCCAGCAAAAGTTTCATTGATTCAAAATCGGCGGACCAGGCTGGGTGCCGAACACTTAGGAGCAGACAGAAGGGAGAAAGTTGAGAAATTTAACCCAATTTCCGAGTGAGGTACTGTCATTTCTTTTCTTTGTACCTTTATCCACATCCCTAACAATAACAAGAGTTGGAAGGGACCTTGGAGGTCTTCTAGTCCAACCCCCTGCTCAAGCAGGAGACACTATACAATTTGAGACAACTGTCTAGTCTTTTTTTAAAAACCTCCAGTGACGGAGCGCCCACGATTTCTGGTGGCAGGCTGTTCCACTGGTTAATTGTCCTCCCTGTCAGGAAGTTTCTCCTTAATTTCAGGATGCTTCTCTCCTTGAATAGTTTCCGTCTATTGTTTCTTGTCCTGTCTTCTGGGGCTTTGGAGAATAGCTTGACCCCCTTTACTTTGTGGCAGCCCCTCAAATATTGCTATCATGTCACCCCAGTGATACGGTTGGTTTGCCATTAGGGTGCAGTGTGAGTGCAGTCTTTAAATAAACCACTGTTTATTAAATTAAACAGAGTTTTTAAATAAACCCCCTTTAAATAAGCCACTCTTTAGCACAAATTTGGGCTAAATTCAGATTGGAAAAGTGAAAGTCTGTAGGTTGGAGTTTTGACAGAGAAACGTGTGTTTCTGTGACACTCACGCTCGGATGAATAAAATGAAATGAATCCCCGGTTTATGCCTGGTTTTGGAAACGTGGCATCTCAGTGCTTTTCTGCACTATAAGTCCTGTCCAATTCACACTCGGTCGAGCAAATCAAACGTATCCTTGTCTTCTTTTTTTTTTAAATATATTTTATTGGTTTTATAGTTTTAACAAAAAGTATTTAAGACACACCATGGTGTTTGGGTAAACAAAGATTCCAACATAAAATCACACAATAACAGCTCAACTTAATACATTCGCTATCATCTCTCTATTTCCCTCAAGTAACATAGTAAATTTAATATATTTCATTTCTATCCTAAATTTCTATTACTACTAAACCTGTTTATTAAAACTTAAAATCGATTTCAATTACCATAATCAGATAGTGTTTTACATCAGCATATTATCACTTCAAATACCTCTTGCAAATATATTCAAGTTCTTAATCCCTCTCATCCCTTTTTTAATCACCAATCTTATTTATTTCTTCTTCCGATAATAACTAATTTAATAAAAAAAGCCAATATTATAATCTCTCATCAAATCATATTATTATACACAAACGTATCCTGCTGCCTAATCGGGTTACGCTCAAGAAACTGAGATTGTAGGCAGGATAGTTCAAGCTTTATTGTAGGGAGGGCTGCCTTTCTGCATTCCAGCAGGGCAGGATTTAAAAAAAAAAAAAGCGCCTTTTACAGAACAGAGACAGCACAGGCACACTCCCCTGACCGTGTCCTCTCGCCCCCCCCCCCTCTAAAGTCTGTATGCACGATGGGATCGGCATCTGCCAGTCTATCCCAGTCAACTCCCGTCCGCCCAGACCCGACCCAGCTTGCGGGCCAGAGCAGGCACTCCTGCAGAGACACAGCAGCGATCCTCCCCCGCGGGACACCCAGCCTCTTTGGGCGGCTCTTTAAAGCCCCGCCGCGCCCCCTTTTGGCAATCCCGGGAGAGCCTTGCAGACCCTCCCCAGCAGAGCCCCGGGCTTGCACTCTGTGCATGCTCAGGAGCCGCCCTCTCCTTGGCGCGCGCGCGGGGGGGGGGGAAGGCGTCTGTCCAGCGCCAGAGCGCAGGCGGAGCGGCCCGAAGGAGGAGTCACGCGTCACCGGAGTGGGTGTGTGGTTGTGTGTGTGTGTGTGTGTGTGGCGCGCCGTGGGGCGTCTGGCCCTTCCCGGCTGGGGCTCCGGTGCCTCCGCCCTGCAGAACCCGGCGCCGTCCACCCTCCGCCCCCCCCCCCAGCCGGAGGGAAGGGGAGCCGCGCCCCGGAGCTGCCGTGAGAGCAAGGAGGAAGGTCGGCGGCGCGGCTTTTGCGCTCCGGAGACCCCTTGTTTCGTTCCTCGCTCGCCTCTTTCCCTTTCTTTCCGCTTTCCCTTTCGCCCCCCCCCTTTCCCCCGCCATGCTCCTGCGGGATCCTCCCGCCACGCTGGTCTCCCCCTGGGAACGCGGGGTGGTGCTCCTCTCCTGCGCCTTCTCGGTGCTGGGCTGCTGCCTGCTGCTGGGCACCCAGGCCCGCTGGCCGGAGCTCCGGACGCGGCCGCGCCAGCTTCTCTCCTGCCTCTCCGGGGCCGACCTGCTCTCCGCCGCCTCCTACGCCTACGGGGTGCTGAAGGACTTCGAGGCCTCGTCCTGGGACTGCGTGGCGCAGGGCGCCCTCTCCACCTTCGCCAACACCAGCTCCTTCTTCTGGACAGTGGCCATCGCCCTGGACCTCTACTTCGCCATCGTCCGCGGCTCTCCCAGCTCCGCCAGCTTGCTCAGCTTCTTCCACTTGGTGAGGTGAGGTGGGTGGCCTCTCCCGCCCCCCCCCCGTCTCTCTACCTGGTTGTGTGTGTGTGTGTGTGTGTGTCCAGCCTTCCATCTCCCTACCGCCTGTCCCCTCCCCAAAAGCGGGATTGCAGAGGACTAGCGCCTTGCGATGCCCCTTGGGGTAGAAGAAGCCGGCCAAAGAAAAGGGCTGCATTTAACCATCCCCAAAAGGCTAGAACGGGGCCAACAATTAACAAATCATCTTTATTGGTGTGTGTGTGTGTTAATAATGTTCTTCCTTTTTTCCAATTCCCCAGCTCAAATCAAAGTGGTTTTGTCTTCCCTTGTAACATGCAACACACACACACACACACACATTTTCCGAGAGGAAGGAAAAGGGGATGGCAGCCCAGAGAAGGGGGAGTTTCAAAAGGGAGTTTTTCTGAAGTTTGGGGATTGTCCAGTGTAGAGAATGAAGAAAAAGAAGGGGAAAAAAAACCTCATTTATAAATTGGAATTTTTCTTTTTAATCTCACCCCTTGCAGTTAGGGTATTTGGGGCTATCTGGAGAGGTTATTTGATTCAGAGGACTTTAATGTATGGGAAGGCCAATGAACTTGGTTTGTCCCAGCAGAACAACAACCCAGCCCAGACTGCGACCCTTAGCTTGGGGAAAAAAAAAATTGTGCCCTTCTGCTTAGCATCAAAAGCCTGCCTCTTTGTTCCCAGTTCCCACAAGCCACAGCCAGCCAAAGTCAGGGATGATGGAGCTGTGCCCCCCCCCCCAAATTCTGCCTCTCTTTGTTCCGGGCGGCGAGCTAGGTGTGGCCGAGACTACAATTCTTGGAGAGATGAACCTGTTTTTCCGATCCAACAATGTTAATTTTAAAAAGTAGTAAATAAAACGCTTCAGGATCAATGCAAATTTACTCTTTGGAATTTTTCCATTCTCAAACTCTTGAGCATTTCTCCAGATTACGATCCCAAGTCCTATCAGCCTCAGCCCACACAGCCCCTTTGGGAGGGGATGATGGGTACCAGGCCTCCAAATATCTTTTTGGAGCTTTTGCTGTCAAAGGCCAGACTTCTTTCTTTTTTGCAAAATTAATCCTCCGATTTGGTGCAAAAGCAAACAAACTGGGTGTGCCCTCCTTTCTCTTCCCTTGCATCTTCTTAACACCCCTGCAAGGTAGACTAAGCTGAGAGATGTCCGATGCTTCCAGGTCTCCAGAGGTATCCCTGTCCCACATTCCCATGTAACCACGTTTGTTTAAAAAATACTTGTCGCTTCTTTGTAGCAAGCCGGAGCAAAGGGATGCTTAACGTTGCAGTTTTTTGTTTGGCAAGCTGCGGTGGAATTAATAATGCTAATTCCGCAGTCCTCAACTTACAACTACACAGGAGCCCCTAAATTCTGCTAAGCGAAGCCGTTCAGTGAGTTTGGGGCCATTTGGGGACTTTTCTTGCTACTGTGAAGTGACACACTGCAGTTGTGAAGTTAGAAACAGGGTTGTTGTTAAGTGGATCTGGTTGTTAAGTGAATCAGAAGGTCTCAAATGGGGATCGCCAGATCCCGGCCGTCCTAAATATGAGCCAATTGCCAGGCGTTCAAATTTTGATCTTGGGGATGCTGCAACAGTCGTAAAGCGTGAAAAACGGTCATTTTTTTTCCAGGGCCGTTGTAACTTGGAACAGTCACTAAACAAATGGACATAAAACGAGGCTGACCTGTTATACATAAGATCCCAAATCTTTCTGATTAGTCTGATCCAATCTAACTCGGTCTTTTCTCCTTGGTGGCCTCTATCCCATACAGATGGTTCATTTAGCGACTGAAGTTACAAAAGTTTTTCAGACTTATGACCGTTGCAGCATTCCCCAAGATCACGTCCAAATTCAGAGGCTTGGCAGCTGACTCGTATTTATGACGGTTTGCAGTGTCCCGGGGTCACGTGATCCCCTTCTGACAAGCAAAGTCAACGGGGGGGGAAGCTGGGTTCACTTACTAACTTAACAACCGCAGTCGCAAAATGGGGCGAAACTCCCTTAACAAATGTTTCACTTAGCAAAGGAAATTTTAGGCTCGGTTGTGGTCGTAAGCCGAGGACTACCCGGAATTGGGCAGATAAATGTATATATATATATATATATTTAAGATGCCCTAAAAAACGGGGTTTGTGGTGGAGCGATTGCAAATAAGACGTGTTTGCATTCCGGAATGCTTCCTGGCTTTGAGTTCTTCAGGCTGCAGAGATGCTCGACAACAAATCTGGAGTGGTTGTGCAAACACTGGCACAAGGGAGACTTGTGACCTTCGCACGCTTCTGAAAAAGTCTTGAGCAAGTGAGCGAAGGGGGGGGGCGTCTGCACTCTGCATCCGATTTTCTTCCAAGACTTCCTTGACAGCTGAATTGATTTTATGTTTAGCTTTCCACTTTTTCATTCTGATTGGGGGAGGGCTGGGGGGGGTCACTTTGTGCCAGCTGATTCTGCCCCCCCCCCCAAATGTGACATTAAGGGTGCGTGTCTGCTCCTTGACTTATCTTAAGAAAGAATAGGGAGAGGGGAATTTAAAGATATTTGGAGACCTGGTACCCATCATCCCCTCCCAAGGGGCTGTTTGGGCTGAGGCTGATAGGACTTGGGATCCCAAACCTGGAGAAATGCTCAAGAGTTTGAGAATGGAAAAATTCCAAAGAGTAAATTTGCATTGATCCTGAAGCCTCCATTGCATGGCAGGTCTGAATGCATTTTATTATATATCTATCTATCTATCTATCTATCTATCTATCTATCTATCTATCTATCTATCTATCTATCTATCTATCTATCTATCTACCTACCTACCTACCTACCTACTTCTCTCTCTCTCTCTCTCTCTCTCTCTCCCTACCTACCTACCTCTATCTATCTATCTATCTATCTATCTATCTATCTATCTATCTATCTATCTATCTATCTATCTATCTATCTATGATCAAAGGATGCAGTGTGGGATATGAAAAGGAGAACAGAAAACTCCCAGATGCTGGCCTGTTAGATTTTCTTTGGCTGATATTTCACTTTGAATTAAATCCAATCTTTTGGTGGGGCAGACAGCTAGGAATGTGCGTGGCTTTTTGGCTAATGAGCCTGCCCATTGCCTCTCTGCACGATTATCGGTCCTGCCTACCTGCCTGAACCCATGGCCAGTTCCAGAAACCACAAAGGAGAAATTCACCAAGGAACTACACTTCCCATCAATATGATTCTGGCTTTGCGCTGATGGGTGGTGGAATCCCACCTCTGCGGTCTTCACTTGAGTTGGCCCCTTCTAAGGAGGATGTTTTTTTAAAAAATGCTGTTTTGCAGAGCAACTGGGTCCAATAGTTCAGAAGTACAAAATATAATTCAGGGAGGTTAGCCTCCTTCGCTATTCAGGGACGGCCTGGAAGAGAGATTATATTGCAAATAACCTACAAAATTGCATTAGTGAAATGTCAGCCTCTTTGCTTGTGACTGCAGTGTATTTATAGCTGGGGGGGGGGTATTTTACAGCTAATTTTAGACAGCCACTTCGGTTTAGAAAAGGCTCTCTCTGCGGCATGGGTATTCATTCTAATTCATTCACATCTGGATTAAATTGGACCAGAGTGTGTCCGGGTTGCAGTTATAATCCAGCTGTGCAACCGGTTTCACTATTCTGGAGTCCAGCCAGGGCATGTTATAAGTGCAAAAAACATTGCGCGGGACTGTTGTTTTCTAAAGCAGTTCTCGACCGCTTGCCTGAACATTATTATTATTATTATTATTATTATTATTATTATTATTATTATTATTATTATTATTTTCTGATGCACTGTTAAAATGGCTTCTTTGTAATAAAAGCAGATTAGGGTGCTTAAAAAAAGTTGCCAGTTTAAGAAGATAATGTAGAGAAAATGAGCAGAGCCAAAAAAAAGGTGAATAATAAACTGCCCAGAGTTGCTGGAAGTAGAGTGACAGATACATGTAATAAATTATTTCTATTAAACTATAGAATTATTTCCGCCCTATGAAGGAATTATTCTTTCCCTCTTTCTCCCTTTTCAATCCCCAAATCCATTAAATCATCCATTTAGTTTTTTTCAACTAAAAGTTATTTATTTAATAATGATAACAATAATAATAAAGTTGGAAGGGACCTTGGAGGTCATCTAGTCCAACCCACGTAAAGCTTAAAAAAACTCTTGTCTTTTTTTTTTTTAGCTTTACTGTTCAAGCAAGCTCTGCCAATTTTACAAATCTACTCTTCCGTTCCGGCGTCCTACCTTCACAGGGTGTCGTTCTCCAAACTTAGAAAGGAGATCTTTAGCTTTGCAAGGGCCATTTTGCCCAATTCGGTGGCTCCAAATTTTTCTTCTTCTCTCCCCTGTTTTGCAGCTGGGGGGTTCCCCTTGGCATCACCGCAGCTGCTGTGGCCTTGAAAAAAATCGGTTACGACGCGTCGGATGTCTCGGTGGGCTGGTGCTGGATTGACATCAACGCAGAGGACCGGCTCCTTTGGATGCTGCTGGCGGGGAAATTGTGGGAAATCCTCGCTTACGTGACCTTGCCGGTTTTTTACGTCCTGATAAAGAAGCACATCAACCGAGCGGTGGGTATCCAGAATGCGATCAGCCTGGGTGAGCTTATACAGCCGGTCTTCAATTTATAACAGTTCATTTACTGATCGTTCAAAGTTACAACGGGGCTGAAAAAAAGAAACTTACGAACGTTTTTCACACTTACGACCTTTGCAGCATCTCCAGGGCCCTGTGATCAGAATCCAGACAATGGGCAACTGACTCGTCTTTAGGACTGGGGCAAGCAAGGTTGTAAAACGGGGCACTGTCTCGCTTAGCAATGGAAATGTATCATGTGGGATGGCTCCAGTCCCCAGCCCAGTTAGCAACCCAAAGCAGCTGCAAGAGGCTTTTTTTTTTTTGCATTCATCACATTCCAGGGAGGGCATCCCGCCCCGTTTTGCAGTTTTCTATTTGCTGTCTTAAAGAGCGAGCAAATTGGCTGTACACAAGGACGGGGCTGAATCTTACAGAGGGGGGGGGGGCTGGTGGGGTGGAGAGAGAGAGAGAATGTGGTTGAATGTGGGCATAACACAAAGTCACATTGGCAGGTTTGAGGTTTTAGGCACACACCCCTGGCTTGCAGACCTTTATGTTCTAAAATCCAAACGGAATGAAATGAATATTCGTAATCTAGTCAACATTTCTGAAAAATGGCCTTGTTTACTACATGCTATCTCTGTCTACTGTAGCTTCTCCTCTTTCTCACACGTCTCTCTCTCTCTCTCTCTCTCTCTCTCTCTCTCTCTCTCTCTCTCTCTCTCTCTCTCTCTCTCTCCATCAGCCTATTTGTCTGTCTATATTTATCTGTCTGCCTGTATCTCTCTCCCCTACCTTCTATCAATCTTTATAATTCTCTCTCTCTTTCCCTCTCTCTCATATCTCCCTTTGTCTCTATCTGCTCTCTCTATTTGCCTGTCTATCTTATCTCATCTCTCTCTTTCTCTACCTCCCTATGTCCGTCCATCTGTCTGTCCGTGTCTGTCTGTCTGTCTGTCTGTCTATCTATCTATCTATCTATCTATCTGTCTATCTATCATCCCCCTCCCTATGCCCCTGTCTGTTTGTCTATCTATCTATCCATCCATCTATCCATCTATCTATCCATCTATCCATCCATCTATTCATCCATCCATCCATCATCCCCCTCCCTATACCTCTGTCTGTCTATCTATCTATCTATCTATCTATCTATCTATCTATCTATCTATCCATCATCCCCTCCCTATGCCTCTGTCTGTTTGTCTGTTTATCTATCTATCTATCTATCTATCTATCTATCTATCTATCTATCTATCATCCCCTCCCTATGCCTCTGTCTGTTTGTCTATCCATCTATCCATCTATCTATCTATCTATCTATCTATCTATCTATCTATCTATCTATCCATCTATCCATCCATCCATCTATTCATCCATCCATCCATCCATCCATCCATCTATCTATCATCCCCCTCCCTATACCTCTGTCTGTTTGTCTGTCTATCTATCTATCTATCTATCTATCTATCTATCTATCTATCTATCATCCCCTCCCTATGCCTCTGTCTGTCTATCCATCCATCCATCCATCCATCCATCCATCCATCCATCCATCCATCTATCTATCTATCTATCTATCTATCTATCTATCTATCTATCTATCTATCATCCCTCCGTCTCTATGTGTCTGTCTGTTTGTCTATCTATCTTTTATTTACTTATTGAATTTATATAGTTTCCCCCCCCCTCATGTAGTCAATGGGCAGCTCATAATATTTTAAACGAAAAGCAATAGAAACATCCAAAATAAATATGCCATCTAACGGGAGTTCCCTCTTTTCTTTCCCAGCACACAGCCCTCTCCGAGTATCGGCCCATTTTGTCCAGGGCCCCATCGTCCCACCCAGGAGCAGCATCCGGGGCAGACAAGAAGCTGACCTTAATCCCGATTGTTTTCATCTTTCTGCGTGTCTGGAGCACCATCCGGTTTGTGCTGACCCTGTCCGGCTCTCCTGCAGACCAAAACTGGCTCCTGGTGGTGCTTCACGTGAGTTTCAGACAATAACAGGTTGCCTGGATGGGCTGCCTCCAGATGTGCAGCGAAGGATTCTGGGAATTGAAGTCCACTCTGTTTAAAAGCTGAGGAGACCCTTTTTTTGTTTCAGAAACAAATAAAATAAAATAAAATAAAATTTCTCCCCTTTTCCCACCAGGGAATCGGAAACACTTTTCAAGGAGCTGCAAATTGCATTCTCTTTGTCTTTTGCACCCGAGTCGTCCGGAATAAACTCTTTTCGTCCTTGTGCTGCTGGCGATACTCGAATCCAGAGCCTCCTCCGCCAAGTTTGGAGACCAGCTTCCAGGCTGAGGCTCCCCTTTGCAAAGACTGGGAGCTGCGAGGCAGCAATAGCACAGGGGCAGACGCATCCAGCCCTTGAACTTGGCCTGTATCGGGATGGAAATCACCCTTTTGCCTGGTGGGACTCTCACCGTGAGTGTTTCTAGTTTGCCCACATTTTGCAAGGTGAGGTTTTAAATGGCTGTTGCAAACAAAAAAACCAAAAACCCAGAAAACTCCCGGGATTCGGGGAGAAAATTGGAACTCCTAATTATTTATTTAGCGTATAGCACCTACAGAAGTCACGCAATCCCTGATTAAGGGCTCCGAATAGAAAAATAAAAACAATAAAAACGATAAAAATTTAATGCTCACAATTTTGAAATACCATCCAAAGTACAAAACAGCACTTCCACACACACACACACCCCGGATATAATTCCTAGTTTCCCATCTAGTTGTTTTTTTCCTACCAATTTGATTCCCCTCTGGAGTCCGAAGTGGAATTTCCACAAACGGCTTGTTGATCATTTATTCACCTCTGGCAAATAAAATCCACTCCCAGGCAGCCAGGCTTGCTAAAAACATAGCAATTGGTAATTTTTTCAATGCCGTTGTAACTTTGAACGGTCACTATTGCAAGCCGAGGGCCATCCCTAATGCTAATTGTGTTATGTGGCTTCTGATTTTTCTACTAAAATTTACCCTTTCATTGGTCCTTGTCTGTCATTTTGTTCAGACAGGAAACCAAGATGCCTATCACGGATGATATCAACAACATAATAAGACTTTTGGACTTTTTTATAGAAAAAAAGAAAAACGTTCAATTTTTCACCATACGACGGCTGGATCGGTCTTACTCCAAATTAACTTTCTCAGGGCGTGATGGTTTTTTTTTTTTTCTCCTTTTTTTTTTTTAAAGACGCTACGAAGACATGTTTTTATTTTTTTTAACTTGGGCATTAAGAATAAAAGAGGAGAAAGTGTTGAATTAAATGTTAAGGGACAAGATGACCCACGTTTAAGGGGGAGAGAAGAGGCATGGCTGTCAACACCCTATTTGGAAATCAGAGAAGAGAGAGCGAGACACTACAAGTCCCATCATCCTCAACTAGCCTGATCAGGGATGGATGTTGGAGTCAAGCAGCTGCCTACAAATTTCTTCTTGAAACGAAGCATCCAAGGTGGATACTTGAAGGTGGTATAGTCTTCCCATCTGGAAGGACTGTAACATGGTGCATATTGGTTAATTTCTATTTTATTGCAACCCACCTAAGAAAGTAATGGAGTCTCAAGTGGACACCCCCAATTTTGGGGGACGCTGGTTTGTTTTGCCTTCGAATAAATGCTGCAAATTTTTTGGGGGGGCAGGCTGATTTTTTTTTTCTCGTTCTGTATACCTCACTTCTCTCTGCGTGTTTGTGTGTTTTTAAACACCGATGCAACAGAACTCTTAAATGTACAGATTAAGATTGAATTTTCCATCCGCCTTGTCGAAAGCGGCCTTTGAACAAAAGTGTGTGCTTTTTTAAAAAAAATAAATGAGCCTTGAATAGATGGAGCTTTTTTCTTTCTTTGACTTCCCCCCCCACTTTGATTTTGTTTTCTTCCACCAATTTAAAGAAAACAGCAAAGCTGCTTCAAAAGTGTGTCTGAGTGCGTAATTTTCACGCTTTCGCTTTCTGTTGTTTGCTAAGTTTTTAAAACGATTTTCACAACCTTCTTGTATTTAAGTAACAATTGTTCCCTGGGTAAAACACGTGATTTCTTGGTTTTGACTCCCATTGAGAACATCTACCCCTAAGGCAAATTCCTCACGGGTTCAATCACACTTGCCCATGTAAAGTATTCAGTCAATTAATTCAACCATTTCATGGAAAAATGGGGGTATTTAAATTAGGTAAGTAATTAAAAAGTGATCTTGGCAGACTGGGAAAGAAAGGGCAAATAAATAGGCATAGAATTGGGATGGAAGACCAACAGGAGATCACCGGGAATGCTCAGACACACAGGAAAGGTGGAAAAAAAACTTTCTGCACCAAAAACGCTGGGAAAAAGTAGGTGCGGGTCCCTGAAAGTGGATGGAAATTTATGCAAAAGGGCTCCCTAACTGCCATTCTGCTTTTCCCGGAATGTTCCCGCCTCCTTTCCCTGATTGGCTGTCGCTGCTGCCGCAGCATTTTTCCTTCAAAAGAAAAGATAGATGTGGCTTTTCTCCTTTTATTCCAAGATACTCCCCCCAAAACCAGTAAGTTTGCTTTTTTTAAAAAATAAAAGAAAATTCTAGCCTTAAAATCCAGATCTGGAGACCAGGCCTCCTCCAATGGGGCTGGCAGGGGAGCAGGTGAGGATCCGGGAGGGTGCCAACGAATTTGGGGAATTTATTAAAACAATTAGGAAGTGAACGTGGAGCTCTCAAGACAATGTTCAAAGGAAAAGACGGGAAAACCTTTTTGCTTATGTTTCCTTTAATTTTCTCTTTGAGAAACGCTGACCGTCATTGGTGACGAGCTCTATGGAGCCTCTCTGATCCGCAGCAGTCTACCTTTGAACAGGAGTCATCAGGGAGCACAGTTTGGGGGGGTTCTCTAGCTGGGTTCAGGGGCAGAATCGTTTGTAAATGTGGGACAAAATTGTTTGTTCCCCCCCCCCCTTTGCTCGATCAGGTGTTCCTCTCGATCACCCCGGAAAGATGGAGGAGAAAGAGGACTCGGAAACCACAATCCGAAGTAATGTGAGTTTGGAGGGCTGCTGAAGTCGCGGTTTATCTTGATCCGTGGTTATTTCTAAGCTTCAGGGCAAGGCAGGGCAGAGAAATTACAAATAATTTCTGAAGAAATTAGAGCTCTCGCTCCGGTGTATTTTTTGTTTTTTTAAAAAAATTGCACTGCCTAGATAAGTTTTAGGAATCTCCTAATAACTCAGCAGGATTGACCCTGGTTTGTTTGTGGATGAGACGCCACCAGGAGATGCCTGGGGTGCAGACTAACTTGGGGGAAATAATTAGCTTTTCCTAACCAAAAAAGCAGGGGCAGAAGATCAGACTCGTTCCCATCCAAGCCAGAAATTGTAGGGCTAAAATGAGAGGGGAGGTCTAAGATGTGTTGTGTTGGTTTTTGTCCTTTTCACTCAAGGAATTGTGTTGTTGTTTTCCTCCCCCTCCCCTCTCATAGAAACTGACCCGCCCACTCATTTTGTCAATAATGGGTGCCAATTTGGGGTTTTTCCAGTATGGATACGCGTTCTCTCTGATCACCAATCCTGCTGTGGTAAGTGAGCCCTGCTGTGTGTCGCTGGGCGGTCCTGGGTTGGGGACTTGGCACTTATTCACACAACCTGCTGACCTGCATTAGGATTGCTGAGGTTGCTTTGCGTGGGCCCAGTGTCTCGGGTTTTCATGGCACACAGATGCTGGCTTAGCCCTCCCCATCGGGGTTTCAAATGATATTGTCTGCCTTTCCCTTTCTCCTTCTCTCCCTCTCCTCTCTCCTCTCCTCTGTTTTCCTATCTCCTTTCCCCTTAGGGACTGCGAGCTGATGCCTACCTCGCAGGGTTGTTAGGTGCAATGGAGGGAGGCAGCTGGGAAGGAAGTGTGTTGTTGATGTGGCTTTCCATTTTATGTTTTTAAGATAAAGATGCAGTTGCTGAATCTTCAGTACGAAGGGATCGATACAGGCTCCGTGCATTTTGAGTTCTTAATATTACTCAGCGTTTTCGTCCCCTTGGGAGGCATTTTTGGGGTGTATGTTTGGAGCTGTCTGGCAGATAGATATGGCAGGTACTGGCACACCTTAAACATAATTTCTGGGCTGTTTCTGTTGGCGTTCATGCCATACATTGGCATGTAAAGTCAATCCCTTTCCTAAGTACCCACTCAGCTCCTAAGCCCCAGAACACAGAGCCTATTGATCCACTGAAAAGAGAACCAAGGTTTGAATTAACCAAGATTAACGGGCTGTGTTTAAATATATATTTAATAAATAACAGGATAACAGAGTTGGAAGGGACCTTGGAGGTCATCTAGTCCAACCCCCTGCTCCGGCAGGAAACCCTATACCATTTCAGACAAATGGCTGTCCAGTCTCTTCTTAAAAACTTCCAGTGTTGGAACATTCACCGCTTCTGGAGGCAGGTTGTTCCACTGGTTAATTGTTCTGACTGTCAGGAAGTTTCTCCTTAGTTCTAGGTTGCTTCTCTCCTTGCTTAGTTTCCATCCGTTGCTTGTTGTCCTGCCTTCAGGGGCTTCGGAGAATAGCTTGACTCCCTCTTCTTTGGGGCAGCCCCTCAACTATTGGAAGACTGTTATCATGTCCCCCCTAATCCTTCTCTTCCTTAAACCAGACATACCCAAGAGTGAAGGGACTACATTAGAATCTTCCTTCTACCTCCAACTGTCTTAATATTCTAATATTCTATACATTTTGAAAAGTTAATTTGCTCGGAAATTCATTGGTTTGGGGCTTCTAGCATCAGCGATAAGAACTGACCCCAGCTTTAGTCTTCTCTGCCCTGTCTCTCTAATTCCACTGGTGCCAACATCTGGATGGTTACAGCACACAAGTTAGAGCTCCCAGCAGAGGTAGTTTAATGTTTGAAATTCCAGGAACAAACTGTTCCTTTAAATAAGACAATCAGGATGCTGCTGATGGTTAAAGAGCACTCTTGCAATTTCTGTTTCCTGAACGTGTCTCTTTCCGTGTCTTTCCAGGAAATGTGCCGTGTTAATTATTAACGGGCTTTCTATTTTTTCGTCTGCTATCCTCTGTTTCGATAACATAGTCATGCAATTTGAATATAGCCTGTTTGCTCGGTTTTTGGCAGGAATGACGTCAGGTGAGTCCGTGACCGCTTTATTTTGTAGGCTCCCAAAGAGAAGAGCTGAACTCGACCTTTGCATTAAATGTCCCGTAATTTAGGAGTTTAGGATTGGGGGAGTAAAGAGTAGGATTGGGGAATTCAGAGAGCAAAACTCCACCAAAGAAATGCCAAACCTCAAAACATCCAGTTCGAATATCAATAATAATAATAACAACAACAACAACAACAACAACAAACAAACAACAACAAAACAACAGTAGTAGTAGTAGTAGTAATAGTAGTAGTAAAGTTGGAAGGGACCTTGGAGGTCATCTAGTCCAACCCCCTGCTCATGCAGGAAACCCTATACTATTTCAGACAAATGGCTGTCCAGTCTCTTCTTAAAACTTCCAGTGTTGGAGCATTCACCGCTTCTGGAGGCAGGTTGTTCCACTGGTTAATTGTTCAGGAAGTTTCTCTTTAGTTCCAGGTTGCTTCTCTCCTTGATGAGTTTCCATCCGTTGCTTCTTGTCCTGCCTTCAGGCGCTTTGGAGAAGAGCTTGACTCCCTCTTCTTTGGGGCAGCCCCTGAGATACTGGAAGACTGCTATCATGTCCCCCCTCGTCCTTCTCTTCGTTAAACTAGACCTACCCAATTCCAGCAGCCGTTCCTTGTATGCTTTAGCCTCCAGTCCCCTAGTCATCAATGGGGAAGCCAAAGTCACTTAACAACTGTGCAGCTAACTTAACTGCTATGATTCACTTAATAACTGTGGCAAAAAGGTCATAAAATGGGGCAAAACCCTAAATTCCGCCCTCGCTGGAAGGCAAGTGGTGCCTGTAATGCAATTTTCAATTCATTCCACAGGGGCGTTTAGTTTCTCCGTCCCTCTCTATGTCCTTGAGATCTCTTCCTTGAATCTCAGGGGAGCCTTGGTGACGACTTTGGTCCTCTTCTTCAGCTGGGGATACATACTGGTCCAAATCTTAATCAGCCCCCAGATCTGGGGAAGCGAAGAAGGTGAGTATTTCCACCTCTGTCGTTGCTGCAGACTTTTAAGTCGTGCTAAGCCAGGAAGGGCATCTTTCCATTCTCAAAAAGTCCCAGCAAAGAAGGATCAAAGCGAGAGAAGAGGAAAGAGAAAAGAGACAAGTTGCTTCTTCTAAAACCTGGAGCAGGATCAGCAGCTTCCTAACGTTCCCCTTCCCTCTCTCTCTTTCTCTCTCTCTCTCTCTCTCTGCCACAGATTTTTCATTATTGGCTGGCGTTGCTGCCATATTTGCTGTAATTAGTATTATATTGTTGGCTCTTTCTCCGGAAAGCCCGAGGTTTCTGCACATACAGAGGAATGACAAAGAGAAAGCAAGACAAGGTACGGCCACACGAGTCTGGCCTTATGGCCTTACGAGGCGCACGTCTGGGCCACAGGGAGGATCAGGCCTATAGCTCAGTTTCTGCCCTTCAGATCTGCCGTGCTTGGTGGCTCCTTCCAAATGTAGCCCCTTTGCCAATCGTGGCCCCCGTAAAGGAACCACGGTTTAGATCAGCGGTTCTCAACCTGTGGGTCGGGACCCCATTTGGGGTCGAACAATCATTTCACGGGGGCCGCCAAACAACACAGTCCGCCATTTTTTCCCCCCTTTTCCTTAGCTGTGCTATTCCCTTTTATTCTATTGGCTTTTGAAAGCCAATAGAAGAGACTCTCTTGAATAGAGTCTAATTCTATTGGCTTTCCAAAGCCAATAGGAATTGTCCAGGCTGTCTCTGCCCTGCTGAGCCCGCCAAAAGTCCCCTTCTGCAAACGGTGCTGCACCCGTTGAGTAGTCCTCGACTTACGACCAGTTGGGGGTCACAGCATTAAAAAGGTTGAGGACCACTGTTTTAGATGGTTCTTTAAGAAGTCCTTTGGGTGTGTCAGATACTTTGGTGGGAATGGAAAAGGTGAGCTCCAAGAGGCCGTGGCTAGAGATGGTCCTTCCTGGGAATTATCTTAATAAGAGGGGAGATGTCCTCAGTTTTGTTCCCCACATTCCTTGCACTAATGAAGTTGGAAGCCATCATCCCAAAGGTTGCTTCTTGGGGGCGTCCTCCAGAAATAGAGTGAGGGTCTTGGAGTATTTCCAAATGCTCTCAGATGTGAGAAGTAAAGGAAGAAGAGGAGAAAAGACTATGGGTTACAGGCTGTGCCCTGGACCGGGGTAGGCAACCTCGGCTCTTTTATGACTCATGGACTTCAACTCCCAGAATTCCTGAGTCAGCATAGGATAGCTGACTCAGGAATTCTAGGAGTTGAAGTCCATGAGTCATAAAAGAGCCGAGGTTGCCTACCCCTGCCCTGGACTCTGGACCATCCCAGCCCTCCCAAACTCCAGAGTTAAGACCAGTTGGACGGGGAGGGGGGCATGCAAACCCAACTCTACACTGCTCCTTCTCTTCCACCTCCTCTAGTCTTGAAGATGCTGAGAGGGGTAGAAGATGTAGAGGAGGAAATGGAAGAACTTTATCAGGAACACCTTGCCGAAAGCAGCCAGAAGAATATGACCGTGTGGAAACTTCTTCGCTTCCGCAGCCTCCGGTGGCAGCTCATCACCGTCGTGGTCTTAGTCTCCGGAAGTCGATTTGTGCAAACAAACGCGGTTAGCGACTTCCCCCAGCAACCTCGCATAGAAAAGATGAACTGTTTGCTTTTGCAAATTTGGAGTCTTTCTCCTCCTCAAAATGCCTGAGCGCTGGCTTGTAGCCAGGAACAAAATTCCTGGACCCACATCCAGTTTATTCCTCGCTCCAGGGCAACAGCGGGGTAGAGAGGCAGCTGTTACAGTTTACAAAAGGGCAAACTGTGATGGAATGTGGTCTGGATTCCCAAGAGGGAGGAGCTTCATTCTAGAGAAGCAAGAGACAACGCAGTTCAGATAGTTGGTGTGAGAGAAAGCGGGTGAAGATGGCCCCTCCTTGATAGTTCCCAGAGTTTAAGCTTATGGTGCAATTCTCCGCTATAATTTGGAAAGATTCTGTCTGCAGGTGATAAATCTCCTTAGGAGAATTGCAATGTGGGTTTTTAAAGCCTGACCCAAGTCCTACATGTGCTTCCATCTTCCCCTCTTTTGTCTTTGATTGTAGGTTTTAATTTTCGTCCAGCAGACCTATAAAGTTTTAGGACTGTCCCACAAAGCTATGAAGCTCCTTCCACTAGTAGGAAGCGTGGTCATCCAGCTGATGCTTCTGACAACCGTAAGCCACCTCAAATCGCCACTTGATTCCTGGTTTTGTTCGTGTTATCAGCTGCCTCCGTCACTCCACCGAATCTGGGGTGATGTACCCCAAAGCAATACAACCAGCAGGGAGCAGTTCAAACTAGCAGAAACACAATAGAAAGAGCAAAGACCAGGATTGTTTTAGCCTTGATGAAGAATTGTGGGCTCATTTATTTGATGATCCACTGGTTTGTGTTCTTGGATGGCCATGGTCTTCTCGGGAGTTTTTCTCCAGGGTCCTGAAGTGTCAATCCTTTTCTGGTTCGCTTTTTTTTTTCTAGATCTGCACCGTCGAGTCCTTGGGGCGGAGGTTTCTCCTGTTGAGCGGCTTCTTGATTTGTTGCATCTCAAATATTGCCCTCGTCTTCACTTTTCAGGTGGGTTTCCCTCCTGTTCTCTGCATCGGGGCAACCCCTGTTTGACATCCCTGCGTTTTTTTTCACACACACACAAACCTTCCCAGTCCGTTAAAATTGATCTGGTGAATTTCACCCAGTTGGTCAATTTCACCAATCTGTCAATTTCATCCAATTGGACAATTTCAATAATCCGTCAGTTTCATCCAGTTGGTCAATTGCACCAATCTATCACTTCATGTAGTTCGTCAGTAGTGCCAATCTTCCAATTTCATCCGGTTGCTCAATTTCACCAATCTGTCAATTTGATCCAGTTGGTCAATTTCAACAATCCGTCAGTTTCATCCAGTTGGTCAATTGCACCAATCTATCACTTCATGCAGTTCGTCAGTAGTGCCAATCTTCCAATTTCATCCGGTTGGTCAATTTCACCAATCTGTCAATTTCATCCAGTTGGTCAATTTCAACAATCTGTCAGTTTCATCCAGTTGGTCAATTTCAACAATCCGTCAGTTTCATCCAGTTGGTCAATTGCACCAATCTGTCAATTTAATCCAGTTGGTCGGTTTCATAGCGTTCATCCCAGTTTTCTGTAGATAGGATTCTCTAACCGTGTGGAAAATATGAGGTTGGTTAAAGATGCGAAGTTGGGTGGAGGAAGGGATACTGCTTTGAAGGTTACCCTATAGGTGCTTCTTCTTCCCCACAGGTTGAAGAGCCCTCACTGGCCTTCATTAGCATTGTTTTGATTATCCTCTTCTTCATGGGCTACGTAACGGGACCAGGTTTGTGATCAGATGGGATATGGAGTTTCCATAGGTGGAGAAAAACCAAGGGAAGGTTTTGTGGTTGTTGTTTTTTTTTTTTTTAAATAAATAGAAGACCTTCTCTCCTTATAGCTGGCATTCTTCCTTTGATTATTGGTGAATTGTTCCTCCAGTCATCCCGAGCATCGGCATGTGTGATTGCAGGATTTGTCAGCTGGGGAATCAAATTTATCTCAGCCATTCTGTTTGTTCTGACGAAGGTAAGGAAGTTTAAAAATATATTAAAAATACTTATTTAAAAACAGAGAGGTGATCTTACCCCAGAATTCTGGGTGTCTCATGGACCTGCCTTTCGTATTTTTTAATTTTTGTTTCTGTCTCTTAGTCCCAACTTGGATCCTACTACTTGCTCCTTTACTGGCCTTTTATGGTCCTCATCTTTATTTACATTTTCCGGGTAGTTCCGGAAACCAGCGGCAAGACATTTCAAGAAATCCAGGAGAGCATAGCGGCCTTGACTTACAAAAATTCCAGAAAAATAACGGCTGAATAGGAAATCTCTTTATTCCCTCTCTTTTCAAAATGGAGCTGGAATTAAAAAAATGAAGTAAAGCAGAAGCTTTCTGCAAGCTGGATGGATTTATATATATTATTTTTAAGTGCTATAATGCTAGTTTGGCAAAAAAGATCAGCGTGCAAATTTAGCAGAGCTGTGTGAGCAGAGATGTCGGTGTCAGCCCTGTGAGGTAGGCCAAAGCAGAAAATCAAGAAAGCCAAAAAAAAAAAAAAAATCCATTATTGAAATTAGCTAGAAAAAGAATATCTTGCAAAAAAGCCAAAAAAAAAAATCCATTATTGAAATTAGCTAGAAAAAGAATATCTTGCAAGGCTGATTGTGCTTCTGTTCTTCTGATGCTCTAGTGAGCCAGGAAGTCACTTCCAAATATTATCTTATCTTATTCCCCCAGATATAAAATAACGTTTTGGCCCTTTTTAGCTATACTTCTTGCCTATTTCTGCCAAGGTGATTTTCCTGACTCTCTAGAGGAGAAGAATTGTAGCTCCCATTATATCAGAAATGGATTTCTGCTGTTTCTTTCTTGCAGTATCCTTATATTGCCCTGATAAGACCACACTTGGAATATTGCATCCAGTTTTGGTCACCACAATATTGGGACTCTAGAAAGAGTGCAAAGAAGAGCAACAAAGATGATCAGGGGGCTGGAGGCTAAAACATACAAGGAACAGTTGCAGGAATTAGGTTTGTCTAGTTCAGTGGTTCTCAGCCTTTTAAATGCCGCGATCCCCCAACCGGTCGTAAGTCGAGGACTACCTAACCGGTCGTAAGTTGAGGACTACTCAACGGGTGCAGCACCGTTTGCAGAATGGGACTTTTGGCGGGCTCAGCAGGGCAGAGACAGCCTGGACAATTCCTATTGGCTTTGGAAAGCCAATAGAATTAGACTCTATTCAAGAGAGTCTATTCTATTGGCTTTCAAAAGCCAACAGAATAAAAGGGAGTAGCACAGCTAAGGAAAAGGGGGAAAAAATGGCGGACTGTGTTGTTTGGCGGCCCCCGTGAAATGATTGTTCGACCCCAAATGGGGTCCTGACCCACAGGTTGAGAACCACTGGTCTAGTTTAATGAAAAGAAGGACCAGGGTTGATATGATAGCAGGGTTGCAATATCTGAGAGGCTGCCCCAAAGAAGAGGGAGTCAAGCTATTCTCCAAAGCACCAGTAGGCAGGACAAGACAATGGATGGAAACTAACCAAGGAGAGAAGCAACCTAGAACTATCCTGGCAGACATGACAGTCTGTTCTGCATTGCCTTGCTATAAATCCTTGCCCGTTTCAATGAAGGAACGCGGGAGGCAAAATGAAGTGATGTAAGAAAGTAAAACAAAGGGAAAGGAAAGAAAGAGGAAGTGGAGTGACAGATCAGCAGTCGGAATTTAACAATGTGGTCATCCGTATTTCGGCCTCCGCAGGAGGATGCCAGAAACGGAGAAAAAGCGGGATTTAATAAGCGTGTTATTTAACAATCAGCATATTGAATAAGCCGGCGCGGGACTACCTGCCGAGACTCCAGCACCCCCATCTCAAGCCCAGATTATTAAAATAACCGATTTGCAAATGAGAAAAAGTGGGAAAGCTCAAAACATGCGGCAACGTAGAGACCTGAAAGAAGGACGAAAGTAAAGGTTTTTTTGGGGGGGGGGAAAGCTTCTATTTACCCTATCTTGGTCCAAACCAAAATATGTCACCCGAGTTATTTAACAAAGGGGAAAAGTCCCCGAATGGAGTTTTCCCTTCAAACTCAGTACTTGTTTAAAAAAAAAAAGGCATTTAATTGTATCGGTGCAAGCCACGGGAAATGATTTTATGCACCGTGCGGTGTGTCTTTGTGTTTATACATGTGTAAGGCTTGCTGGAGTCCAGGTTGTCCTGGCGCTCTTGGTATGGCTGCCGGTCCACAGTGGCCCCTCGCTCAAGCAAGTGACCCTTGCCTGGGTCACTTGGGGTGGTGGTCAGTCTTTTCCCAGCCGGCGGGTCAAGTGAAGGGAAGGTGACCAAGTGGCCAGTCGGCCCTTCTTCCCTCTCTCTTCTCCCTCTCTTGCACTGCTTGCTGGGCTCTCCTTCCACAGCCTCTGCTCCTTCCTTGATTCCTCCGCTTGCCTCCCTGTCACTCACACTCTCTCCCTCAGACCTGCCCCACAGAAGCCTCCCCTATCCTGCCCCCTTTTCTCCCTCAGGGTTGCCCCCATAGAAAGTAATCGTGTCCCCTTCTCTCCCTCAGGCTGCCCCATAGAAGCCTCCCCTATCCTGCCCCCTTTTCTCCCTCAGGGTTGCCCCCATAGAAAGTAATCGTGTCCCCTTCTCTCCCTCAGGCTGCCCCATAGAAGCCTCCCCTATCCTGCCCCCTTCTCTCCCTCAGGGTTGCCCCCATAGAAAGTAATCGTGTCCCCTTCTCTCCCTCAGGCTGCCCCATAGAAGCCTCCCCTATCCTGCCCCCTTTTCTCCCTCAGGGTTGCCCCCATAGAAAGTAATCGTGTCCCCTTCTCTCCCTCAGGCTGCCCCATAGAAGCCTCCCCTATCCTGCCCCCTTTTCTCCCTCAGGGTTGCCCCCATAGAAAGTAATCGTGTCCCCTTCTCTCCCTCAGGCTGCCCCATAGAAGCCTCCCCTATCCTGCCCCCTTCTCTCCCTCAGGGTTGCCCCCATAGAAAGTAATCGTGTCCCCTTCTCTCCCTCAGGCTGCCCCATAGAAGCCTCCCCTATCCTGCCCCCTTTTCTCCCTCAGGGTTGCCCCCATAGAAAGTAATCGTGTCCCCTTCTCTCCCTCAGGCTGCCCCATAGAAGCCTCCCCTATCCTGCCCCCTTCTCTCCCTCAGGGTTGCCCCACAGAAGCCTCCCCTATCCTGCCCCATTCTCTTCCTCAGGCCTGCCCCACAGAAGCCCCCGGCAGCCCCCCAGCTCCCACTCCCTCTTCCCCAGCCCCCCACAATCAGCTTGAGCTGCTTTAGCTCACCCCTCCGCTATATACCTTTATTTGTTTTATTAACGAGAATACAGTGCAAACAGAAAATCATATTAACCGACAAAAAAGGGGGGCAAATTGTGCAAAAAAGGGGAAAAAAGAAACCCAACTACCAAATTAAATCTAACATTAAGACATAAAGGATCCACCCCAACTGAATACTGAAAAAAAAAGCAAATTAAAAAAAAAACCTGATCCAAAGGTAGGTACTCCTTGACTTACAACAGTCCATTTAGTGACTGGTTGCAACGACACAGAAATAAAGTGACTTGTGACCGTCTTTCGCCATGAAGACGGTGGCAGCATCCCCACGGTCACGTGACGGAGATCCGGACGCTTGGCCACTGACTTGTATTTACGACGGTGGCAGTGTCCAGGGGTCACGGGATCCCCTTTGGCGACCGTTCTGGCAAGGAAAGCCAATGGCGAAGCCAGATTCATTTACCAACGCCGTTACTAACTGAACAAGTGCAGTGATTCACTTAACAACTCTAGCGAGAAAGGGGGTAAATCGCGCCAAAGATCCCTTTAACAAAAGTATTAGCAACAGAAATTTGGAATCACCTGGATGGAAGTTTATGCAAAAGGGCTCCCTAACTGCCATTCCGCTTTTCCTGGAATGTTTCTTGATTGGCTCTCTGCTGCCACTCCAGGATTCTTCCTTCAAAAGAAAAGATAGCTGTAGTTTTTCTCCTTTTCTCCCCCCAAAAAACAGTTAAGTTTGCTTTTTTTAAAAAAGAAAATTCTAGCCTTAAAATCCAAATCTGGAGACCAGGCCTCCTCCAATGGGGCTGGCAGGGGAGCAGGTGAGGATCCGGGAGGTTGCCAACGAATTTGGGGAATTTATTAAAACAATTAGGAAATGAACGCGGAGCTCTCAAGACAATGTTCAAAAGAAAGGACATTTGTTCGCTTTCCCCCCAGGTGTTCCTCTCGATCTCCCCGGAAAGATGGAGGAGAAAGAGGACTTGGAACCCATAATCCGAAGTAATGTGAGTTTGGAGGGCTGCTGAAGTCGCGGTTTATCTTGATCCGTGATTATTTCTAAGCTTCAGGGCAAGGCAGGGCAGAGAAATTATAAATAATTTCTGAAGAAATTAGAGCTCTCGCTCAAGTGTATTTTTATTTTTTTAAAAAAATGCAGTGCCTAGACAAGTTTTAGGACTCTCTTAATAACTCAGAATTGACCCTGATTTCTTTGTGGTTAAGACACCACCAGGAGATGCCCGGGGTGCAGACTAACATGGGGGAAAATAATTACCTTTCCTAACAAAAAAGCAGGGGCAGAAGATCAGCCTTGTTCCCATCCAAGCCAGAAACTGTAGGGCTGAGATGAGAGGGGAGGTCTAAGATGTGTTGTGTTGGTTTTTGTCCTTTTCACTCAAGGAATTGTGTTGTTGTTTTCCTCCCCTTGCACCATCTCATAGAAACTGACCCGCCCACTCGTTTTGTCAATATTGGGTGCCAGTTTGGGGTTCTTCCAGTATGGATACACGTTCTTTCTGATCACCAATCCCGCTGTGGTAAGTGAGCCCTGCTGTGTGTCGCTGGGCAGTCCCGGGTTGGGGACTTGGCAATTATTCACACAACCTGCTGCCCTGCATTAGGATTGCTGAGGTTACTCTGCGTGGGCCCAGTGTCTCGGGTTTTCATGGCACATGGATGCTGGCTTAGCCCTCCCCATCGGGGTTTCAAATGATATTGTCTGCCTCTCCTCTTCTCTCTCCTTTCCATCTTTTTTTTTCCCCTTTCCTTTCTCTCCCTTTCTCTCCCTTCCCTCTTTTCAAAAAGCACCTTTGGGAAACCATGGTTTTTTTTTCCTTAAAGAAAAAAAGCCAGGATGGTTTTCCACCTGCGAAGTCTCACCTGCCCACCTTAATGGCCAAAGGTCGAATATATTGTTTGGCGGGGAAACGGGAGAAAAATGTCCCAAAGTTTCTAAGAAAAATAAATTGGTTTAGCATCTCTGCTCCAGATTCCTTCAAATGGCAAATCAGGACCTGGGTTTTTCTTAGGGACTGTGAGCTGACAGCCTACCTCGCAGGATTGTTGATAGGTGCAACGGAGGGAGGCAGCTGGGAAGGAAGTGCAGCACAGATGTGTGTTGTTGATGCGGCTTTCCATTTTATATTTTTAAGATAAAGATGCAGTTGGTGAATCTTCAGAACGAAGGGATCGATACAGGCTCCGTGCATTTTGAGTTCTTTATATTATTCAGCATTTTCGTCCCCTTCGGAGGCCTTTTTGGGGTGTATGTTTGGAGCTGTCTGGCAGATAGATATGGCAGGTACTGGCACACCTTAAACATAATTTCTGGGCTGTTTCTGTTGGCGTTCATGCCATACATTGGCATGTAAAATCAACCCCTTTCCTGAGTACCCACTCAGCTCCTAAGCCCCAGAACCTATTGATCGACTGAAAAGAGAACCAATGTTTAAACTTACCAAGATTAACAGGACTGTGTTTAAATAACAGAATAACAGTTGGGAGGAATTTTGAATTTTTCCTAGTTTTTCTGCTTGAGCAGGAGACACCTATAACATTTCAGAAAAATGGTTGTTCAATCTCTTCTTAAAAACCTCCAGTGATGGAGCACCCACAACTTCTGGAGGCAGGTTGTTCCACTGGTTAATTATTCTCACTGTTAGGAAATTCCATTTTCATTAAATTAGACATACCCAAGAGCCCCTGAGCAGAGGGAAGTAAGTAAGTTAGAATCGTCCTTCTACCTCCAACTGTACTAATATTCTATATATTTTGAAAATTATTCCCTTAAAATGACAATCAAGAGGTTGCTGGTGGTTCAGGACTTAAAAAATTAGCATTTTTTTTTTTTTGTGATTCCTGCTTCCTGAATGTGTCTTTTTCCATGTCTTTTCAGGAAATGCGCCCTATTAATTAGTAATGCAATGAATGTTTTTTTGGCTGCCATCCTTTGTTTTGATAAAATATTCCAGAGCGTTGAATTCAGCCTGTTTGCCCGTTTTTTGGCAGGAATGGAATTAGGTGAGTCCGTGACCATTTTATTTTACGCTCCCAAATAGAAGAACTAAACTCTACCTTTGCATTAAACGTCCCTTAATTTAGGAGTTTGCCTTTGCGATGACAGATATCTATTCAGTGGATTCACAACATCCTTTCTGGACTACTAGCACAATGGATCTCAGGTCTGCCATCTTCAGCCTAGGAATCAGGATGGTACTTTCCAAATATCCTGAGCATAGAACATGCAGGTATTACTTCTGTTAGCAAGAAAACAGGGCAGTGAATCCACCAGGAAGAAATATCCCTAATGAATGCAGAAATAAATTGGATGTAGAAGGAAATGGATTGTACCCAGTTGCCAGGATTTTTGCAACCTAACTCTTGTCTCCCCTTCAATAAATCTGGTTAAAAAAAGACCCTGAGGATTTTAGTGATAGGGAGACGGCACTCAGATTCATACCCTTGAAATGACAAAAAGCAGGCTAGGGAGAGAAGGGCTGGTAAACCAGGGCTCCTTTGCACATAATTTAATTTCTTGGCTCCGGGATTAGTTTTGAGATACTAGCCCAAACCGGAGCGCCAGGCAGGAACACGTTAAGGTTGCATTAGGATATCAGAGCATTGTTATAACACAGTGTTCCCTAACCTGGAGATTTAAAACCACAAATCTCAGGGCCAGCCACACACCGTAGATGCTCCTAACTTTGGCACTCACTAGAATGCAAGCTGTGACTGTCATGCAATTTTTAATTCATTCCACAGGTATGTTTAGTTTCTCCGTCCCTCTCTACATCCTTGAGATCTCTTCCTTGAATCTCAGAGGCGCCTTGCTGACAACTTTGGTCTTCTTCTTCAGCTGGGGATACATACTGGTCCAAATCTTAATTAACCCCCAGATCTGGGGAAACGAAGAAAGTAAGTATTTCTGCCTCTGTCGTTGCTGCAGACTTTTAAGTCATGCTAAGCCAGGAAGGGCATCTTTCCATTCTCAAAAAAGTCCCAGCAAAGAAGGATCAAAGCGAGAGAAAAGGAAGGAGAAAAGAGACAAGTTGCTTCTAAAACCTGGAGCAGGATCAGCAACTTCCTAACGTTCCTCTTCCCTCTCTCTCTTTCTCTCTCTCTCTCTGCCACAGATTATTCATTATTAGTGGGCGTTATTGCCATATTTGCTATACTTAGTAGTATATTTTTGTTGCCTTCTCCGGAAAGCCCGAGGTTCCTGTACATGCAGAGGAATGACAAAGAGAAAGCAAGACAAGGTAAGGGCCACACGAGTCTGGCCTTATGAGCCACACATCTGGGCCAAAGGGAGGATCAGGCCTGCCCTTCAGATCTGCAGCGCTTGGTGGCTCCTTCCAAATGTAGCCCCTTTGCCAATCGTGGCCCCCGTAAAGGAACCACGTTTTAGATGGTTGCTTAAGAGGTCCTTTGGGTGTGTCAGATACTTTGGTGGGAATGGAAAAGGTGAGCTCCAAGAGGCCGTGGCTAGAGATGGTCCTTCCTGGGAATTATCTTAATAAGAGGGGAGATGTCCTCAGTTTTGTTCCCCACATTCCTTGCACTAATGAAGTTGGAAGCCATCATCCCAAAGGTTGCTTCTTGGGGGTGTCCTCCAGAAATAGAGTGAGGGTCTTGGAGTATGGCTGACCAGGCCACCCAATTTCCAAATGCTCTCAGATGTGAGAAGTAAAGGAAGAAGGGGAGAAGAGGGTTACAGGCTGTGCCCTGGACCAGGGGTAGGCAACCTCGGCTCTTTTATGACTCATGGACTTCAACTCCCAGAATTCCTGAGTCAGCATAGGATAGCTGACTCAGGAATTCTAGGAGTTGAAGTCCATGAGTCATAAAAGAGCCGAGGTTGCCTACCCCTGCCCTGGACTCTGGACCATCCCAGCCCTCCCAAACTCCAGAGTTAAGACCAGTTGGACTTAAAGGAACCACATTTTAGATGGTTGTTTAAGATACTTTGGTGGGAATGGAAAAGGTGAGCTCCAAAAGGCCGTGTCTAGAGATGGTCCTTCCTGAGGATTATTAGTATGGCTGACCAAGCCACCCAATTTCCAAATGTTCTTGAGATATGAGAAGAAAAGGAAGAAGTGGAGAAGAACAGACTATGGGTTACAGGCTTTGCTGTAACCATCTAGAAACCCTGGACCATCCCAGCCCTACCAAACTCCAGAGTTAAGACCTGTTGGACAGGGGCGGCATGAAAACCCAACTCTATACTGCTCTGCACATTTTCTTGTCTTCCCCTCCTCTTCCACCTCCTCTAGTCTTGAAGATGCTGAGAGGGGAAGAAGATGTAGAGGAGGAGATGGAAGAACTTTATCAGGAACACCTTGCCGAAAGCAGCCAGAAGAACATGACCGTGTGGAAACTTCTTCACTTCCGCAGCCTCCGGTGGCATCTCATTACCGTCGTGGTCTTAGTCTCCGGAACTGGATTTGTGCAAATAAACATGGTTAGTGACTTCCCCAAGCAACCTCGCATAACAAAGATGTTTCGTTTGCTTTTGCACGGCTCAAATGGGGAGTCTCTGTCCTCGTCAAAGTGCCGAGTACTGGCTTGTAGCTAGGAACAAAGTTTTTGGATCCACATCCAGACTGTTCCTGGGCTCCAGGACAACGGAGGGTTGGAGAGGTAGCTGTTACAGTTTACAAAAGGGCAAACTGTGACGGAATGTGGTCTGGATTCCCAAGAGGGAGAAAATGAATTCTAGTTGGCCTGAGAGAAAGAGGGTGAAGATGGCTCCTCCTTAATAGTTCTCAGTGTTTATGCTTTATCGTGCAATTCTCTACTATAATTTGGCAAGATTTTGTCTGCAGATGATAAATCTACTTAGAAGAATTGCAACTTGGGTTTTTAAAGCCTGACTCAAATACTATGCATGCCTCTATCTGCATCTCTTTTGTCCTTGATTGCAGATTTTAATTTTCGCCCAGCAGACCTATAAAGTTTTAGGACTGTCCGCCAAAGATATAAACCTCCTTTCCTTAGTAGGAAGCTTGATCATCGAGCTGACGCTTCTGACAACCGTAAGCCACGTCAAATCGCCACTTGATTCCTGTTTTGTTCGTGTTATCAGCTGCCTCCGTCACTCCACCGAACTAGGGTGACGTACCCCAGAGCAATACAGCCAGAGGGGAGCAGTTTAAACTAGCAAAACCACGATAGCAAAAGCAAGGACCAGGATTCTTTTAGCCTTGATGAAGAATTGTGGGCTCATTTATTTGATGATCCACTGGTTTGTGTTCTTGGCTGTCCATGGTCTTCTCAGGACTTTTTCTCCAGGGTTCTGAAGTGTCAATCCTTTTCTGGTTTGCTTTTTTTTCTAGATCTGCACCATTGAGTCCTTGGGGCGGAGGTTTCTCCTGTTGAGTGGCTTCTTGATTTGTACCATCTCAAATATTGCTCTAGTCTTCGCTTTTCAGGTGGGTTTCCCTGTTCTTTCACACACACAAACCTTCCCAACTCATGAAAATCGATCCGGTGAATTTCACGCAGTGGGTCAATTGCACCAATCTGTCAATTTCATCCAGTTGGTCAGTTTCACCCATTTGACCATTCCATCCAGTTGGCCAATTTCACCAACCCATCAATTACATCCCTGTCGGTCAATTTCACCCATTTGTCAATTCCATCCAGTTGGTCAATTTCACCAATCCATCAATTACATCCCTGTTGGTCAATTTCATAGAGTTCATGCCATTCTATAGATGGGTTGCCAAACCGCGTGGAAGAGAGGTCGGTTGAAGGTGTGGAGTCGGGGGGGGGAGGGGGAGGGATACTGCTTTGATGATCACCCCACAGGTGCTTCCCTCTTCCCCACAGGTCTACAGCTCCTCACTGATCTTCACCAGCATTGTTTTGATCCTCTTCTTTATGGGCTACGTAACCGGACTAGGTTTGTGATCAGATGGGATATGGAGACTTTGCAAGGGAACATTTTGTGAGGGTTTTTTTTGCTTTTTTTTAAAAAAAAAATTACAAGACTTCCTCTGTCCATCCAGCTTCCGTTCTTCCTTTGATTATCGGTGAATTGTTCCTCCAGTCGTCCCGAGTGTCAGCGTGTGTGATTGCAGGGTTCGTCAGCTGGGGAGCCAATTTTATCTCAGCCCTGCTCTTTCTTCTGACCAAGGTAAGGGATCCTATAATCCCTTTGAAAGTTTAAAAAGTAAATAAAATATTTATTTAAAAAACTCCTTGGGGATTTTTTTCCAGTACGGAGGTGATCTTATACCGCGGAATTCGTTGTGTGTCTCACGGGCCTGACGAGTTTGATCTTGCCTCTCATCTTTTTTTTAATTTTTGTTTCTGTCTCTAGTCCCACCTGGGATCCTACTACTTGCTCCTTTACTGGCCTTTTATGATCCTCACCTCTATTTACATTTTCTGGGTAGTCCCGGAAACCAGAGGAAAGACATTTCAAGAAATCCAGGAGAGCATGGCGGTCTACACCTCCAAAGATTCCGCAAAAATAACGGCTGAATAGAAATGGGAAATCTCTTTCTTCCCTCTGTCTTCAAAATTGATCTGGAATTTTTAAAAAAACGAAGTAAATAAGACGTTTTCTGCAAGCTGGATGGATTTATTTGTATTTTTTTGAAGTGTACAACGCTACATGGTAGTTTGGCAAAAACAAAATCAGCTTGTAAGCTTAACAGAGCTCTGTGAGCAGAGATGTTGGGGTGTAGGCCAAAGCAGAAAATTAATCCTGCAGGACTCCCCAAAAAAATTTCCATTGTTGAGATTATCTAGAGAAAGAGAATCCTGCAAGGCTGATTGTGCTTTATTTCCTGTTCTTTTGATGCTCCAGTGAAGCAAGAATGCACTTCCAAATATTATCTTATTCCCCAGAACATAAAATAATGTTTCAGCCCTTTTTAGCTATAATTCTTGCCTATTTCTGCCAAGGTGATTTTCCTGACTCTCTAGAGCAGTGGTTCTCCACCTGTGGGTCGGGACCCCATTTGGGGTCGAACGACCATTTCACGGGGGTCGCCAAACAAGGCTGTCCGCCATTTTTTCCCCTTTTCTTTGGCCACGCCCCTGGCACCCGGTGATGTATAAGTGGTTGGGGGTCACCACAACATGGGGAACCGTATTATGGGGTCGCGGCATTAGAAAGGTTGAGAACCACTGCTCTAGAGGGGATCAGGGAAAGAATGTAGCTGTAGTTTCCCTTAAATGAAATGTATGGATTTCTGCCACTTCTTTCTTGCAATATCAAGAGATCTCCTTTTGCAACAAAAGGAAGTATGGCTAAATTAATATTTTAAATGCCCTCGCAGCTGTCACCAAAGTGAAACTGAGTGTACATTGTTGGAAGAAAAATCCAGTCTGGTTCCAAGCCGGGAAAAAGAACACAGGAGTCAATGAAATTGAAGGCAGGCTGCAGGAAAGGAGGTCTTCATTTATTTAGGAATCAGGAGCGAAGTGACTCAGAAACTTTAAAAAACCCTGACAAATTCTCCTTTTGTGACCTTCTGGCAAGCAAAATCAATGGGGAAGTTAGAGTCACTTAATAATCTTGTTACTAACTTAACAACGGCAGTGAATCACTTAACACATGGGGCAAAAAATCACTCAACTGCCTCGCTTAGCAACCAAAAGTGTGGGCTTGATTGTGGTCATACGGTGAGGACGGCCTGTATTCGCCTGGGCTTAGGTTGGGACAGGACAACTATCGGCAATGGTCTAGAGCAGTGGTTCTCAACCTTTTTAATGCCGCGACCCCCAACCGGTCGTAAGTCGAGGACTACTCAACTGGTGCAGCACCGTTTGCAGAATGGGACTTTTGGTGGGCTCAGCCGGGCAGAGACAGCCTGGACAATTCCTACTGGCTTTTGAAAGCCAATAGAATTAGACTCTATTCAAGAGAGTCTATTTTATTGGCTTTCCAAAGCCAATAGAATAAAAGGGAGCAGCACAGCTAAGGAAAAGGGGGGGAAAATGGCGGACTGCATTGTTTGGCGACCCCCGTGAAATGGTCGTTCGACCCCAAATGGGGTCCCGACCCACAGGTTGAGAACCACTGTGCTAGAGCAGGGGTAGGCAACCTTGGCTCTTTTATGACTCGTGGACTTCAACTCCCAGAATTCCTGAGCCAGCACAGAGCATTGCATATGCTTAACCAGGTTTGCCTTAGGGCTGTCGGAATCGGCTGATGTTACATTCCATATGGAAATGTATGCAAATCATCTCCTAACTGCCAACCGCTTCTCCCGGAATGTTCCCGCCTCCTTTGCCCGATTGGGCTTCATCGGCTGCTCCAGCGTTCGCTCGAAACAAAATCAGGGGGAGCAGATCCGGCTGGTCCCTTTTCACGCCATGACGCACAAAAAACCCCAGTAAGTTGGCATTTAGATTTTCTTCTTTTTCCAGCCGGAAATGCCGGAGCTGGGAACTGGCATTCTCCAAACAGGCTGGCAGAAAACAGCGCTTGAAGACCAAGAGGGTGCCGACAAATTTGGGGACTTTAGGAATGAAACGCAAAGCTCTCAAAAGAAAAGGTGGAGAAAACCTTCCGTTGGTGTCTGTTCCCTTCTCTCTAATTTCCTCTTTGAGAAACGCCGTCCATCGTTGGTGATTAGCTCTGTGGAGCCTCCCTGACCGGCAGCAGTCTACCTTTGAACAGGAGCCATCAGGGAGCACAGTTCGGGGAGGTTCTCTGGCTGGATTCAGGGGGAGAAACGCTGACAGAATTTTTTGCTTGTTTCCTTTTTTGCTCAATCAGGGTCCCTCTTGGTCAACCCAGAAGAATAGATAACAAAGAGAAACCAAAACCTACAATCCGAGATTATGTGAGTTTGGCATATCGGGATTATTTTAACCTTCAGGGCAAAGAGGGCGGAGATTAGGGCTCTCCCAGAAACGACACAATTAAAAATGGTTTCTAAAGGAAGTCCTCTGTTAACTTCAGAATATATTTTCACGGCAGCAACCTCGCTGTGTCCATGAAGCAACCAATTTACGTTTTTTGAAAAGAAGAAACGTGGCTTACCCCCATTCCAGTAACCATTGTTTGCTTTCCTTCTGTTGAAGCTGACCGGCACATTAATTATGTCTATGTCGGTTTCGTATCTCGGACATTTTGAGTATGGCTACACTCTCATATTGGTGCATCACCCAGCTTCGGTAAGTCTGACAAAGTTAGCCAGGGTTTGTCTGGCACAGGAGCTCTGATTAAACCCCTGGCTTGAGGTCTCCCTACTAACCCTGCTCAGATGTTTTGGCTGAACCCGGTATAGCGTGGTGCCTCAGCCAAGATAATTTCCTTTTGTTTGTCCTCTCTTCCTTTTTTCATTCATTCTTCTAAACCGGGAATTGACGGGTCTCTTCAGCTGGTGTTTTGCAACACCCGTTGAAAGGCAAAAGTGCCAGGGTGTGCCAAGGAGCTGGTGGGCAGAAGAGTGTGATTTCCCTCAGGTTCCTGTCCTGTTTACACACACAATATCCTTTGCCACACACATTAGTCTTTGCTGACTAGCAAGGCCATCCGTGTGTGCTGTGCTAAATTTGATTTTTCACTGTAGCTGTTCTGGGATGCAAGTCAGAGACTGAGACCCCTGTTACGTTTTAAGCGTTTGTTTTGTACCCCAAAGCTTTAAATTTAATTCCTGGCTGATCCAGAAACGGGAACTCTCTTCTTTGCTTCCTCATCTCACTCATTTTTCCATTTTTCCTCCCCTAAGCTCTTTGTTGCCAACTTGACAAAGGAGGAAGTGAAGAATCTGAAACACTTTTGGTTCATCTTATCGCCCGCTGTCATATTCTTCCCAATGGGAGGGTTCATCGGCATTGTGTTGTTCGCAAACCTGGTGGACAAATATGGCAGGTAACAGAAGTGGCAAAACAATTTGGGGAAGGGGACACGTACAATTTCTCTATACTGTGGAGCAGAGCCAATGTTATGCAGGAATCTCCTCGTGGTCTCTTTTCCAGGCATTACTCTATACTATACAGGTAGTCCTCGACTTTTATGACCACAATTGAGCCCCACATTTCTGTTGCTAAGCGAGACAGTTCTTAAGTGAATTTTATTCCACTTTACAACCTTTCTTACTACAGTGGCTGAGTCACTGCAATTGTTAACTTAGTAATAGCAACAGCACATACTTATATACCACTTCACAGTGCTTTACAGCCCTCTCTAAGCGGTTTTTACATAGTTAGCCTATGCCCCCCCCCAAAATCTTGGTCCTCGTTTTACCGATCTTAGAAGGATAGAAGGCTGAGTCAACCTTGAGCCGGTCACGATTGAACTCCAGACTGTGGGCAGAATTAGCCGGCAACAATGTATTCTAACCACTGTGCCACCAGGGCTCTTAACACGTTAAGTCAATGGTTCTCAACCTGTGGGTCGGGACCCCATTTGGGGTTGAACGACCATTTCATGGGGGTCGTCAAACAAGGCTGTCCGCCATTTTTTCCCCTTTTCTTTGGCCACGCCCCTGGCACCCGGTGATGTATAAGTGGTTGGGGGTCACCACAACATGGGGAACTGTATTATGGGGTCGCGGCATTAGAAAGGTTGAGAACCACTGTGTTAAGTGAATTGACTTTGCTTGTCAAAAGGTCGCAAAAGGGGATCACATGACCCCAGGACACTGCAACCGTCACAAATATGAACCAGTTGCCCACGTGACTGTGGAGATGCTACAATGGTTGTAAATGTGTAAAATGGTCACTATTTTCAGTGTCGTTGTAACTTCAAACGGTGTAAGTAAGAACTAGCCGTAGCTCTCTTTTAAATGAGGTTGCTAATATCTTTTTCACACCTGCCTCCCCCCACCCTTTCCTTTTGCAGAAAGTATCTCTTGCTGTTTAATAACACCTTGACTTTCGTCGTCTCGATTTTTCTCTGCATTTCCAATAGCATCCGTCTCTTCGAATTCACCCTGTTTGCCAATTTTATGACTGGGATATGTTCAGGTAAAGGTTATCTCCGAGAATTGGTCTCCCGGGACTGATTTGTTGATATTTGCCATTTGGGGTGCTGAAGAGGCCGGCCACTTTTTTCAAAACCTGACTGGTCGTAGAGCTAGCAAAATCCCCCATCGTTGTTCAATTTCCTTGTTCGACTTAGGGATCTTTTCTTGCTGCGATCCACTGTACCTCATAGAGGTCTCTCCCACCCCCATAAGAGGATCGATCACGGCAGCCTCAGCCTTCTTCTTCAGCCTCGGCGTTATATTAGGTTACACGCTTGGACTTCCACACATGTTGGGGAACGAAGAAGGTACGTGCGTTGATTGAATTGTCCTTGCGACAGATTTTTGCAGGAGCAGCCAGAATAATTCCCTTGCAGCAGCCCACAAATCCTGGCCCACTAGCACCTTTCTGTCTAAACAGCAACCGTTAGTTGGTCAGATTCTTGTAGAGACCTTAAGCTCGCAATAAATCTTTATACTCGTCTGAACTGCCCGAATCTCCGGATTTCCCCAGCGCTTGAAATTGTCCATCCAAAATGCCTCTTCCTTTACAGGTTTCCCGTTCATGGCTATTTTACTGGGTCTCATTGCTACCATTTGTATTTTGCTCCTCCTGATTTGCCCAGAAAGTCCTCGGTTTATTTTCATCCAGAAGAAGAACGAAACGAAGGCAACAGAAGGTAAAGAGACACTGATCATTAGCAAACCCCTCCTGGTAAAGACCTCCTGGCTGGATCGCAAAAAAATGATACCCTTTTCCCATTGGTTGTACGGCGCACATTTGTTCCTTGTCTCTGCACCTGTGTTCATGGTCTTCCCTCTTTCCAAACAGTTTTAAGAAGCTTGAGGGCCCAAGGGGACGTGATGAATGAAATCAAGGATCTCCAGGAAGAAGACTTTTACGAACTCAAGGCTAACGAGAAAAATATGACGTTCTGGAAATTTTTACATGCTCGGAATTTCCGGTGGCCCATAGTCACCACCATCGTGTTGATGGCCGGAAGTCAGCTTTCTGGCATCAACGGGGTAGGGGGGAAAAGTATCTCAAATCCTGACTAAAAAAACAAACCCAAACCAACCACAGTATGGATCTCATCTCACTTTGTCAAGTTCCTTTCTCTTTTAAGGGCAACCGACAGAAACCCCAAATCTCCTTCTTTCTCTTTTTCCCTGCTCCCCCCCCAAAAAAAATTTGTTTTCCAGTGTCCTCTTCATCACATCCCCTCTTTTTCATCTGGACACAGATGTTCTTTTACGCCAAGAGAGTCTACGTGGTGATGGGGTTATCCAAGCCAATCTCAGAGATCATTTCTTTAAGCATCAATCTTATCATCCTCATCACCATTATTGCCTCGGTAAGCTGCTCACTTTTCCAGCTGACTTCATGGCAAAAGCCCAGGGTAAAATGTGTCACTCCCCCTCCCCCATCCATTAAAAATAAAATAAAATAAATACAGACATTTTGATCTCCGAGCAAATCTAAAGAACAGGAAATAAGGGTTTGTTTGCGGGAATGGCTCTGCTCGGCAGAGACGACCATAACAGAAAAACAAAATTGGAAGGGACCCTGGAGGTCTTCTAGTCCAACCCCCTGCTCAGGCAGGAAACCCTATACCATGTCAGACAAATGGCTGTCCAGTCTCTTCTTAAAAACTTCCAGTGTTGGAGCATTCACCGCTTCTGGAGGCAGGTTGTTCCACTGGTTAATTGTTCTAACTGCCAGGAAATTCCTCCTTAGTTCTAGGTTGCTTCTCTCCTTGAGTCGTTTCCACCCGTTGCTTCTTGTCCTGCCTTCATGCGCTTTGGAGAATAGCTTGACTCCCTCTTCTTTGGGGCAGTCCCTCAAATATTAAAACACTGCTATCATGTCCCCCCTCGTCCTTCTCCTCATTAAACTAGACATACCCAATTCCACCAACCGTTCCTTGTATGTTTTAGCCTCCAGTCCCCTAATCATCTTTGTTGCTCTTCTCTGTGTTGACCAAAACTGGATGCAGTATTCTAAGTATTCAAAGACTTAATAAAGCGGTTCTAATACTGCGCCTGATTTTGATTCTACCCCTCTGTTAATGCAATTTAGGATTGCACTCCAAAGGATTTTGTCACTGCTTGGGAAGCTGCTGTTTTGCAATCCTGGCTGGATCTTGGTGGGATCTCCTGCCTGCCAACTCTGTTTCTCAAAAACAGAGAAAGCACAAAATATAGAATTATAGGATTGGAAGGGAACCTGGGGGGGGGGTCTTCCAGTCCAATCAGCCGGGGATCCTGTATTATTCTGTACAAAATCCAAGGGGCCTTTTTTAAACGATTGCAAAAGTTGGAATTTTCTAGTGGCAGCAGAAAATAAAGAACGAAATAAAGAATGGAGAACTCGGTGGGGGGGTATTTTAACCTGGCATGGAGGCCTCGGGGAAAAGCCACCACAGGGTGATGGGGACCAGCCAGCCACACGAGAGTTCAGGGCTCTGATCCCCATTGCCTCGAGATCCCCCTCCCACCATACCCCTGTCCTCTTGATTTTTTCCTAGATCAATTTGATTGAGATGTGGGGCCGGCGAATTCCTTTAATCATGGGTTTGATGATCTGTAGCATGGCCTGCATCCTTTTAACCCTGGCACTGGAATTCCAGGTTTGATGCTCCCTGCTTCCTGTGGGGAACTCCCCCTTCTTCTTCTTCCTAAGCCCCCCACCTCGATCTTGTCCTTGCTGGGAGGGCACAACCAGTGGGAGCACCTTAAGCTTAGAGAAAGCTGGCTGACAGCACAGGGCGAGGGGTCTTCTTCTCAAGACTATGTGGCTCGCCTTCTTTCTTTCTTTCTACAGGTGCAGAGCCCTCCAGTGTCTTTCCTAAGCCTGGTTTTCATTATTATCTTTTTAATTGGACATATGATAGGACCAGGTAGGTGAACAGGCTGAATAATGCCGAAACAGTGGGGTCTGCAAAAACTAGCAAATGACAGCAGACAGCAGACACATCAAGCTGGAAGGAACCTTGGAGGTCTTCTAGTCTAACCCCTCTGCTAAAGGCAGGAGACCTTATCCCGTCCTGGTCAAGTCCTTTCTTCCCAGGCCCGATCCGTGTGGTCATTCTGGGAGAGCTTTTCTTGCAGTCGACCCGCGCCTTGGCTTTTACAATTGGGTTCAGCGCCCTGTGGTTCAGTCGCTTTGTCTCTGGGATGATCCTGATCCAGCTGGAGGTAAGTCCTCATACGAGCGTGGGTGGGTGGGGTGCCACTTTATGGGACCCTCGGGCAGCCTCGGCGCCCTCCGCGGTCCAAAATCTCCCCTGAGGTTTTCAGAGTTGCGACGCTAGACTGCAATCCCCGTGATGGTACCCATTTGAGGGCTAGATACAAACCAAGTTTACCCCAGAGGGTGGCGGTCATAGGCGGGAAAGAGAAGACGCGAGGAACGCGATCGGCCCAGGGCAACCGATTCGTTCAGCTCGCGGATTTGCTGCCAAACCGAATTTTTTAAAAAAATCAACGTGGGAAGGAGTTGCATTTCCGCCGGGACGGGACAACGCGAAGGGAGCTTTGAAGCCTTGTCAAGTTAGAAAAACTCTCCGTGTCATTCTGCCCCTTTCCTAGTTACTCCTGGGCCCCTACTCTCTGCTGGTCTACTGGCCCTTCTGCGTGGCCACCTTCATTTATCTTTTCAAGATGCTTCCCGAAAGCAAAGGCAAAACTTTTGTGGCGATCCAGTTGGCCCAAAAAGAAGAGAAAGGAAACTGAAAGCGGAAAAAGCAGCTGAACTGACTTAAAAGAAAGGATGGCTGGTTTTCAAACAGCGGCCTGTCGGGATGCCACGTTGCTGCTTTTCCTTGTGTGTTGTCCGATGTTTCTTTATGTTTTTTTGGGGGGGGGATTGCTTGTAGGTCTCCTTTCCCCCTGGATCTCAACTCTTTCATTCCACTGAGAATTTGGCGCTACGTATTTCAAGTCTCTTCCTTTCCTTTGCTGGGATAACTAGCTAGAACTCAGATCTCTGTGGAAGACCAGTCCTGGGCATTGGGACACTGCTGGATCCGCGTTGGGTACTTTCACAAAATGGCTACGAAGGAGGGGGTGTGGCCTGGAGAAGAGCCACGCCTATTTGTGCAACCGTTTCTGAATTTCCTTACCTGAATCTTTGCTTGCAGGCTCACAATGGAGTTCTGAGTACTACTAGCAATAAAGGTATTGGGACGTTTTCTGTTGTGTTGCCTTTCCTTTCCGTTTTTTTTTTTAAATTGATTTTTTTTAGAAGCTACAGTGATAAACGTTGTGGAGAATATTGCTGTGCAAGGAAACACTTTTTTTTTTTTTAAAAATCAACCCTCTCCAAACAGTATGTATGTATGTATGTATGTATGTATGTATGTCAGGAGCACCATTGAGAATCTAAGTAGCAGAGCATGCAAGGAAGGGGGAAAGTGGAGGGAACAGGAAAACGAACGAACAAGGCGAAACAGTATATATATGTATGTATGTATGTATGTATGTAGGTATGTATGTATGTAGGTCTTTGGTTATTCGGGTTTTCTCCCACGTAAAATTGGAAGTGTCTTGGCGACGTTTCGACGAAGTCTCATTCGTCATCTTCAGGCTGGTGCTTTCGGCTTCGTGCTTCTAGGATTTGCTCCTAGAAGCACGAAGCCGAAAGCACCAGCCTGAAGATGACGAATGAGACTTCGTCGAAACGTCGTCAAGACACTTCCAATTTTACGTGGGAGAAAACCCGAATAACCAAAGACCTACATACAAACACCCGCGAAAACCTCAGAAACATATATATATATATATATATATATATATATATATATATATATATATATATATATATATATATATGTCAGGAGCACCATTGAGGACCTAAGTAGCAGAGCATGCAAGGAAGGGGGAAAGTGGAGGGAACAGGAAAACGAACGAACAAGGCGCTTATCGTTGTGACCAACTAGGAGGAGAGCCACTGATAACATACAGGTAGTCCTCAACTTACAACTGTTTCGCTTAATGACCGTCAAAAGTTCCAATGGCATTGTGACTTACGACCATTTTTCATAGTTAACGACCTTTGCAGCATCCCCATAACTATGTGATCAAAATTCAGACCCTCGGCAACGGACTAATACTTATGACGGTCGCAGCAACCTTCTGGCAAGCAAAGTCAATGGGGAAGAAAAGTTGTAAAATGGGGCAAAAGCCACTGAACAAGTGTCTCACTTAAGAACGGAAATTTGGGGCTTAGAGGTGGCTGTAAAGCTGGGTATTACCTGCAATAATAAAAAATGGCCCATCTTAAAGGCCAAATGGAACGTTAAGCCAAAGAAAATCTATGGGATTATTAATTACCGTCGGTAGCCTTGATGTTTTGACCTGGTAAATGGATTAATTGCTTTGGGGGTTTTTGGGAATGCCTGAGCCTGCCTCCCCCCCCAATAAATTAATCAAATGGTAACCAACCTTATCAGACAAACCCAGATGAAAAGTAATTCAGGTTACTGTCTGGTTTCAGATAAGTTTTGATCGCTTCTTCTGCTGAGTGAGTTTCTTTCAAATCGTTTTTCACTCTTGGTGTTCTCCCGCCTGCACATCTGGGATATCTAAATGGCACTTCTATAGGAGTGGGCACCAAGGAGTGCTGAGTGTTCACATCTGGAAATTTTAAAGTGGTTGGCACTGCCGCTGGAAAGCTAGATTCAAACTGGGGTGGCTGCACAGCGGCTAAACCAGTGTTCTCCCAGTTAGGAATTCTGGGAATTGAAGTCCATTGCATCTTAAAGCCTGAAAAGCCTGCTAAAGAAAGAGATGGTCCAATTTTGTAATTCCCCTTATCTCTCCCCTCCCCAATTTTCCATTTTTGGGAAATTTCCCTTTTTATGGCTGCAACGCCACAGGACGGTGGTGTTTTCTGCATTGGTAGCTTTTCTCCAGCACCCTGAACCCTTTATTGCAATATTAACATTATAAGCACAGCATAAATATTGTGGAAAACAATTTTAAGAATAATAGTAGTAAGAAAGGCCAAAAGGGATCACATAAGGGCAGTGTTTTCTGCATTCCTACTTCTCCAGCATGGAAGCACTTCATTGAAATATTAATATTACTAATAAGGCTAATAATGATCGAAGTAACGTGAATAATAATCAGGTCCCTGTGAAAAAGAATAAATCCTTTAATGCCTGCAACTCCGTAAATGGCCACGATAGGTCTTCATAATACAATATTAATATTAATAATAACGTTAACATTGGTGAAAATAACGTGAATTGCAACCCCCCAAAATGGCCACGGGATGGCAGTATTTCTCTTCTATCACTACAGCCTGCTATTAATTTTGAACGGCCCATTTTAAATCTATTTGACGTGGTTTAATTTGGATTCCCGTGTCTGTGCCTGTTGTTCAGCACGGGGGGGGGCTTCTTATTGAAATATTAATATTAATAACGTTAACACTGAAGAAAATAACGTGAATAATAATCCCTTGAGAAAAAGAATAAATTCTTTGGCGACTGCAACTCCGTAAATGGCCACGGGATGGCAGAGTTTTAGGTCTCTACTGTGTATGTAATTTTGAACAGCTCATTTTAACATGTTTTAGTTCGTTATCTTGTGTCTGTTACTGTTATCCAGCAAGAGGGCTTCCTAATACAATATTAATATTAATAATAACGTTTAACATTGGTGAAAATAACGTGAATTGCAACCCTAAAAAATGGCCACGGAATGGCAGTATTTCTCTATCACTACAGCCTGCTATTAATTTTAAACAGCCCATTTTAACTCAATTTGACGTGGTTTAATTTGGATTCCCGTGTCTGTGCCTGTGGTTCAGCAAAGGGGGGGGGGTAACATAAATAATAATCCTATCATTTGTGAAAAAGAATAAATTCTTTGACGGCTGCAACTCCGTAAATGGCCACGAGATGGCTTCCTAATACAATATTAATATCAATAATGTTAACATTGGTGAAAATAACGTGAATTGCAACCCCCCAAAATGGCCACGGGATGGCAGTATTTCTCTGTCTATCACTACAGCCTGCTATTAATTTTGAACAGCCCATTTTAAATCAATTTGACGTGGTTTAATTTGGATTCCCGTGTCTGTGCCTGTTGTTTAGCACGGGGCGGGGCTTCTTATTGAAATATTAATATTAATAACGTTAACACTGAAGAAAATAACGTGAATAATAATCGAATCCCTTGAGAAAAAGAATAAATTCTTTGGCGACTACAACTCAGTAAATGGCCACGGGATGGCAGAGTTTTAAGTCTCTACTGTGTATGTAATTTTGAACAGCTCATTTTAACATGTTTTAGTTCGTTATGCCGTGTCTGTGACTGTTATCCAGCAAGGGGGCTTCCTAATACAATATTAATATTAATAATAACGTTTAACATTGGTGAAAATAACGTGAATTGCAATCCCCCAAAATGGCCACGGGATGGCAGTATTTCTCTGTCTATCACTACAGCCTGCTATTAATTTTGAACAGCCCATTTTAAATCAATTTGACGTGGTTTAATTTGGATTCCCGTGTCTGTGCCTATTGTTCAGCACGGGGGGAGGCTTCTTATTGAAATATTAATATTAATAACGTTAACACTGAAGAAAATAACGTGAATAATAATCGAATTCCTTGTATAAAAGAATTAATTCTTTGGCGGCTGCAACTCCGAAAACGGCCACGAGATGGCAGCGTTTTAGGTCTCCACCGCCTCCTATGGGGCTTTGAACGGCCCATTGAAACCCAGTTTAACGATCTTTACCTGGGTTTCCGCTTCATCCCCGCACCTAAACCTTATGATCCTGGTTTCTTTCTCAAGTAGCCGCCTTCCTCTTTCCTGGTTTTAATGCAGAGGGGAGAGCCAGGTAAAAACCAAACCGAATCATAAGTTAAGGTCATAACTTTCCACCCTAAGTACATTTTTAAGTCGTGGCCAGAGAGTTGGGGCGGGAGGGGGGGGGAGGGCGGAAGAAATGCGGCTTTTTGAAGCCTCCGTGTCCTTATGGCTCCCATGCCCATAATCCCCCACCTGAGCACCAACGGTAGGCGATGACAGTTGGAGTCCAAAAATGACCCCTTTCCTGTTCTCTTGCCCTTGGAATGTCCGTTACTGGAATTTACTGGACACTCCTTGACTTTATAGTGGCTGGTTGGGGATGCTGGAAATGGCAGCCCCAAATTAACCAGGATCGAGACGATCTGGGTGGTTGGAAAAGTTAACATTGTTTTTTAACCCCTCTCCCTGTAGTTGTTGGTCTGCTGGTTGGAGCCTGATTTTACAGAGGTGGACCCAAGAATGGCAGAAGAGGATGTGGCTGTTTCAGGAGGGGTAAGTCTGGGGTTTGGAAAAGGGGGCGTCTGGGGTGCGGAAAGAAAAGGGGTGGGTGTGGGGGGGTCACGTAAACCTAAGGTGAGGGGTTTCCGTGGCTGAGGACGCAGCCAAGAGGAATCCTTGCCAATTAAGAGTTGAGATGCTCTCCGTTTCTGTTGGGTCCCAGGGCTTCTCCAGACTTTTGAGGATGGCACCCAGGGCGGTTGGCACTGCCCCACGTTCCCCTTCCCACGTCTCCCTGCTCCCTCTGGCAAGGCCTTTCCTATAATTTCATTTTCTACTTTGTTTTTATTTTTCATTGATGCTTCTATCTCCTCCTCCAGCCTCTCCTTCTCCATTGTCTCTTCCATCTCCTTCTCCGCCGTCTTCCATTGCCTCCTCTTCATTTTTCCTTCTCTTTCTCCAGCTTCGCCTCCTCTGTTATCCTCTCCATGTCCGCCTCTGCCTCCTCCTCCTCCTCCTCTTCCTCCTCCATCTCCTCTTCTTACTGGTCCTCCTCCTGGTCTTCTTCTTCATCCTCCTGGACTTCTTCCTCTTCCTCTCTTCCTCCTTCGCCTCCTCCACCCCCTCCCCCTCCTCTTCCTCTTCCTCTTCTTCCCCCTCCTCTTCCCCCTCCTCCTCCTGCCCCTCCTTCTCCTCCTCCACCCCCTCCTCCTCCTCTTCCTCCCCCTCCTCCCTCCTCCCCCTCCCCCTCCTCCCCCTCCTCCCCCTCCTCCTCCTCCTCCTCCTCCCCCTCCTCCTCCCCCTCCCCCTCCTCCTCCTCCCCCTCCATGTCTATTTCCTGCTCCTTGGACAAAGGTGAGTACCATCCAGCCTGGCAAGGGACATCAGGCACCTGGGATGGGAGGCCGGAAGCCTCAAAAGCTGACCGTCCCTTCCTTCCCTCCCCAGATGCTCACCAGACCCCTTCTCTTGGTGACCCTAATATCTGCCTTTGGCTCCTCTGTCCAGTACGGTTACAATGCTTTTGTGATCTTCCACCCTGCCAAGGTAAGCGCCCTTGTCCCGTTGTGTTTGTTTTTGTTTTGAAGAAAGAAAGGCCAGCTCCTCCACCTGGTGTCGCTCTGCTTTACCTCTTAGTACATCCAAAACTTTTTCAATGAGACTTACCGGTTCAGGAACGTGATCAGCATCGACCTTAGCTTGTTGTGGTTCCAGTGGGGACTCACCGTCGCCTTTTTCCCGTTTGGGGGCTTCTGTGGGGCTCTCATGGCTGGACCACTGGTGGACAGCATTGGAAGGTACTCCCCTCCCTCCCTCCCTCCCTCCCCTTCCCTTCCTTCCTTCCTTCCTTCCTTCCTTCCTTCCTTCCTTCCTTCCTCCCTCCCCTCTCCTTTTTTCCCTTCCCTCCCTCCCTCCCTCCCTCCCTCCCCTTCCTTTCCTCTTTCCTTCCCTTCTCCTTTCTCATCCCTTTTGTTTTCCAGGAAAAAAACACTCCTAGTCAATAACCTTTTGGCCATGATCGCAGCGGCCCTTGTCATTTCCACCAAACCCATGCGTTCCCACGAACTTCTGATCTGTTCGCGGTTCTTTGTGGGAATCTGTGCCGGTGAGTGACAGCCCTGGCGTGGAGGGCCCCAAGGTCCCCCCAAATCTCCCCTGGGCTGCCCTCCCTCTCCCACCTGCTCCACCCTCACCCCCCGCCGGGCTCTTCCGGCACCACAACGAAGCAAAGAGCCTGCTTCAACTCCCACGTCCGATGTTGAGTGCTCCTTCTCTTTCCTCCCCAACCAGGAATTGCCTTCAGCGTGGTCCCCATGTACCTGGCCGAGATTGCCCCCCAAAATCTGCGTGGGGCGCTCTGCACGGTGGCAGACCTCTTCATCACCTTTGGCATTTTGTTGGCAGAAGCCATAGGCTTCCGCGAAGTCCTTGGAACCGAAGAAGGTAAGGGAGAGAGAAAATATGTGTTAAATTAGGGCAATTCCATGTCTGGTGGTGGCTGATTCTGAGCAGGTCTACTTCTTCTTTAGGTTGGCCAATCTTGTTAAGCCTCGCTGGCATCCCGGCCTTGCTCCAATTACTGTTTCTCCCGTTTTTCCCCGAAAGTCCTCGGTTTCTCCTGATTCAGAGGAAGAAGGAAGAGGAAGCCAGGCAGGGTAAAGTTGGATGGATGGATGGATTGATTACTGATTGGGTCTACCTCTTCTCAAGCCAGTTTTGACTTCCCAAGCCACTCATCTCCATTAAAATGGTCAGGGGCTCTCCAGCTTCCTCATCCAACATGGCTGAGGGAGATGGCTTCAGACTAGAGATTGTCCTCATACTTGTTTTTCTTCAGCCTACAAGGAAAATGGCCTTGTAGGAAGCCATGAGAAAACCTTCAACCTTGATTTGGGGGCTGGTGATTATTTTGAGGGTGCAAACAGGCAGGAACCCACTTTTGGGGGGTTCCAGATTGGGGTAGCCCAGCTCTTCAGAAGCAGTTGGGTGTTCTCCAAAGGACGAAGCGATGGGCCTCACGGTTCCAGGGTCTCCCTCAAAACTCTGCCACCTTGTATGTATATTGGCCAGGTTTCCTCTAAAGTAAGTAGTCTTTGAACAGACGGGGTGGGGTGGAAGGGAGCTCCAGAGGGTGGTCTTTTCTTGTCCTCCTCTCTCAATGAATTCTGGCCCTCCTCCTGTAGCTTTGAAGGAGCTGAGGTGCTCAGAGGATGTGGAGCAGGAAATGGAAGACCTTCGCCAAGAGGAGCTGGTGGACAAGGCGGAGAAAGATATGGACGTGATGAAGATCCTGTATTATCCCGGCCTTCGGTGGCACGTGATCTCTATCGTGGTCCTGATGGCGGGTCAGCAGCTCTCCGGGATCAACGCGGTAGGGGAAACCTTCTGGAGAACTTTCCCTCTGTTTGTCTGGAGCGTGTTCCTCGCCCTTGGCCAGTTGAACAGCTGCGGACTTCAACTCCCAGAATTCAACTCCAGCCAGCCGTGGGGAATTCTGGGAGTCGAAGGCCATACCTCTTCAATTTGAGGAAGATGGATCCGAAGCCTGGATCCAGGACCCTCCACCTCCGATGGTCCAGCCTGGTCTGCATCTTGCAAGCCAGTGAAAGAGCAGGGTGATGTATGGGCTTTGTTGTCCTTCCAGGCCCAGTATTACGCGAAGCGGATCTACTTGTCCTCGGGGGTCAGCGAGATGGTTGTGTGGTACATCAGCATGGCGTTGTCTCTCTTCCTGATGGTCTTCACAACCCTTGTGGTGAGAGGAGAATGGGAGTCACTTTAAATATTTCTCCATTTTTCTTTCTCGCTTCACTCTTTTTCTGTCTTTCCTCTTTCTCTTCTTACATTCATTTCTCTCTCTCTCTCTCTCTCTCTCTCTCTCTCTCTCTCTCTCTTTCTCTTTCTCTCTCTCTTTTTGTCTTTACTTTTTGCTTTTCTGTCAAACAAAACACCAGGGAGCGGTTAGCTTGCGACCAAAATGGGGAGCGGGATTTGGGTTGTGAGTTGTGATGGTCGTAAGTTAGGGCGCACACGTGACCGGACTTCTCTTTTGTGCGGCGGTCGCTAAGCAAAACCACACAATTGTAACTCTGGATCCATTCTCCCAAATGAGCGAAGCGGGGTGCACAACAATTTGTGTCAGCTGGAAGTGGTTTAATGGGCCTTTTGTCGTTAACCGACATAACTCTGAACTGTTGTCCAGGGATTGGTCGTAACTCGAGAACCTATGCTGGCACTTTTTAATTTTCTCCAGATCTGCATCGTGGAGACTTCGGGACGCCGGATTCTCCTGCTGACCGGCTTCAGCATTTGCAGCATCTCTTGCATCTTCTTGTCCATGTCTTTGCAACTCCAGGTGGGGGGGGGGCAAATCCCCTAAACCCTAATTTTTATTTTGAAGGGAACCTGGGGGGGCTTTGTGGAAAGACATTTTCCCCGCTGGCTGATGCCAGGAAAAGCAACGATGGAGCAGGTGTCTTTTGTTGATGATGGTCCCCGGGAATTTGCCTGAATATTTTTATTTTATTTTTATTTGTTCATGCCTAACGGCTCCCGGGACAGCTGCAATTAATAGCAATATGGAGCAGGGAGCATTTGACTTTATTTTTAAAGAGATTTATTTTCCCCCCCACTCCCTCTGGCAGAAAAACATCCCCGCCATGGCGTATCTGAGTGTGTCGTTCCATACCATCTTCCTTATCGGACAAGCGACTGGTCCCAGTAAGTATCTTGGCACCGAAAGCTTTGCAGGGGTGTTGCAGATTCAAAAGGGTGCATGTTTTGAACTCGCGTCTGCTGCTAAAAAAAAAAAAAAATTGGGCAGATCAGCTGTTGAAACAAGCACCTCCTGTCTTTGCAACCAGATCCGGTTCCCAACGTGCTGGTAGCCGAGTATTTCCTCCAGACCACTCGATCCACGGCTTTTGTGATCGCGGGAAGCATCCACTGGATTTGCAAATTCCTCGTCATTGTAACGTATCTCCACATGGACGTGAGTCTTTTATTATTATTATTATTATTATTCTTTTCGCCTTGCTTTGACCGAGCTTCACCCTCTCTGTGTCAAAAGCAAGAATATACAATATTTGCATCACTCTGGGCTTTTCTCTGGTTTCATGTAGCCACGCCCATGTTCAGTTCTGACCCCACCCACTATTTAAGGCCCACCCACTCTGGGTACCATCCTTCCGGTTTGACCTGGCCCTACTCATCCTAACCCCACCCACTATTTGACTGAGCTCCATTCATTCTATGTGTCCTGTTTGACCTGGTCCCGCCCATCCTCAGTCTTGGCTCCACCCATTCTCGGTCATAGCACCACCCACTTTGACTGAGCCCCACCCATTCTGCATGCCAGCCCTCCTGTTGGACCAAGCCCCACCCATCCTCATCACAGCCCCCACCCACTATGATCTAGTCCCATCCATTCTCATTCTTAGCCCCCCCATCCCTGGCCATAATCCCACCCACTTTGACCTAGCCCCACCCATTCTGGGTGCCAGCTATCCTGTTTGACCTCTAGCCCACCCATCCTGTCTTAGCCCCACCCACTTTGGCCTAGCTCCACCTATTCTGGGTGCCAGCCCTCCTGTTTGACTTAGCTTCACTCATCCTCAGTCTTACCCCACCCACTTTGACTTAGCCCCACCCGCTTTGACAGCCCCACCTATCCTCAGCCTTAGCCCCACCCGCTCCCTGATAGGGCCCCACCCGTTCCAGATCCCTTCTCCGCCCACTTTGACATAACTCCACCCAGTTTTTGATGCCTCTCCACCCATCATGGATCCCAGCTCCGCCTACTTGGCTATAGCCCCACCAATTCTCACTGTAGACCCGCCCACTCTTTCGACTAGCCCCACCCTTTCCATGCAACTCCAAGACTTGGAACATCACTGGTGGTGGAAAATGAAACTAAGGATTCTTGGTCCGGATTTTGAAGACGTGGACCTATCTTCAGTTTGGCCATGAATCTTCTCTAGAAGATGCTTATCTGCTCCTGGCTCTCTCCAGGATTGAAGCTCCCGAAAGACAGGACTCGTTCCTCTTTTGGTGGGGCAGAAGATACACCTCTGTCAAGACAGAGGGGTCAATTCTTAGACTTCCATTCTCTTCCTAGATCGAACTGGAACCCTACAGCTTTCTATTCTTCTGGCCGTTCAACATCGCCACCGTTGTTTACGTCGCCAAGATGATCCCCGAGACCAAAGATCGAAGCTTCCTGGAGATCAGGAGAGTCGTGTCTCGCCATTTGGCCCAACGGTCGTAATGGTGGTCCTGGGACCTTCTCTGCGGACCATCCGGGCTGCCTTCGCTCAAGGGAAGATGGACTCACAAGATCCCCTCTTAGTTTGGGGGCAGACAACGCCCCCCGTCTCCTCCTTCCAGCCCCCGCCTCCCCAGATGTCGAGCTGTGGAGGTGGGTCCTTCAGCAGGAGGCATCTCCCCCAGGTTGAAGACCACCACGTGTTTCCGCCCAGTTGAATGATCCTCCATGGCTGGAAGGACCAGCTCTTCTCTGATGACCTTTCATGGGGGACAATTGGGAGAGAACCTGCTCACGACGGACTGTCCCCAGGGCCTCTCAACAGGATCCCGGAGACGTCAAAAAACCCATTCTGGCGTTTTTGCCGGTTTTTCTGGAATCTTCTCCTCCTCCTCGTTTTTTTCAACTCCTCTTTTCTGTGGTTGAAACCACCTTTGTTTGGGGTTGAGGTGACCCAAACGCCCACCCGTGCTTTATTTCGCTTTTAAAATATTACTACTATTTATTTTATTTTTATTTTTTTTTAAAAAAAATACATTTTAGCGAATAACCTTGCCTGTCGCATGTCCTTTTGTGGTTCTCCCGCCATCTTTATTGATCTGCGGGGAAAACTAAGCGTCAGGAAAAAATCGGACAGTACACGGAAACGGGAGTGAAATTGTGGATTTCGTAGTCAGAGCCGGAAGGCCTAATTGGGGGGGGGGGACAACTTAGAAAACATTTTTTTAAAAAATCACCATTTGAACAATCTCCTTCGTTTTGCTGGCGATAGGAGTATTAAATATAGTTAACTCAGGTTTTTTTCTCCGTGGGAGAAAGCTTTCTGAGACATATTTCTAATTTTGAAACCGGGCCCAGAATGAGGAAATAATTAGTCCTTGGCTAATGACCTCAATTTGAGCCCAAAATGTGTGTTGCTAAGCGAGACAGTTGTTAAGTGGGTTTTGTTCCATTGTACCACCTTACAGTTAGAATGCAGAATCATAGAGCCGGAAGGAACCTTGGAGGTCATCTAGTCCAACCCCCTGCTCAAGCAGGATGTGGGGGGGCGGCGTGTCAATTATTTTTAATAATTTTACAGTTGTTAATAGCACACAGTTGTTAAGTTGTTAAGGTTTTCCCGTTGAGCTTGCTTGTCAGAAGGTCGCGAAAAGGGGATCACGTAAACCCTGGATGCCGCGACTGTCATAAATATGAATCGGTGGCCAAGTGGCTGAACGTCGATCACGTGGCCGTGGGGAATACTGCGACGGTCGTTAAGTGTGAAAAATGGTCCTGAGTCCCTTTTTTTCCAGCGCCCTTGTAACTTTGAGCGGTCAATAAATGACCTGTTGGAAGTCATTTATAAGTACACAATAACAAAAATAGCATAAGAGGGATACCAAAGGATAATAAACTCTACACTATGAAGCGGTCGTGCAATTGAGTGTTGCAACGTGCTAAGGCGGTAATCGAGTCGTAAAATGAGAACGTAAAATTACTGAGAAGAAGAATCGATCCCCGAAACCTGCCTGAGCAGGGGGTTGGGCTAGATGACCTCCAAGGTCCCCTCCGGGCTCTATAATTTGGCATCCTGCTATCAAATAGCCTCAGTTTGAACTGGCGAGCAACTTCTCCAGCAGGAAGTAGGTTTCTTGTAAAGGGGGGGGAACGAGGGGGTTCCATTGTGTATTCTGGAGCGACGTGTATTCTGAGCCGTGCTGCACAACCACCCTGCCAGGTAGGCTTCTGTTCGTACCCTTACTCTTTGTGTTCTCTGGCACATTTCCAACTTCCTGGCACAGTTGCACCTTCGGTTCTGGCACTCTCCTGTTTTTTTTTTTTTAAATAATAATATAATAATATTAACGATGATGATGATGATAATGAGAGAACTTGAATCTTGGCGACTTCTAACTCCCAACTGTTTGGCTTCTAGAATCTTCTCCCTTCAGCTGCCTGATTGGCTTGGAACCCATCTCTTTCCAACAATCCACAGCCAAAGGGCCGGTTGGTGGGTGGGTGTCTTCCCCTTGCTAAGGAGATGGGGCTTCCCCGTTCGGGAGCAGTCTACCTGCAAAAACTGGGGAGGGAGGGGGAAAAAGGCAAAGCAACACCCGGCCTGGCTTCTGAGTTACTCAGAGGAGGCTGGATTGATGTCCAGCTCATGTCCAACAAGTCTGTTTCTCTCTTAAATAGTGGGAACGCTATTGTCGCGAGTCTCGAGTTCGGATCCTCGTCTCCAAAGCTATGTATCTAGAAGTTCCAGAAAAGGACGAAGAGATTCACCCGAGGTATCTCCATCAGGTGAGCTGGGATTTACTCTTCTTGAGGCGAGATGGAGAGTCACTCGGTGGGGCGTGTTGTGACCCTGATCCGCATGTCATCCCGACTTACGGCCACGCTTGAGGTTAGGGTTATCAGTTGCAGACATATTAGAAAAATGTCTACATTGAATTGTTATTTCTCTATCTCGGGGCTCTTCAAACGCGGCCCTTGGATGACTGGCGGACTTCAACTCCCAGAATTCCTCAGCCAGCGTGGCACGCTGGCTGAGGAATTCTGGGAGCTGAAGTCCACCAGTTTGAAGAGCCCTGATCTAAATAATAAGAATTGTCTTAATTCAAGGTTGGCGAAAGAGAACCTCAAGCAAAGCTATTGTGTGGACTATAGAATTATAGAAACTAATTGTTATTGACTGTTTTTTTAAATATAAACCCAGACAACACGATGTTTGCCAAATATTAAGGTGATCGTGTAAAAACAAATTAATAAAACATATTTTTTTAAAAAAGTGTGAAAATGGTCATAATCCTCCTTTTTTTCAATGATTCCCCCTTCTTCTCTCCCTCTACCTCTCCCTCACTCTCTTTCTCTGTCTCTATCGCTTTCTCTGTCCGTCTTCTCTCTCCCTCTCTTTCTCTCTTTCTTTGTCTGTCTGTCTGTCTCTGTCTCTGTCTCTCTCTCTCTCTCCCTCTCTTTCTTTCTCTGTCTGTCTCTGTCTCTCTCTTTCTTTCTCTCTTTCTCTGTCTGTCTGTCTGTCTCTCTCTCTCTCTCTCTCTCTCCCTCTCTTTCTCTCTTTCTCTGTCTGTCTCTGTCTCTCTGTCTCTCTCTTTCTTTCTCTCTTTGTCTATCTGTCTGTCTGTCTGTCTCTCTCTATGCGTGTGTGTGTGTCTCCCTCCTTCTCTCTCCCTCCCTCTCCCTCTCTCTCTCTTTCTCTCTTTCTCTGTCTGTCTGTCTGTCTGTCTCTCTCTCTCTCCCTCTCTTTCTCTCTTTCTCTCTTTCTCTCTTTCTCTGTCTGTCTGTCTGTCTCTCTCTCTCTCTCTCTCTCTCTCCCTCTCTTTCTCTCTTTCTCTCTTTCTCTCTTTCTTTCTCTCTTTCTCTGTCTGTCTCTCTCTCTCTCTCTCCCTCTCTTTCTTTCTCTCTTTGTCTATCTGTCTCTCTGTCTCTCTCTTTCTTTCTCTCTTTGTCTATCTGTCTGTCTGTCTGTCTGTCTCTCTCTCTCTCTCTCCCTCTCTTTCTCTCTTTCTCTGTCTGTCTGTCTCTCTCTTTCTTTCTCTCTTTGTCTATCTGTCTGTCTGTCTCTCTCTATGTGTGTGTGTGTGTCTCCCTCCTTCTCTCTCCCTCCTTCTCTCTCTCTCTCTCTCTTTCTCTCTTTCTCTGTCTGTCTGTCTGTCTGTCTGTCTCTCTCTCTCTCCCTCTCTTTCTCTCCCCCTCTCTTTCTCTCTTTCTCTCTCTGTCTGTCTGTCTGTCTCTCTCTCTCTCTCTCTCCCTCTCTTTCTCTCTTTCTCTCTTTCTTTCTCTCTTTCTCTGTCTGTCTCTGTCTCTCTCTCTCCCTCTCTTTCTTTCTCTCTTTGTCTGTCTGTCTCTCTCTCTCTCTCTTTCTTTCTCTCTCCCTCTCTTTCTTTCTCTCTTTGTCTGTCTCTCTGTCTCTCTCTTTCTTTCTCTCTTTGTCTATCTGTCTGTCTGTCTGTCTGTCTCTCTCTATGTGTGTGTGTGTGTGTGTGTCTCCCTCCTTCTCTCTCCCTCCCTCTCTCTCTCTCTCTCTCTCCAGGAGCTGACCAGGCCACTGATGACCATCACCATCATCTTAACCTTCGGATCCTCTTTCCAATATGGTTACAATCTCTGGGTGGTGAACCATCCTGCAGCGGTAAGCGGTTCCCCCCCCCCATTCCCTTTCTTGGGGGGGGGTTCTTTGTGGGGGGGGGCTGAAGGGTTGGACCCTTCTCTGCTGCCGCTGAGTGTGCTGTTTTCTGTCTAGCTTATCCAAGATTACTACAACAACACTTTCAGGATGAAGAAAAAAGAGATTCCCCAGCTTATCGGTCTGAATTTCCTATATACTTTGACCAGCGTGATCTACTCCCTGGGGGGCCTCATCGGATCTCTTATGGTTTGCCCCATGGCTGATACCTGTGGCAGGTAATACGAGATCCCAGGTACAGTGAGCTTGCTCTGCTTGGGGGCCAGGTGGATGCAAATCCATCCTGGTTGATCCAAGCTTTTGTTTTTATTTGTGGATTAAATCCGTGTGCTCTTCTGAGACCGACGTTCTCTTGGTTTAAAAAGGGCAGTGCTTTATTTTAGAAAGAAATCCTTTTAAGGACAATTCACCGGTGGAACATCTTGCCTCCAGAAATTGTAGGCACTCCAGATTTTTAAGCAGAGACAGTCACTTGTCTTGAGATGGTATAGGCTCTCCTGCTTGAGCAGAGAAGGGGCTGGACTAGAAGACCTCCAAGGTCCCTTCCAGCTCCTATTCTAATTTATCAAATGCAATTTTATTTTCCTAGTTGGGCTCTGGAGTGGTCTTATGTCACCCAAAGTGACCCACCTCAACAGTGGATTGTTTTAAAAATTCCTAAGAACGGGGCGTTCAGACTCGTCCCTTTTTTTTTTTACATTTCTTGATTTTATTTTTCCTCCCAAGAAAATAAGAGTCAGTGTAGGGGGGAGCCAGTTCCCCAGTAAATAAACCATGGTCGGAAAGAAGATCGATTATATAAGGCGTGTATTTAGGAAGATGCCCCTTAATGCCATCGATCAAATTTTGTGAGCGTTTTCATTACACGTCTTGACATTTACAAACCTTTTGTCTGCAGTTTCTTGCATTGCATTGAAATTCTGTTTCCAGTTTGGATAAATCTTTGATCTTGGTTTGATTTCAATGCCCTTCTTCAGACTGACTACAGATAGTCCTGGATTTGCAACCGTAACTGAGCTCAAAGTTTCTGCCGTTCAGACGGTTGTTAAGTGGGTTTTGCAACAAGAACGTTAAGTGAATCGCTGCAGATGTTTAAGTTAGTAAGACGGGCTGTTAAGTGAACCCTGCTAGTCAAGATTGGCAAAAGGGGAACACAGGACCCTGGGCACGCTGCAACGGTCGTAAGTGTGAAAAACGGTTGTAAGTCCCTTTTTTTTGATGCCGTTGTAACTGAACGGTCGCTAAATGACTTGTTTCGATTCAAGGACTGTCTGTATGTCTGTCCTTCTTTCAGGAAAGGCACGCTGGTGATAGCCAACCTTTTAGCTTTCATTTCTGCCATTTTCATGGGCTTTTCAACCATCGTCCACATGTACGAATACGGGATATTTTCCCGTCTGCTCAGCGGGGTTTGTTCAGGTGAGAAAAAAATGGACGTTCCTTTGATTTGGGAAATTGCAGTTCGGTGGCGACAGTAAGCTACCTCACCGTGAATGTTGGCTGAAAAATGTGGCGCGTTGCTCCTTTCTGCCTGCAGCTGCAGGGGTGGGAAACGAGGAAAGGCCCTCTTTGCGTGCTCAGAGACGCTCTTTTCTTGCACCTTGAGGTCCATCTCAGCTAGACTAGTTTCGTGTCTTTCCAAAATTCGGTGTATTTGCTCTCCCCCCCCCCCCCGTCAGTAGGTGTGAAGGATGGAAGTTAAGATTGTTCCTCCCCCCAACCGATCCGTGAAGAATTCTGATTAGAATAATGATCTTGATGTGTCCATCAATGTATTATTTTGATAGCAGGGACTGGATCGGCGCTTGCTGTGTCAAACCCACCATGGGCGAAGGGAGCATTTGCCAACGTCAGCTTTTGGGGTTCTTCCCGTCTCCCCACTTAAAAACACTAGCACAGTGGTTCTCAACCTGTGGGTCGGGACCCCATTTGGGGTCGAACGACCATTTCACCGGGGTCGCCAAACAACGCAGTCCGCCATTTCCCCCCCCCCCCTTTTCCTTAGCCGTGCTACTCCCTTTTATTCTATTGGCTTTTGAATAGAGTCTAATTCTATTGGCTTTCCAAAGCCAATAGGAATTGTCCAGGCTGTCTCTGCCCTGCTGAGCCCGCCAAAAGTCCCATTGTGCAAACAGTGCTGTACCCGTTGAGTAGTCCTTGACTTATGACCGGTTAAGTAGTCCTCGACTTACGACCGGTTGGGGGTCGCGGCATTAAAAAGGTTGAGAACCACTGCACTAGCACTTTTGTTTTGCAATAGCAAGCAACTTTCTGTAAGCATCTCGGCAAGCTGGAAAAGAGGCCAACTTGAGTTTTTAGGGGGTCTTGATTTTAGGGGTTAGCGCTGGGGCTCCACCTCCCCTTTCTGGTAGCCAAGTTGAATTGGTATCCTTGAACCCCAGAAAATTGTAGACCTCTGCAAGAGATGGCTGGTGCTCCGTTGCCCGGAGGTCATCGGCGATCTCTGTCTCTCCCTTTAAACCAGGGATCTTCTCCTGTGCCGTGCCACTGTACCTTGCCGAGATCGCGCCCCGAAATTTAAGAGGGGGCATCATGACCATGGGCATGGTGGCCGTCACTGTCGGCGTCCTGATCTCACAGATCCTGGGTCTTCCGGAGTTTCTGGGTTCCGAGAGAAGTACGTTGGGAAGGGCAGGTGGGGAATCTAGCCAGGTTCAAGGATTTGGCCCTCTTGCTGAGTGACTGGCTTTCCTCCTTGCACAGAATGGGCCATCTTGCTGAGCTTAACCGGGGTTCTCGCCGTCTTTCAGCTCTTCCTTTTGCCCAAGTTTCCCGAAAGTCCTCGCTTTCTGCTGATTCAGAGGAAGAACGAGGAGAAAGCAAGACAAGGTAACACCAGCCCAGCCTTCTTGACAGACTTGAACCCTGGAGCCTATCTAACCGGACGAAATTCAGCGTGGAGAAAAGTAAGGTCTTAGGCAAGAAAGAAACAACCGTATGGGTACAGACGAGGTGAAACTTGGCTTAATGGCAGTCACTGTGAGAGGGATCTTGGAATCCCAGTGGACAATCCCTTGAATTTGAGTCAACAATGTACGGCAGCAGCCAAAAAAGGCAATACAATCCTACGTTGCGTTAACACGGGGGTCTTCAAATGTGGCCCTTGGATGACTTGTGGACTCTCGACTCCCAGAATTCCTGAGCCAGCGTGCCTGGCTGAGGAATTCTGGGAGTTGAAGTCCACAAGTCATCCAAGGGCCAAGTCTGAAGACCCCTGCATTAACAGACTGATTTGTTCTCTTAGCTTTGAAAGGTTTTACACGCGCCGTTTTGTTGCATGATTTTACTGTAAATAATGGTGTTCGATCATCATCACCATTTGATCGGAAAATGGTGTTAATTTATGTCAAGAAAGCAGCCGTGGTTTTGAATCAGGAATGGAAGGATGGGCCTTGTAGTCCAACGTGTCCCCATATCAAATCAAATCTTAAGCCAGGGTTGCAAATCCAGTCTGAGCCATGTACCCTCGGCTCCAAGATGGCTGAATTCATTTGGACCTACTCGACAGGTCTTTTGGTCTAAAGAAGCCAGATCCAATTCGGCCGTCAGATACGAACATCTCAAGATGTTCCATAATTGGTTTCAGAAAGAATGTGGATGGTTGCGTAGGGTCACCGTTCACAATTATATTGACAACCGTTTGTGTGGGTCTACTCACATGGCTTTTTTGGGGGTTCCTTTTTCCTGTTTCCCTTCCTGTTCTCCCCCCCCCCCAGTCTTGAAGGTCCTGCGAGCCAAAGAGGACGTCGAGGAAGACATAGAAGAACTTCATCAAGAAGATATTGCTGAATTGGAAGAGAAGGAAATGAGTGTGTTAAACCGGCTCACTTGCAAAGGTCTACGGAGACAGATCATCTGCGTTGTCCTTCTAATGGCTGGCCAACAATTCACAGGGATCAACGCTGTAAGGCCCAGGCTGGGGTTGGCTTGAAGGGAAGAGAGCTGGGGGGACTTTGGGACCTGCCCAAATGGCCATGCCACATGGCCATTTGGCTTCTCCATCCTGTTCTGCCACAAGCTACCACCCCTCAAGAGATTTTGGGGGTTGCGATGACCCCTGTTTCCAGCCCAGCTTGCCTTTGGTGGCTGGAGAGCCTGGAAAGTGAGGTTCCAAAACATCTGGAGAACTTCAACGTTGGCATGTCAAAGATGATGGAGGGCTTCAAATTAAGGGTGCCCAAGCGGGTCTGCCGAACGATGGATTTTGTGGTGGGTGGTCTTCTCCTTCCAGGTGTATTACTACGCAGAGACTATTTACAGGACCGTGTGGCTGAACTGGAGAAAACCTCGGTACATCAGCATCATGTCTTCCATATTTGTCCTCTTGACCTTGTTATTTGTTGTAAGTGCTCCACCTCCACGTTCCTATAAACAGGGCTTCTCCCAGCCGGTTTCGTTCAAATCCAATGGGGTTTAGTCCGGAAAACAAACCATGGCATTGAAAGTAGACAGCTACGGTTGGCAAACCTTGATTCAGGCTTCAGCCAATGAGCACGGTGGTCTCTTTGCTTCAGGGCTGTGTTCTGGCCATTTTGAAGACGCGTGGACTTCAGCTCCCAGAATTCTCTGGGCTGACTGGGGAATTCTGGGAGTTGAAGTCCACACACCTTCCAATAGCCCAGGTTGGGAAACACTGCTTTAGAAGGATGTCAACGCTGCTAACATCGGATGTTTCTGCATTGACAACAGATGGAGATGCAGCCATTTTCTTCTTTTTGCTTCTAGAGTTAGATGATGCTGGGGAGGGGGGGGAGGAATATGCATGAGAGTCTAGCTAGACACAACAACACTGGACCTAGTGTGAGAACCAAGGTTATTGAAATAAGAGATGATAAGAATTGGCGGGCTGGAGAGCTAGGGGGGAAGCCTGCGTTTCAAGCTAATCGGGGGATGTGATTTATGACTGTTAACTGGGGGAGGGAATTGTGCTTTGATACTATGTGCTCAGGGGAGGAGAATTCAATTTTTGGCTTCGACCGTGTTAGTGCCGATACTGTGCTACTCAAATAAAGATTTTTTAAGGTAAACAGTGCCTCAAAGTTCTTTTGAAGTTTCGTCTGTTGGAACCGTGACAGATAACCACGCCCAGCTAGTTAGGGGCTTGTTTGACAAACTGTAGTTGAAAAAGACATGGCTTAGCCCCCCCCCCATCCTCTTTCATCTTGGATTTTTCTACCTTATAGACCTATAGCATTGACAGCTTGGGGCGAAGACTCTTAATCTTGGTTGGACTCGGGATCTGTAGTACTTTCTGCGTCTTATTAACCATATCTCAGGAGCTTCAGGTATGTAACTGGAACGTCTCCAAAAATGGGGATCCCTTTCCTTGAAAAACAGTCCCAACTGGCAGAACAGGCCCCCATAATTTCTGCTGGAGTGGGGTGAACGCCCTTGTTTTAAAAAAGGGGAAAATTCATCCCAGCGCGACCCAAACTTGTTGCAGGGTTGCGGTGGAGTTATTGGGGCAAGGGGGGTGTCTTCTGCCAAAAGGTCATTGTCTGTCCCTTTGGTTGTCTCACTTTGGGACGACCAACTCCTGAGGCGCCGAGAAGGCGTGGGAGCCCCCCCCAATCCCATCATATATCTGGGAACCCTTTTGTCCTTCTGGGCGGAGGTTAAAATTTGGCATCTGACAAACCGCTTCGTGAGTGAGGCGCCTGGGGGGGGGGACTTCCGTCGCTTCGTTTAGCGGCCGTTCAGTTACAATGGAGCTAAAAAGGGGACTTAGGACCGTTTTTCTCACCTAACAACCGTTGCAGCCTTGCCACGTGGTCGCCTGATCGAAATTCGTAAATTCGTATTTTTACGACCGTCGCTATGTCCCAAAGTCACGCAATCCCCTTTTGCGACCACGGGGGGGGGGGAAGCCCGATTCACTTTACAGCCAGGTTGCTCATTTCTCCGCCGCAGCGATTCGCGTAACGACGGCTGGCGAGAAAGGCCGCGAAATGGGGCAAAACTCACGTAGCGAATTGTCTCGCTTCACGACGGAAATGTTTTGGGGGGGCCATTGTGGTCGTAAGTCGAGGACTGCCTGTCCTGTAATTTAGAAGACTTCACCATTCAATGGCCTTGGTTTATAGTTTCTTTTTTTTAAAAAAAAAAAAATACGATTCTCGTTTGTTTTCGTGCTCTTGTGTTTTGGATGTTGTGCCGCTAGAAGCCTGCCAGAACTGGCGAGGATCCTGAGGTGAGCAGCCTGTAATTTTAATAAATAAATATAAACAAACTTCCTCCCACAGGTGGCTATCAGTTGGCTGTCTTACGTCACCTCTATCTTGATGGTCATCTTCCTCTTGGGACACATCGTAGGTCCAGGTAGAGCATCTTCAGCGGGAGGAGGAGGGGGAGGGGGTTGGGACTGGGCCGCTAGCCCACTGATCTGGAGGAGGATAATTGGGGTTGCCTCTCTGACCATCTTTTCCTCCTCTTCCTCCTCCTCCTCTTCCTCCTCCTCCCCTTCCTCTCCTTCCACCTTCTTCTCTTCCTCCTCCTCCTCCCCTTTCTCTCCGTTCTCTGCCCCTCCTCTTCCTCCTCCTCCCCTCCCCCTCTCCCTCCTCCTTGCCTTCCTCCTCCCCTCCCCTCTTCCTCCTCCTCCTCCTCCCCCTCCTTCCACCTTCTTCTCTTCCTCCTCCTCCTCCCCTTTCTCTCCGTTCTCTGCCCCTCCTCTTCCTCCTCCCCTCCCCCTCTCCCTCCTCCTTGCCTTCCTCCTCCCCTCCCCTCTTCCTCCTCCTCCTCCTCTCCCTCCTTCCACCTTCTTTTCTTCCTCCTCCCCTTTCTCTCTGTTCTCTGCCCCTCCTCTTCCTCCTCCTCCCCCTCCCCCTCTCCTCCTCTTTCTCTTCTCCTCCTTCTCCCCTCTTCCCTCTCCTTCTCCTCTTCTTCCTCTTTCTCCCCCTCTTCTCCTCCCCCTCCCCCTCCTCTTTCTCCCTCCTTCCACCTTCTTCTCTTCCTCCTCCCCCCCTTTCTTTCCCTCCTCTCCCGCCTTCTCTCTGTCCTTCCCTCCTCCTCCTCCTCCTGCAGGTCCGATACCAAATGTCATCATAGCTGAAATGTTCCTTCAATCATCCAGGTCGACTGGAGTCGTCCTGGGAGGTTTTGTTCATTGGTTTCTAAATTTTATAACTGGAATTATGTTCCTTCAGTTCGGGGTGAGTCGACCCGAATTGGTTGCTGAGCCCCCCCCCCATTTAAATGTGTATTTGTGTGTGTGTGTGTGTGTGTGTGTGTGTGTGTCTATGGGGATTCTCAGTCCTCCAGATCCTGGCTGTTTTCAAGAGGCAACTGGACTTTCTTGTGTGTGTGTGTGTGTTTTTTTTTTCTAGAAGACTGCAAAGAATATAAATCTTTCCATTCCCCACCATTCCGTTAGACCTGAAGAAGCTTCTTGGATGAGAAGCGAAACGTCTTCAAGAAAAACAAAGGAGGTCCAGTGGCCTCTTGAAAAAAAAAGCATTCATGTGGCATTCATGTGTGTGCTTCAACTTGCAGCCCATGGGTGGGGGGGGGAGCCCCTCCAGTCTGGATACTTGTCAACCTGATCCAAATTTAATAGGACATTAGAAACCACATAACGTTTTTAACTATTTGTTTTTTTTCTTTTCCACTCTGCTTAAAAGAATAGAAGAGAAAAGAATTGGAATAGGATTGGAACAGAATAGAAATTAGAGTAGAATAGAAATTAGAATAGAATAAAACAGAACAACAGAACAGAAGAATGGAATGGAATGGAGTAGAGTAGAATAATAATAATAATAATAATAATAATAAAGTTGGAAGGGACCTTGGAGGTCATCTAGTCCAACCCTCTGCTCAACCAGGAAATCCTATACCATTTCGGACATAGAATAGAATAGAAATGCAGAATGGAATGGAATAGAGTAGAGTAGAGTAGAATAATAATAATGATGATAAAGTTGGAAGGGACCTTGGAGGTCATCTAGTCCAACCCCCTGCTTAGGCAGGAAACCCTATACCATTTCGGACATAGAATAGAATAGAAATGCAGAATGGAACGGAATGGAATGGAATAGAATAGAATAGAATAGAATAGAATAGAATAGAATAGAATAGAATAGAAATGCAGAATGGAATGGAATGGAATGGAACAGAACAGAACAGAACAGAATAGAATTAGACTAGAATGCAGAATAGAATAGAATTCTTTATTGGCCAAATGTGATTGGACACACAAGGAGTATTTATTTATATATCCAGTTTAGAAACCCAAATTTAGAATGACTCTAGACTTGCAGTCAGTTCTCACTCATTTCCACACTCTCTTTGCTGGGTTCTGACATTTTGTTGGGGGGGGGGGACTTTGAGTCATACGGGAGGGCTCTTTCTACATTATGCTGACCACTGTGCCTTTTGATCAATTTTTTCCCCCCCAGAGAAAGATTGGATCCTACAGCTTTCTGATGTTCTGGCCTCTCTGCATCGCTAGCTTTGTCTTTATCTTCAGGAACATCCCGGAGACCAAACAGAAGAATTTTCTGCAGATCCGAAACCTCTTGGCTCTCCAGGCCCTCAAAAGAATTAACGTCCAGGAGTCCCAAGGCAAATCCGATCAGATCAGGCAGCTGGATGGGGGGAGGCGTAAAAAACCCAGGGCGACGACCTCCACTGTCCCATCCGTGCCTTCAATTTGAGGAAGTGGCTCATTCCGTTGGGATTTTGATACTCTCTTGTTTGCTGTTTTTAAAATAAACCAGATGTCCTTCTTGTGGAAGAGAATTGTTTGCTTTGGGTTCTGTCAGGGAGGAAGGAAGGAAGGCGGGAGGGACAAAAGACGAAGGAAAGGAAGGAAGGAAGGAAGGAAGGAAGGAAGGAAGGAAGGAAGGAAGGAAGGAAGGAAGGAAGGAAACTTCCACAAAAGGGTGGAAGAGGCATCTAAGAAGGAACTATTATATTACTCCGAGACGTCTCTGGATACATCTGTTTCCAGACCTGTGGACAGACACTTGAATATGAGCCAGCCATGTGCAGCAGCAGCTAAAGAAGCTAATACAATCCTGGGTTGTATAAACAGAGGCATTGAATCAAAATCATGTGAAAAGGTAAGCACCGCTTTATAAAGCCTTAGCGAGGCCACATCAGGAATACGGCATCCAGTTTTGGTCACCAGAGTATTAAAAAAGATGTTGAGACTTTAGGGGGGTGGAAAAGTGCAAAGAAGAGCGACTAATATGATTAAGGTCCTGGAGACAAAAACATAACAAAGTACGTTTCTTGTTTTTGAGTCCAAACTTTCTGTTGCTAAGTGAGACATCACATGACCGCGGGGATACTGCAATGGCCGTAAGTGTGAAAAAGGGTCATAAGTCACTTTTTTCAGCGCTGGGGGAGCTTTGTTCAGTAAACCAACTGCTGTAAATCAAGGATTTATCTTGTAATGATTTTTAATGCCTTCTCTTTATTCGTTCTGGGCTGTTGCAGGGCCTGCACCTGGCCACCAGAGGGCAGCGTTCACTGTCCTTTCCCAGTTCTGCTACTGGTTTATTTCACTTCATTGTGTTAACCTTAATTGTGTTCCTCTGAAATTAGACTTTTTTTTTTTTTTTTACAAAAAACGTAGCCGCCACTTGTGCAGCACGGAGCACTCCGAGGTTGAATTGTTGCCTTCTTCGCAGTAATTGAGAATTGGGTGGCATACCCTTTCAATAAACTAGGATTGTGGTTGTTTATCGAATCCTGGTGTCTTACTGGTCAAAGGGCTAAGGATATAACTCTGGTGTGTCTAGGGCGGTACTCCTCGTGCAGGCTGAGTTGGAGGTTGGCTTAACCATGGTTAATTGGCCGCTTTCTCCAGTTAAGCCACAAGCCACGATTCACTAACGGGTAAGGCCTGGGCTTGCCCAATGACTGTAAGCCTGAATCGACCATGGTGGTTAGTTGATGTGGTGAGGAGGAGGAGACCGAGAAGATGTGAGGCTTGAAAGGCAGACTGGATTTCTGAGTTTTCTCTTTCTCGTCCCTTTCAGGGGCCACGGGGGCACCATAGCCTTGGATCCAACTGTCAACCGGACGGCGGAATCCTGCAGGGCCCTCGCCTGATTGGCTCTCCACAGCAGATGCCGGTTTGAGACCTGGTTTGGCCGTCCATCCAGAGGGACTCAGGCCTCGAATCCTCCGTGGGCAGAGCGGGCGAAGAGTGGGCATCCTGTCCTTCAAGGGGAGGGACTGAGCTTGGCAGAGGCCACCCCAAAACGTTGGTTGAACCCCGAGGCCTGGCTGGGGAGGAACCTGGCTGGGGGGGGCTGTCTTGTCTAGTGGGCAAAGAGGGGCGTTGAGAAAGGAGAGATGGAGGGGAAGGGAAGCCAAAGGGGAAATATTAAGCTTGGAGGGAAGCCAAACATTTTGGAATGAAGTAGTAACCTTCCTTCCTTCCTCTTCCTCCCTCCCTCCCTCCTGTATGTTTCCTTCCTTCCTTCCTTCCCTCCTTCCTTCCTTCCTTCCTTCCTCCTTCCCTCCTGTATGTTCCCTTCTTTCCCCTTTTTTCCTTGCTTCCTCCCTCCTGTGTATCCTTCCTTCCTTTCTTTCTTTCTTTCTTTCTTTCTTTCTTTCTTTCTTTCTTTCTTTCTTTCTTTCTTTCTTTCTTTCTTTCCCCTTTTTTCCTTGCTTCCTCCCTCCTGTGTATCCTTCCTTCCTTCCCCCTTTCTCCTCCCTCCTTCCCTCTCTCTCTGCTATCTGTTTCCTTCTACCCTTCCTGGAGTTTCTGATTTTTCTTTCCATTTGGGATTTTTAAGAAAAAAAAATTAAGGGAAAAATTTTCCGGATCTCTTAACCGCCTGCCCTCTTTCGTTCCCAGGTGGTTTGGTGTGATTCCTGTCCTCACCAGAAGAACAGAGATGGTTAGGAAACTGATAATGAAAGAGCTGGCACAGGTGAATGCTGTTCTTTTAGGATGAAAAGCCAGGCGATAATAATACATCGAAATATCAAATATATTTGCTGCCCAGCTCCCAGCCTTTTGGGCTGTGGGTTTTCTCTGAGCAGGGTGGATCCAGGGCAGCGAAATTTAGCCAGCTGATTTTTCAAGTGGGTCAGCTTTGCACCTTGGCCTGCCCCCATTTAAATTCAAATTCATGTTAATGTATGTAAATGCCCTGCTATGAGATCTTAGCAACGGGGATTTTTTTTTTTTTAAAAAAAAACACTTTAAAATCAAACTTTCCTATTGATTCTGATTCCGAGTGGAGCTGGCTGAAATATTGAACGGAATATTCAATATTTCCTGTGCCCTGAAAAAGAGGGTAACCCTGTTGTAAATATATGGGCTACTTTTTAACCAGATTCACATTTGTTCCCCTTGCTAACTTGGTTAGCCGTAACCCTGGTTTGTGCAGGTTGCGTGCTACAAATGCTGTCCAGTAAAACTGCGTTTCTTTGATATCTTTAACATTTTTCCTCTCCCCTCCCTTTAACTTCTTTCTTCTTTAATTCCTACAACAGGGCTCTTGAAACTTGGCCCTTTGATGACTTGTGGACTTCAATTCCCAGAATTCCTCAGTGCCTGGCTGAGGAATTCTGGGAGTTGGAGTCCACAAGTCATCAAAGGGCCAAGTTGGAAGACCCCTGTCCTACAACTTGTTAAAATTGCTTTTTAAAATGTATATTTAATGGATTGTAAGTTGAGGAGACTACCTAGATCTGTGCTTTTTAAACACTACGGATGTCTGCCTTCACAATGAGATCCTCCTCCTTGTCTTTTTTGTTTAAAGCTTACACACACCACGCGTTATCTTGTGTTGGTTACCAGCTTAGCGTCACTCCAGCTGGGTTACAATCACTGGCTCTGCTACTCGGACACTAAGGTGAGCGACCTTCGCAAAGCTGAGGGCAGCTAAAATGCGACAAATTGGACGATATTTGCCATCTTCGTTTGTTTAAGTCCATCGATTAGTTTAAAAATCTGTTCTGCACATTTCTGGGAACGGGACATTGCGACCGTCGTAAATATGAATCAGTGGCCAATTTTGATCGCGTGACCTCTGGGTGAAAAACAGGCGTAAGTCATTTTTTCCAGTGACGTTGTAACTTTGAACGGTCCCTAAGCGTAGAGTTCTAATTCGAGGACCACACTTGTATTTATTGAAATGTATTGGCTGCCCAGTTCCAGTGGACTTGTTTAAAATTGGAGGGAGGGGGGGAAATATAGCAAAGGGAGGGAGAGGAGCCAGCTGTGTGCTGCAGCTGCCAAAAAAAGCCAACGCAGTCCTAAGCTGCATTAGAGGGATAGAATCAAGACCATGTGAAGTGTTGATACCACTTTATAATGCCTTGATAAGGCCACACCTGGAATACGGCATCCAGTTTTGGTCACCACGATGTAAAAAAGATGTTGAGAGTCTAGAAAGAGTGCAGAGAAGAGCAACAAGGATGATTAGAGGACTGGAGATTAAAGCATACAAAGAATGGTTGAAGGAACTGGGTATGTCTAGTTTAATGAAGAGAAGGACCAGGGAAGACATGGTAGCAGGCGTAAAGATATAAGAATGGTTGCAGGAACTGGGTATGGCTAGTCTAGAGAAAAGAAGGATTGGGGGGGTGACATGATAGCAGTCTTCCAGTATCTCAGGGGCTGCCCCAAAGAAGAGGGAATCAAGTTATTCTCCAAAGCCCCTGAAGGCAGGACAAGAAGCAACAGATGGAAACTAACCAAGGAGAGAAGCAACTTGGAACTAAGGAGAAACTTCCTGACAGCGAAAACAATCAGTGGAACAAAAGTTGTGGACGCTCCATCATTGGTGGCTTTTAAGAAGAGATTGGACACCCATTTGTCTGAAATTGTATAGGGTTTCCTGCCTGAGCAGGGGTTGGACTAGATGATCTCCAAGCTCCCTTCCAATTCTGCTATACTGTTCTGTTATTCTGTTAATTAGCTTATTATTATTATTATTATTATTATTCTACATTTTTTAAGGAATTAGCCTAAAAGAAGGGCTGCGCAGCAGAGCAGGGCTACTGTCAAGTCGAAGTTGCCCACCGGCTACACCTGGTGGTCTCTATTTCAGTTGCTCCTTTCTTCCATCCAGCTCATCAGACAATTTTATAATCTAACATATTACCGCATGAAGAAAAATGCCCATCGAAACGATACGTTTCATGACGACTTAGTGATCGGTTTTGCGACCAGCCTGTTCCCTGTTGGAGCCATGGTGGGGTCACTCCTTGTCGGAGTCCTGGTGGACAGATTCGGCAGGTAAATGGATTTAGTCCATCAAGGTTGTTTTGGGGGTAGAGTGAATGAAAGAAGGGAAGGAGAAGAGAGAGAGAGAGACATTTTTGTCCATTCCCAGAAAAGTAGGTGGAAGTTCACAAGCCCAAGATGGATATGGAATTTGATCTTCTCCAAGAGGGAGAATTGATCAAAGTGAACTTTGAGGCTCATGAAAGCAGCCATGTCTGCTTGCAGAGTGAGTGAATATCCCATTATTCCCACTATTCCTAAGCCTCTGTATCTTTCTTAATCGTTGTTCAGTTATTGCTTTTAATAAACCGTGGTCATTCAGTCCGGGGAACTGGAAATGAAGCAGCTGCACATCCCCAATCGAGTGGACAAAGTTACTCAAAGTTTGGACTTACGGCTTGGTTTCACACTCTAGTTTCCCACAAGGCGCCAAGCTACGTTTTGTGGCTTGTTACCATTGGCCAACCCCGTTTAATGGCTTAGCAATATCGTGCCAATTCAATCCTGGGGTCTATAAATGTGTTGAGCGAGCGTGATGGCTTGAATGAACAAGGGTCACATGAAGCCATGGTTTGGACAATCCAGGAACTCAAGGGCAGAATGAAGCTTGTCGGTCAAAATCTCAACCACAGAAAGTTTAAGACTTCAGATCTTTTAGTTCCGGAAGCTGCTAAATAAAAATATAACTTCCTGATTTATACTGTTGGGTGAACTCAGACAGTGTTGACTGTCTTAAAGGAATAAATCATGGTTAAGCACCTCTTAGTTGCTTATTTGCCTGGACATATTAAACCTGAACAATTGATCCCTAAAATGAAGTTTTCCACTCAAATCTCTCTCCATCCACCAGCTCTTTTCTTCTTCTCTAATACTACCCAAGATGGAAAAGAATCCCACCCATTTCTTTCTGTTGTGTCTCCAGGAAATGGACCATGATGATTGACAACTATATTTCCTTGGTGTGTTCCATGTTCATGACCTGCGCCAATCTTCAGCATGGGTTCATCTTTGCCATGTTTTCACGTTTCTTTATCGGGATCTCGATGGGTGAGTTGGGTGTGTGTGGGTGTGGGTGTGGGTGTCATTTCACATTGAACCATCTCTCTCTCACACACACACACACACACCCAAGCAAAGAGAAGCACCCATGTTTTCCAGCGAGAACATGTTTAATGTTGGGGGCCAAACAAGGACCTTAGCAATGAATAGGATTGTCTTCCCTTAAAGTAGTTCTGCTCCCCCTTAAAGTAGTTCTGCTCCCCAAATTAAATGTGTGGCACCTCCATGTTCCTTCTGCCTATAAATCCCACATCTGTGGCCACCATCTTGGCTTTCTGGAGTTGACTTGAAGCCAACTTTATTTGGAAAGGACTGGCTACCTGATTGTCTCAAACTGGCCTTGTTGATTGATTGATTGAATGATTGGTAGATTGATTGGGTATATTCCCTCCACCCCATCCTCATTTTGTACAACCCAAGGTGGTATCCATAATATTGCCCCCCCTCCTCCTGTTTTTCTCACAACAACAATCTTGGGAAGTAGGGTGGTCCTGACCCAAAGCTACACAGCTGGTAGACTTCATTTCCACTCCAGCACCTTCACTGTGATTCCAGACTCACTCCGTGCAATTTTGGGACAATGTCTTCTTGGTGGGTTCCTCTAAAGGTGGCAACGTGGAGACTTGTGGACTTCAACTCCCAGAATTCCTCAAGTCAGCATGGCTGGCTGAGGAATTCTGGGAGTTGAAGTCCTCAGGTCTTAAAGTTGCCAAGTTTGCTCTAGAGATATGTTACCAACAATGATGATGAAGGTCTTCTGAGCATGTCTGGGATGTTTTTGTTCCCCAGGTATTTTCTCCGGCGTGATTCCTATGTATCTCCTAGAGATCAGCCCATTGGCGTTGAGGGGATCCATCGGCATGGTGCCCCATTTCTTTGTAGTGATTGGGGTCCAAATGGCTCAGATATTTTCCTTTCCTGAACTCCTGGGCACCGTTGAAGGTAAGGTCCCTTTCCCTTTGATAAGGGGGGGAAGTGTTGGGATTACGTCACCCAACATCCTCTCCTTTGAGCCCCCCTTTTGGTTCCTGCAGATTGGCCAGCACTGGTGAGCCTGCCTGGGCTGTTGGCCATCTGGCAGATCCTCCTGCTTCCTTCCTGCCCTGAAAGTCCGAGGTATCTCTTCATACAGAAGAACAAAGAAGAAGAAGCCAAAGAAGGTATGTGCTGGGATCAAATATCTTCCATACTTAAACCTGTGGTGGTGGTGTGTGTGGTGTTTAAACAAGCCCGAACTCTAGGATATGTGAACATGGGGTGAGGTCAAAGGAGGTATTTGATGGATTCTATGCCATCAAGTTGGTGTTGACCCTTAGTGACCACATAAATAAGTTACCTCCAGGAGGATCTGTCCCCAGCATGGTCCTTCAGATCTTCCAGTGGTTCACTCATCACCCCTTCAGCTGAGTCCATCCACCTTGCTGCTGGTGGTCCTCTTCTTCCCGTTCCTTCCAACTTTCCCAGTTTCAGAGTCTTCTCCAAAGAGATGGATCTTCTGATAATCTATCTAAGTAGGATGGTTTCAGCCTGGTTATGGGTGCTTCAAATAAGATCTCTGGGTTGATTTCTTCGATGAACCATCGGTTTATTGTCTTGGTGGTCAACAGCCACGATTTGCTCAGAGGTCTTCTCCAACACCGAGGTTCAGCCCTGTCCTGATCCTGCTTCTTCAAAGTCTGGCTTTCCCTTCCCCAGAAGGTCACGGAGAACATCATGGCCTACACCAGGGCTAGGCAACCTTGGCTCTTTTATGACTCCTGGTTCAGGAATTCTGGGAGTTGAAGTCCACGAGTCATACAAGAGCCAAGGTTGCCTAGCCCCCGCCTACACAATTCCGATCTTAAGGGAAATGTCTTCAGGCCCTATCGTGGACCCTGCTCTCTTTGCCCCACGTCAACCTCAACCTGTGGGGCTTTCTGCCTCTTCTTCTCCCCAGCCCTGAAGCTCCTCAGGTTCCAGAGCAATGTGGCGGATGAACTGGAAGAACTTCGACGGGAGGACCGCTGGGAGAAGGACGAGAAGAAGATGAACACCCTGCGGTTGCTGGGGTACCGTCAACTCCGTTGGCACCTGGTTTCGGTGATCGTTATAGTAACCGGCCAGCAGCTTTCTGGTGTCAATGTGGTAAGGGAAGACGGACCCTTAAGAAGCTGAGCGTCATCGTCAGAAGCACCACCACCAAACGCAATGGGTTGGGTGAAGGTTCTTTCTGGTAGCCCTGAGTAACTTTGGTCGTGCCAGGTTGCCCATGTTGGCTTGGCGCTAACCTTCAGGTATCTACCTGATGGTTCTGGGTCCCACAGGGGTTCCCCTTGGTCTTAGAAGGTCATATGTTGAGGTTTCCTGGAAAGATCAGAAGAGATACTAGTGGAACCATCTCTTCTGCAGAACCTTCTAAGTTGATTGTCTTGGTTTCTCACCCACCAAGCTCTGGGTTATTTTGGGATGGAGTCAGTGTGCCTGTGCCCCTGAAAAGGTGCACCTCAGAGGGGTGGGAACAGACAACCCATCAATTGTGGTTTGTACTTGGAACAAACCCCAATAGGCAAGTTCCAGAGAGCTTTGTTTCTGGACCTGACTTCCTTGTCCGTTCAAAAAAAAGCTCCCAGTGAATGTTCTTCCGTTCTCCTCAATTCTGGGAGAAGAAGTCCACAAGTTTGGAGAGGGATACGTAACCAGTATTGATGACGATCTTCTGAGTGTGTCTGGAACCCAAGTTCTTTTGTTGTGCTGGCTTTCTTTCAGATCTACCTCTGCATCGAGAAATTTCTCTTTTCTACGGGGTTAAGCTACAAAAAGGCCCGGTATTTCCAAATGATGACCACTGCCTTGTTAATCTTGGCTATCTTATACGGGGTGAGCATCTCCTCCTCCTCCTCCTCCTCCTCTTCAGTGTTCATTTTTTAAACCCGGTTTGTTGAAAAAAGCCAGATGTAGCTTTTCAGCGGAGCGAAGCAGCCCTTCTGAGGCTGAATCCTGGTTTGTTTTCTGCCTGCCTTTTTGAGTTTCTCTTTCCTGACCTGAAATCAAACCGTGACGGCTTTGGTTTTTGTTTTTGGTTTTTTTGAGCTGAACGGAGATGGGAAAATAGACCACTAGGTGATCTCTGTTCCGCCCCAGGAGAGAAACCAGTGGGTGGCGATGTATCCCATATTTTTTTTTCCCCATTTTGCAGATGTACATTGTGGACACGAAAGGACGCAAACTCCAGCTCCTCGTTGGGTTTGGGATGGCGACGGTTTTCTGCCTCTTGCTCACCGTGACCATAGATTTAGAGGTACGTAACGGTGGAGAAGTTCCTCAGAAACAATAGGACCTCAATGGCCTTCAAGAAAATTATAAGGGGAGCTGACTCCAGACATCCAAAGTCTGGACTTTAATTTCTGGACTTTAATTTTTTTGGGGAAAAAAACCCCTCTTCCTTGACTCAGTTTCCCTCAGCGGAAATGTAAGACAATGGATGGCCTCTCTCTTTTGCTTGAAAAGTTTTCTAGTTTTTTTTTTTTTTCCCCTGGGCAGGTCAAATTTGCCTGGTTGTCGTTCTTGAACAACGTCCTCATCAATATTTTCCTGCTTGTCCACGCCATGGGGCCAAGTAAGTAGCTGGGGTTTGCGGGTGGGCAGGCAATCCGTACCGCAAATTGGCTAGATTCACACCCAGGCCTGGGATTATTCCCCCAACTGCGAAACCCCCGCTAAAATTGCATTTATCCCAAAGAGGCCAAGACAAAGACTTTAAAAGCCAATGGATTACGATTAGTCTCCCAACTTAGAACCGTTGGTTTAAGGAACGATCAAAGTTACGATGGCACTGGGGGGAAAAAGTGACTTTTGACCAGTTTTCACAGGACTGTGGCAGCATCCCAGGGGTCACGTGATCAAAATTGGCAACTTCCTTCCTTCCTTCCTTCCTTCCTTCCTTCCTTCCTTCTTTCTTTTCCCTCCCTCCCTCCCTCCCTCCCTCCCTTCCTTCCTTCCTTCCTTCCTTCCTTCTTTTTCCTCCCTCCCTTCCTTCTTTCCTCTCCATCCCTCCTTCTGCCCTTCCCTCTGTCCCCCTCCCTCCCTCCCTCCCTCCCTCCTTTTTTTGATGCCTCAGGTGCCCTGATCAACCTGGTGACTGGAGAACTGTTTCTGCAGTCTTCCCGGTCCTCTGCTTACGTCGTCGGACAATTTTTACACTGGTTCCTGAACTACGCAACAGTCTTAATCTTTGTCTACGCAGAGGTGAGAGAACCCGCAGCTACTTTTCGTCCATCTCTCGGAGTCAGGAATAAAAAACCACCCCAAGATCAGGAAGGCCAATGCCCCCCCCCCTTTTTTTCCGACCGGGAAAGATGAGGGTGGTTGGGAAAACCAGATTTTCTGTGGCTGAGCTGGGCAACCTTTGGAAAGGTAAACCATAGCAAAGAGAGGTGTACAGCTGGTGGATCCATATTCTGGGCAAACAGAAGCTTTAAAGCCATATTTCCCAAGCTTGACAAGTTTGAGATATAGCCATTTCAACTCCCTGAACTGGCTGTGGAATTCTGGGAGTTGAAGTCCATAGAATAGAATAGAATAGAATAGAATAGAATAGAATAGAATAGAATAGAATAGAATAGAATAGAATAAAAACAGAAATGTTACTGTCACTTTAAATGTACACTAATCAGCATACATTAAAAGCCAATTTCATTGCATTCAGCTCTGAAAAAGTACCCTTATGCCAGTGGTTCTCAACCTTTTTAATGCCGCGACCCCCAACCAGTCATAAGTCGAGGACTACTCAACCGGTCGTAAGTCGAGGACTACTCAACTGGTGCAGCACCATTTGCAGAATAGGACTTTTGGCGGGCTCAGCAGGGCAGAGACAGCCTGGACAATTCCTATTGGCTTTTGAAAGCCAATAGAATTAGACTCTATTCAAGAGAGTCTATTCTATTGGCTTTCAAAAGCCAATAGAATAAAAGGGAGTAGCACAGCTAAGGAAAAGGGGGAAAAAAATGGCGGACTGTGTTGTTTGGCGACCCCTGTGAAATGGTCGTTCAACCCCAAATGGGGTCCCGACCGACAGGCTGAGAACCACTGCCTTATGCATATACCCACATATATGCTGCCAGGGGGATTCTGGGAGTTGAAGTCCATACATCTTAAACTCGGCTGAGAAACAAAGCCTGGGGTGGGTGGGTGGGTGGGTGGGTGGGTGGGTGAGAAGGACTCCTCCTCGGCCTGGACCTTTGTTGAACGCGATCCGGTAGATCCCTTTGGATCCCAACCTTTTCCCTTTGTTCTCCAGAACTACGTAGGGCATTACAGCCTTCTGCTTGCCAGCCCTATAAGCCTGGTGACTTTTTTTTACATCTTGAAGATTGTCCCCGAGACCAAAGACAAGACGTTTTTGGAGATCCAGAGCCTGGTGCCCCTCCACAAGGCCAAATAGAATCCTGTCTAAGGGCAGCCCACCCGGCAAAATCCGTGCTTTCCACTCAAACTTCGTCTGAATGTGGAGCCAGGGGGACTCTCCGCTGTTTAGGAAGTGCTCAGCTCTGCCTTTTGTCCTCCGTTTTCTGCAAAATCAGCCTCGCTTTCCACATGGATTGTGACAAGGTGTGTGGCAACCCACACTCCAGGGCTTGGGTTGTTCCTTTGTAAATAGCGAGGTGTGTGTGTGTTTGCTTTCATTAAAGTTTTTGGGGATGTAAACGTGGAGTTTGTCTGTTCAGTTGTCACCCCAAAGCCGCCAGAAGGGTCACTTTCCCCCAACCCGCCAATTTGCTATTGCTAGATGCGTAAAATCTGTTCCATAAATCCAGTTGTAGTTGGAATCAAATGTACCCCTGCTCCTCAAATGCATCCCCCCCCCTCAGACTGGCATTAATTTTTTAGGTCCCTAAACCAAATTGACGACCTAAGAAGAAAGACAGCAGTGTTTATTACGGATGGATGGATGGATATGTAAGGATAGATGATAGATAGATAGATAGATAGATAGATGGATGGATGGATGGATGGATGGACGGATATAATGGATGGATGGATGGATGGATGGATGGATGGATGGATGGATGGATAGATAGATGGAAAAGATAGACAGATAATAGGTTGGATATGTATGGATAGATAGATAGATAGATAGATAGATAGATAGATAGATAGATAGATTATGACGGATGGATGGATGGATGGAAAAGATAGAATAGGTTGGATATGGATGGATGGATAGATAGATAGATAGATAGATAGATAGATAGATAGATATATAGATAGATAGATAGACGGATGGATAGACGGATAGACAGATAGATAGACAGACAGACATAGATATGACGGATGGATGGATGGATGGAAAAGATAGATAGATAATAGGTTGGAGATGTATGGATAGATAGATAGATATGATGGATGGACAGACGGACAGACAGATGGATGGACAGACAGACAGATAGATAGATAGATATGATGGATGGATAGAAAGAAAAGATAGACAGATAATAGGTTGGATATGTATGGATAGATAGATAGATAGATAGATAGATAGATAGATAGATAGATTATGACGGATGGATGGATGGATGGAAAAGATAGAATAGGTTGGATATGGATGGATGGATAGATAGATAGATAGATATATAGATAGATAGATAGATAGATAGATAGATAGATAGATAGACGGATGGATAGACGGATAGACAGATAGATAGATAGACAGACAGACAGACAGACAGACATAGATATGACGGATGGATGGATGGATGGAAAAGATAGACAGATAATAGGTTGGAGATGTATGGATAGATAGATAGATATGATGGATGGAGAGAGAGAGAGGGAGGGAGGGAGGGAGGGAGGGAGGGAGGGAGGGAGAGGGAGAGAGAGAGAGTCTTAAGGCAGGACTCACAGTCTTCCAGATTACTTAATGCCCTTTAATGAAATACCATAGCGAAAGAGGGAGGCAGACCTTAGGAATGTGGAAAAGCCAGTTGGGCATCTCTTTGATCACCCATCCTCATCCCAACCCTGCGAGGTAGGCAGGGTTGGGATGATAGTATCCGAGCCAGGATCTGGCACCCTCTGGAATCTGTTGCTGGGTTGTGATGGTTAGAGATGGTTTAATTGTTCGCCCGCAGAACTTGTTTAATCATTTATTTCTCTGCAGAACTCTTGAATTAAATCTTTGCAGAAATCTTTTGGAATGAGAAGTATTGCATGCACCTCTTTTTACGGGCGTAAAAATGTTTTTTTTTTTTTAATTTTTTAGCTGGGGGATTGTAATACTCAGCACTTGACAGGGGGATCAGGGGAATGGACAGATGTCCAGTACACCAACGGTGTAAAATAGATTTTCACCACTGGGTATTTTCACCCACATCCCTTGCCAGGCAGTTTGTGTGCCTGATTTGCTTTTGAGTTTTGCTCTTTCCTCTGCCAGCCGGCTGCGTTTTCCTTTGCACGAGCCACATTTTTGTTGTTCGTTAAGGGAGTTAAATAATAAACTGTGCAGGATTGGCCCCGAAGTCTGGTGTGTGTTTATGGCCAAATTATCTTCCTTCTTGACCCCCAGTTTCTTCTCCTTGCTAATCCCAACCTTGCAGAATTTTGATGGAAGGGAGTTGTGTTTGCTTGTGTTTGTTTGCCTGTCCCGGTGACAGTTTTGTGGCTAAGAAACGCCACAGCCCTGCTTTCCCTGCCAAATAAGGTGTGTTACAGGGAGGTGTGCAATGCTCCTTTGCTTTGCCGACAACCCACACCGGGCTGAGGTTTGAAACAATCCCAGCGAGGAATTGCAGAGGGGGGGGGAAATAATAGTTTTTTATTTAATAACCCATCCTGGCCTTCGCCTTATTCTTTTTTTCCAAAGTAGTGGGTGATGGACATTGGAAAATTGTTATTCCCTGTGGCAAAAGAGCAAAGTCAAGCTTTGAAGTAACTTGGTTTGTCTACCAAAGTCCAAAGACAGGGAAAAAAGACACAATCATTCATTTGAGCTGGGTTTTTTTGCAATTGCGGTTTCCCCTCTGGTTTGGATGTGAAAAGGGACTTGACTGGAAATAGGTAAGTCTATCTATCTATCTATCTATCTATCTATCTATCTATCTATCTATCTATCTATCTATCTATCTATCTATCTATCTATCTTATGAACATCACTGATGATTTTATTGATCGGAAGAATTTGCCCTGGTTTTTTTTTTTTTTACTCCTCTTAATTGTCATTTTATCAGCAGGATAAATAAAGGGATTTTATTTAACGCTTGAGCATTAAATGGGCTTGCATTTTTGAAGCACGGCAGGGTGAGGTTTTTAGTGTTTTAGCCGTTTCTGGCCATCCAGTTTTTGTTTCTGAGTTTAGCTTCAATAGAATAGAATAGAGCTGGAAGGGACCTTGGAGGTCTTCTAGTCCAGCCCCCTGCTCAAGCAGGATCCTATACCCTTTCAGACAAGTGACTGTCTTATCTCTTCTTAAAAAAAAAAAGTCCAGTGATGGAGCACCCACGATTTCTGGAGGCTTCTGACTTTCCAGCTGAGGTGTCTCTTTGCAAAGGTCTTTACAATTTCACAGTGGTTCCCGGGGTTGTGGAGATAAATATAAAAAGAAAAGCGAACGATTTTAGTTCAGAAGCTTAATAAAAAGGGACTGCTGGAAAAGAAAATGCCATTATTATTTTTTTTCTGTGCCGGGACTGTGGTTCCCGATTGAGAGATGAAGCCTTGTCAAGTTGCTAGTCCTCAAGCCAAACTCCAACTTTTGCCATCCGTTGCTGTGCAGGGCTCACGGGTATATGACCCCGGGACACCGCAACCGTCATAAATATGAATCAGTTGCCAAGCGTCTGAATTTTAATCACACGATCGTGGGGATGCTGGTTGAAAAAGGGTCATGTGACTTTTTTCCAGTGCTGTTGTCACTAACTAAAGTGCTGTAAGTTGAGGACTGTCTGTATGTGCCCAAAAGAGACACCCCCCAAGGAAAGTTTTGAGATTGGAATCATAAAAACCTGTTTTGCACTGGAACAAAGGGGAAAGATTTAAAATGCTGGCTGAGTCCATAATGTTATTCCACCATGCCTGGAATAACATTATCCATAAATCCATAAGTTTCATAGTCCAGAACACCCTCAGCTGGGACCAAAGTGCATTTTTATGGCTGCCTCCGTGAATTTCCAAATTAATTTTTTATCTCATCACGTGCTTCTCCCCCCCCCCACCACCACCAGTGGTCAGTCATCTTAAATCCTAACAAGCTGATGCATTTTTAGAAGCTGGCTTTTAAAATTCCAGCTCTCTGCAAAGAAACCTTGGATACTTAAAAAGAGATGCTTTTTTTTAAAAAAAAAAGCCAGAGGACTTTTCAATCAGAGGTGCTTCAGAACATGCCAAGAGTTTTATTTCAATCAAAGCCTGGCCAACCTTCGCAAATATTATTTTTGGAGGTTGCTGGAGGAATGCAGAAAAAAATTATCTAACTCTTTTCATCTGTTCCTGGGTCTGCTTGTTCCAGAAAAAAACATTTCACCTGTTGTTAAACCTTGTTTGAAACCTGTCGTTTTCACTCCACGTTCTTGGCTTGAGCTACACAACTTTTTCACCTGCACTGTACACATTTAGGAAAAGGAAAGACAACTTTGGTTGAGGCAGTTTCTATTAAGAGTGAGACAAACTTATTGAAAATTTGCTAGGCATGGCGTCGAGCTACTCAAATCGAGACAGGATGATGGGTTGTGTTTCACCCGACAACGGATAACCAGGTCAGATCAAAAGCGAGGGGGTTGCGCTCTCAAATTGTCCCATTTTTATTTTGTTTAATTCTGGGTGTGTTTACGTGTGTGTGTGTGAGTGTGTGAGAGAATCTTGGTTTTTCAGCAGCTGCCAAGTTTGTGGAGGTGGTTCCATGTGAACGCGGAAGATGGCTTAATCTGCCAAGGGAGAAATTGTTGAGTTTTGCCCCATTTGACAACTTTTCTTGCCACATTTGTTCAGCGATTGTTCAGTTGTTAACTAAGTCATACGGTTGTTAACTGAATCTGGCCGGAAGGTCGCAAAAGGGCATCACGTGACCTCGGGACGCTGCGACCGTCGTAAGTATGAGTCAGCTGAATTTTGATCACATTACAAGGAGGCTGCAACGGTCGTAAGTGTGAAAAAAGGTCCTAAGTCACTTTTTTCAGCGCTGTTGAGATATCAGGAGAGGCTTCGTTGATTTTGTTTAGTCCGATGGCCTTGTAACATGGTATAAATTACAGTTAAAAGCCTCAGGGTGACACGTTAAGCCAGCTATTAGAGTTTCAGCCAAACAAAGAGTATTTAGTTCAACCCAGGAACCGGGTTAGCACTGTTTCACTTCCTCCTTAACTGTTTTCCTACTACAGTAGTCCTCAACTTACAACTATCCCTTCAGTGACCATTCAAGCTGCAATTCTGCAATTCTCCCCATTTGCTAGTCCCTCTAATGCAGAAACATGCTGTTAAAAAGAGCAAATGTAGACCCCTTGAAGGCCAGAGGGACCCCTAGGAGCGGGGGCCACCTAAAAGTCAGGTGGAGGCCTCACCAGGGCCCAGTAGAGCTTTGATAGTGTGTAACACAGCATTAGATGGGGGGGGGGAGATCAAAGAGGATGCATTTATAAAAATCCACCTGGGTTTATCTCCTGGGTGGAACACCTGCCCATTGTCTGGATAAGGTTTAATGATTGATGGATCCCACCAGCCTCCAGAGTTAAGCCAGGGATCTCTGCCCCAACGCAGATTGCGATCTGGACCTGAATGAATGAAGGATGAAAGGAAAGAAGGGAGGGGGAGGAGAAATTGCCCTCCCCCCTCTTTCTTTCTTTCTCTCCAAAGTCCCTTTTCAGTTGCAGAGAAGCTGGGGGTTCAAAGGATTAAGATAAGAGATAAGGTAGAAGAATGCAGAGGAAGAGGGGGAATGTCTGGGTGGGGAGAACAGATAGGTGAGACCTTAACAGGTGTGCCAAGTTTTTGGAAGCCAGGAATGGCTCAACCCCAGTCCATTTTTGGGCAGCCCCCAAATGCCCCATTCACTGGGTGCTGGAAAAACCAAAGGCGGATATGATAAGATAACCTTTAACTTATATGAGTTCCCATTTTTGCAATGATCTTGACAATAGTGTTTTAAAAGATTTGCGCCGCCATTTAACCCATACTGGAAGGAGATGGAATCCTATCAACTGGGAAGAAATGGAACGCAGCAGCTGAAAGTACAAAAAAAAAAAAAAAAAGACTTGGTCATCTGATAGCATTCAGGTTATCAGTCAGTTAAAAAAAATGTTCTTATTAACTGACCTTATGCTGACTTGGACTGTAGGGCAGATACCAAAGATCAGCTGGGCTCAGCAAAAAGTAAATAGGTAAATATATAATCCATGCTGGTGAAGAGGACCATGCTTAACTGAAAAACAGGTTTTCCAGGATTTGTATGCAATGTACGTATATTTGTATATTGCATACAAATCCTGGAAAATCTATGTACGGTACCTGTTTTCTGAATAAGCACGGTCCTCTTTATGTATACATCTGTCTGTCTGTCTGTCTCCCTGTCTGTCTGTCTGTCTGTCTGTCTATCTATATGTCTATCTGTTTATCTGTCTGTCTGTCTATTGGTCTATCGGTCTTTCTATCTATCTATCTATCTATCTATCTATCTATCTATCTATCTATCTATCTACCTATCTATCTAACCTTAGATGATATTATTATTATTATTATTATTATTATTATTATTATTATTATTATTATTATTAATCATCGCACAGTCAGCCAGACGTTCAGACTGGATTTGGCATTTTGTCTACCTATCGAGTCCTTACCCAGGACCTGGGATAGGCAGATGTGGATGTTTGATGGTATTACAGATATCGTCGCAGGATGGAAGCAGTTCCTAGTAAGGCCGCCTTTTGCAATTGACTAATAGCGAATTTGTCAATGCCAGTGGTGTTCAAGTGGTGCTCCAGTTGTTTTGGGATTGCACCCAAGGAGCCTATTATTATTGGTACTACCCTTGCTTGCTTTTGCCACAGTCTTTCTATTTCTATTGGTAGGTCTTTGTATTTTGTTATCTTCTCCAGTTCTTTCTCATCTATTCTGCTGTCTCCAGGCACTGCCATTATTGTTGTTGTTGTTGTTGTTGTTGTTATTATTATTATTATTATTATTATTACAAAGGCAAGGCTTGATATAGGATTGCAAAAAATGTCTAACCAAAGGGAAGCCGCAGGTTATTATGCTGGTACAGATACTCCTCAACCTATGACCAAGACAGCCCAAAATTTCTGTTGCTAAATGAGACAGTTGCCAAGGGAATTTGGCTCGCGTGTCCGAAGGGGATCAGAAGACCCTGCCACCCGTGTGTGTGTGTGTGTTTGTGTGTGTTTGTGTATGAGTCAGTTGCCAGATGTCCACATTTTGATCCCATGACCAGGGGGATGCTGCAGTGACCGTAAGCGTGAAAAACAGTCACAAACCACCTTTTTCAGTGTTGTGGTCACTTTGAGTAAGTCACTCAGCAAATAGCTCTACGTTGAGGATGATCTGCATCCACTTTCTGAAGGAAGTGGGTTCCAAATTTGGAAGGCAGCAGCTGCAAAAATGTCATTTATTTTTCACAGGGTTGGAATTTGGAGAAAGATGACCTGGAGAGATTCTGACACATGACCTATTGAGGGAGGAAATGCGTTTTGCCTCTGGCCATTTCTGGTTTAAATGTGATGACCATCCCCTTGAATTTTACATGCCTAGGATTACAGGACCCACCTGACTTGGGGAACTTGGCCAGTCCAGATGTGTGTGTGTGTCTGTGCGTGTGGGGTTAGATCCAGCTGTTGCTCGTGGTCCAGATGGATCTCGATAGACTTGACCACTGGGCCCCATGCAACAAAATGAAATTCCGTGTAGAGAAAAGTAAGGTTTTTACACTTAGGCAAGAAAAATCCAACGTACAGGAAGAGCTCAGGTGAAATCTGACTCAACAGTAGTAACCAGGAGAGAGTCACTTAAAATGCGAGCCAGCAGCCCCAAAAGCCAACACAGGGCTAGGCTGCATTAACAGAGGGATAGAATTAAGATCAGGCGAAGTGTTAAAACCGCTTTACAAGGCCTTGGTGAGGCCACACTTGGAATGCTGCATCCAGTTTTGGTCACCACGATGTAAAAAAGATGCTGAGACTTTAGAAAGAGTACAGAGAAGAGCAACAAAGATGATTAGGGGACTGGAGGCTAAAACACATAAGGAAAGGCTGCTGGAATTGGGTATGTCTAGTTTAATGAAGAGAAGGATGAGGGGAAACGTGATAGCAGTGTTCCAGTATCTCAGGGGCTGCCCCAAAGAAGAGGGAGTCAAGCTATTTTCCAAAGCGACTGAAGGCAGGAGAAGAAGCAACGGATAGAAACTAATCAAGGAGAGAAGCAACCTAGAACTAAGGAGAAACTTCCTGACAGTGAGAACAATTAACCAGTGGAAGGTCTTGCCTCCAGAAATTGTGGGTGCTCCAACACTGAGGTTTTTTCAAGACAGCCATTGTCTAGACTCTAGGGTCTCCTGCTTGAGCAGTGGGTTGGACTAGAAGACCTCCAAGGTCCCTTCCAAGTCTGTTATTCTGTTAAACCTGGGAGGGAAATGCCATATAATCACTATGCTGCTGTATGCTTCTTATATTTCCAGGTGCAACTGTGAGCAGCAAAGCCCAAACTGGAGCGTTTAATTTCTCAAAGTGGTGAGCAGCTTGGTTGAGTTCCTCAACAATGGAAAAAACATGAGGGAGACATCTGGAATTTTTTTCCCCCTGTGGCTGGAAAAACAGCCTCGCTCCAAAATTCCCCCTTATTGTTAATAGGTGAGTGAAGGACGAAGGCTTGTCCAGTTGAGCACAGAAGTCAATATCCATGCACACATTTAATTATTTGGACAATCCCTGTTTCTCAAGCTTGGCAACTTTTCAGATGTGTGGACTTCGGTTGGCTGAGGAATTCTGGGAGTTGAAGTCCACATGTCTTAAAAGCAGGCTGGCTGAGGAATTTCACATTTTACAGACGCCAAGGTTGGAAAACAGCTTTGGCAACAATAGGAAAAGGCAGTCGCCAGTTCTTGCAAATGTTACATTTTATGGATTTTTTCCTCCTTGTTTTGGTTCCTCTTTTCCCCTCCAGCCTGCAGGTAAGGATTAGCCATTCTTGAGATAAGGGCATGTTGATTTTGTTAGTGATTAAAATGGAGGAGAAGAAGGGAGGAGAACTTTGCATATCAGTGTGATAAGGATGCCCTGCATATTTACAAACTTTAAGCCACCCTGGAGTATAGGATACAATAGAGGAGGGGCAAGGGGGAACTGGATGTAAATAAAATTTAAAGGGATTTATTGGCCTCCACTTATCCTTGCTCCTTGTTTTTCAGCTAAACCAAATACAAAAAAAAGAGGAAAATAAAATCACAACCATATGTATTAAAACACACACACACACACAAATCTATGTCCCATTCTCCAAAGCTGGCCTTCCCACATATTTCACCTGCATTAATTTGCCTGGAAAAAAAATAAAGAAATTAGTCTTTTATTAAATGTATTTAGCAAAACTGGGCAAAATCCCTGCACTTTTTTTTTTTTTTTTGCATGCTAAGCTTTGATGAGGATTGTGTGTCTGTGTGTGTGTGCATTCATGTTGAGAAATATACTGCTCAAAAAAATAAAGGGAGTACATCCTATAAGAAATCCTATAGGATGTGTTCCCTTTATTTTTTTTTTTTGAGCAGGATATATATGTGTGTGTGTGTGTGTGTGTGTGTGTGTGTGTGTGTGTGTGTGTGTCTTGAGTGGTTTTCTTTTTTTGTATGTACCCTATCGGCCCAAATATTTATTTATTTATTTATTTATTTATTTATTTATTTATTAAAATTTATAGACCGCCCCATTCCCGAGGACTCCGGGCGGCTAACAATAAAAATATATATATATATACATATACATATATATATAGCTGTTCTGTATATATATAGCTGTATATATATAGCTTCTATATATATTTAGCTGTTCTGTACCATCTATTTTATTTTTCCTGCCTGCATCCTTGGTGAAGGCACCAAATGGAAGGGTGTCTTTACACCTTTTCAAAACAAAAAAAGGAAGTTTGTTTTATACTCTTAGGAAGCCTCATCCTTTGCAAACAAAGATAACCCCCCCCCCCTTCTGGTGGGTTGGATGGAGAAATCTTAAGCTACAACCGGAGAGAAACAAGAGAGAAGGAATTGTGCACCCCAAGGAGAATCAGGAATTTCCTCCCTAACACCCCCCCAAAAAACAAAATAAAATAGTTTTGGGGGTTTGTGCTGTGTCTACGTGCTGCAGTGATTTTACTTAAGGGTTATGGAGGTTGTCCCAGCCAGGAAAGGAGATTTTCTTTTAAAAGCTATGGGCTGTCTGTCCAGAGAATGGCTGGAGGGCTTATCTGTTAGGGGTCACGTAAGCAATGGTTCCCACCCAATACCCTTAGACAAAAAGGAATTTTCTGGGGAGGAGGGGGTGGGGTCAGAAAAAGAAAGGAATATATAGGATGAAGGGAGCTGGGTGGCCTCTGGCTTGTTGAATCACACCAAGCTAAGCTGTGAGGGCATCCAGACACCTCTACAAAGAAGGAAATTGCAGGCTCAAAGAAAAAGGAAAAAAAAAGGAATTCTTACAGCTTCGAAGGTAAGGAAAATAAAACAAAAGATGCAAAAAAAAAAAAGGATTTATTTTTTGAATCCTGTTGGGTAGACTTTAGAGAAATAATCCGCTTGCCAAGTCGTTTATTTATTTGTTTATTTTGTTTTATTTGGCGGGGAGTTGGGTTCATAAAACTTTGCAGGATGTCTTCAAAGGGGAATAAATTGTGATGCAGTTGGGGGGTTTTTTAAAGCGGATTTTGATGGCAGAGGGTTATTGGATCACTAGTTTTGCCCCAGCTGGAGAATCGGCTTTGGTTCCCCATCATCCCCAGCCAGCTAGCTAGCTGGGGTTGATGGGATCCTAAAAGAGGAATACAAGAGAGGGAAGCAAATTGGGGGGGGGGAATGGTGGGGAAAATTGAAGTGGAAAAGAGAAAGCAAAAGGCTTGGGAAAAAAAATCCAGGAAGAAAAATTAAACGTCCCGAGTTATTTGGAATTAATAAACTGTTTTGTGGATCATTGCTCAAATTGAAAGCAGTTGGCTGTTTTCCTTTTCGTGTTTTGTATTTTTGTTTCATCCTTTGAGAAAATCTTTTTTCAAAATTGATTATTACATTTAAAAAAAACAAAAAACAAACTGGAATTGGCTCATGGTTAACTAGCTCCTGCCTGGAGGCTTGGCTCATCCGTTGGTTTTAGAGATCCTTTCTTTAGAAATGGCACTAGTTTGGCCTTGGTGCCATTATGCTTCCCTGGCTTTGCAAATTTTATTTACCTAACTTCAGTTTGATTCGTAGCCAGGTTGATTCGTAGATCCAAAAAGAGAATCTACTTTTTTGCGTGATGGATTGGGGTTTTGGCTGTGTGTGTGTGTGTGTGTGTGGTTTTTTTCCCCTGTTCTTGATGTGTTGGAAAGCACACAAAAGAATTGAAAGTGGTGTTCTGTGATAGAAGACTTGAGAACTGCAATTCCTATCATCCACAGCTACCACTGTTATTTTTTTGAATGAATTTTGCAGTGGAGACATACACCGTATGCTGATTTTTAGAAATAGCGAACTTTAATTTTAATTCACAAAAAATATTTTCCCTAAAGCCCATCATCCTGTTTCTTATCCAGGTAGCCCAGATGTTCTGGTCTCCAAAACCTGGAATTTGCTGCTTCTAATTCTGAGTGGCACTAAATAAAACAATTTTCCTTGTTTTTTTTCTTCTTCCTATTCTGCTTATTAAAATTTCTGCCTAACTTTTAAAAGCTACTTCTAAAAACGTCTCCAGAGGTGAAAAAGCAGGAGACACACCACAAAGAGGGAAAAATGTGATCTACGACCCAACTACAATGCCAATAAGCCCCAGGCTGCACTCCTGGGAGGTGTAATACCAAATAACTAGAAGGTTGTGGGCAGGTTTTAAAAATGGAGTGCTGGGGTAGTTGTGAGTGCTTTGGAAAGGAATTAGCATAGGGCAAGAAAAAGAGATTGGAAGAGGGTGAAACAAAAGAATCCCCCCCCTTTTTTTCCCCCACCTGGCACAAGCATGATTCGAACCCATTTCTTCTTCCACCATCCCTGCAACAACCTGTGATTTGAATTAGAAGGGGGGGTGGGAAATGAGCTACACAAGAAGCTCTATCAAAGTTTTATCCATTTTATCCGGGAGCAGGGTTGTAAAATAAATTGCTACCATGCATCAGCGTATCTTGCTGCATTTAATTGCACACCTTTATAGCCCTGTCTGTGGAATGTATAATTTTTCTTTTCTTTCTTTTTTTCCATTCCTCCCTTTAGGTCTGCAGGGCAGGAAAGTGTGAAAAATGCCACAGCCCACAGCACAGGAACCCCAGAAGGGGGTGAGTGTAAATTTTCATTTGAGGGTGGGGAACACAAATGGACACAAGGTTTTTTTTTATTTCTATTTTTTTCTTTTTAGGAAAGTTGATCACACAAACCCTCCAGTGTAATAAACATTTTTAAAGGCTTGTCTCACTTTCCAGCTGGAGCAATTCCCAAATTTCCTGGGCTGCCAGTGGCACTACCAATTCAGTCCCTGGGACAGGGACTCCTTTGAACAAATCAGGGTCCATGCAGATTTGAGATTATCACCTCCCCCCCTCACTTTCTCTGCATGGAAGGGCTGTTGGAAATATTCCAAAATGTTTGCCCGTTGGCTTAGCTGATTAAGAGGATGCTCTTAAGTTAATTCCCTTCCGTTACTTTCCCATTTTGCAGATGGGAAGACCGAGGCACGCAGCTAGAAGGATCCGTTAGAAGGGGTTTTGAAGAGTAATTCGTTCTCTTAGTTTATCTGCCTTAGTTCAGTAATATTCTTTCTGTGTCTCTTGGTTTTGTTTTGTTTTTTTTACAGAAAATGACTTTGATGCTTTCTCTAGTGACCCTTGTCGCCGCCTTCGGATCGTCTTTCCAGTATGGATATAACGTCTCCGTGATCAATTCTCCAGCTCCGGTTCGTTGGGGTTATATAATTCATTTGGCGGGCTTTTAGGGGCAGTTTATACATTTCAAAGAAGACAGAGATGCCCCAAAATGCATTACTATTATTTTTTTCAGTTCGGCTTAAGAAAAAGAACAGCATTTTTCAGCTGCGGCCCCTTTAAGAGCCGTGGACTTCAAATCCCAGAGGGATTCTGGGAGTCGAAGTCTACTTCTTTTCAAAGGGGCCAAGATGGAGAAACACAGATTTAGGAAAAATGTAGCTGTGAGCGATGAAGTGTTTCAGCCCAAAGGACCAATTTGCAATATTGCTTAAATCCAGTTGTGCCAATCTAGGTGTTTTCTAGTATAATCCACAAATTTTGCTGGCTCAGAAGGATAGGTACCCAACCCATAGGAAGTCACCCCCATACACACACACACATGCACGCACGCAAATTGGGGTGCTTGTTGCTCCTCTTCTGATTGGTCCTTTCTTCCATCCATCCTTCTTCCAGTTCATGCAACAATTTTACAATGAAACGTACCAGGGACGATACAGCGAATATATGGACGAGAGCTTGATGACAGCTCTCTGGTCTTTGAGTGTGTCCTTCTTCCCACTTGGGGGGTTCTTTGGATCGTTGATGGTGGGGCCCATGGTGAACAACTGTGGCAGGTAGGTGGAAGAGTTCCTCCTTCTTTTTGCTTGCACAATTCACACCCTGGGTCAAGTGAAGGGCTCCTGCTAGCCTGGGAGATAGAAAACATTCACCGTGTCAGGAGAAACATCTGGTGTGGGTGTGGTTGGATGTCCAAGCAAAGAGGACCTCCTGGGATGGTCTTCTGTGGACTAACGAAGGATCTTGTCTAGACAGGAAGAAGGTTGAGGGCCATGTCGTCATCCTTTAGAGCAGGGGTCTTCAAACTTGGCCCTTGGATGACTTGTGGGCTTCAACTCCCAGAATTCCTCAGCCCCAAGTCCACAAGTCATCCAAGGGCCAAGTTTGAAGACCCCTGCGTTAAGAGCTCCAGGTTGAATCTCCTCAACCTCTTGAGATGTTCTCCTTTCCAGAAAGGGCACCCTCCTCATCAACAACATCTTCTCCATCATCCCCGCCATCCTCATGGGGACCTCCAAGGTAGCCAAGACCTTCGAAGTGATCATCATTTGCCGCATCATTATTGGCATCTGCGCAGGTGAGACCTCGGCACGAGGACAAAGGGCAACCGCCATCTTTCTTAGCCCATCTACCAGGTCCGTGTTAAAAAGAGGCAGTGAGCGGAGGCTGGGGGATTCTGGGAGTTGAAGTCCACCGGTCTTAAAGTTGTGAAGGTTGAGATATGGTGAGTTGGAGGTTAGGGATATGGAAGAGGAAGAGGGAAACAAAATATTTAGAGGAAGGAAGGGTAGAGAAATCAAGGAATCTCCTTTAACTAGTGGAATAAAAAATGTTATTGGCAGAAAACCATTTGGGGGTAAAGGTTGTGTTCCAATAGAATAGAAATAAAAAATGAATAGAATAGAATAGAAATAAAAAATGAATAGAATAGAATAGAAATAAAAAATGAATAGAATAGAATATGGAATGGGGAATTGAATAGGGAATGGAATATAATACAATACAATACAACATAGAATAGAATATAGAAGACAAGACAACAATACAATACAACGCAATACAATGTAAAGTGGAATGGAATGGGAAATGGAATAGGGAATGGAACAGGGAATATGGAATGGAATACAATACAATACAACATAGAATAGAATAACTGGGACCTTGTGGGTCATCTAGACCAACCCACCACCCAGCAGGAGACCCTACACCCTTGCTGACAGACGGCAGTCCATTCCCTTCTTGAAAGCGATCTGAATTCTGTTGTCCTTTTCCAAACTAGGCCTTTCTTCCAACGTGGTCCCCATGTACCTTGGGGAGATGTCCCCCAAAAACCTTCGCGGCGCTATCGGGGTGATGCCGCAGCTGTTCATCACGGTGGGGATCCTGGTGGCTCAGATTCTCGGCATGAGGATGATCCTCGGGAGCGCCGAAGGTAAACGGGAGAGGCTCCCGCAGCACGGGGGGGTGTGGTGGTGTCAGGCGTTGTGGAGGTGTGGTTGTGACACATCTCCCTCTTTCCGTGCAGGTTGGCCAGTCCTCTTGGCTCTTACGGGAGTCCCTGCCGCGTTGCAGCTTTTCTTACTGCCATTTTTCCCCGAGTCTCCCCGATATCTGCTGATCCAGAAAGGCGACGAAGAGGGCGCAAGGACAGGTATATATTTTTCCAGCGGATCCTTCCAAGAATACTCGCCTCCCACTGTTTCGGCTGCCTGGAGTTTTCCTCTTCCCTCCCCAGTCCTTTTTTCTTTCGTGTCGTGTCTTTTTCCGATTCTAAGTTGACGTTCCTCAGTCCACGCTGGCTGAGGAATTCTGGGAGTTGAAGTCCACAAGTCATCAAAGGGCCAAGTTTGAAGACCCCCTGCTTGTGGACTTCAACTCCCAGAATTCCTCAGCCAGGCATGCTGGCTGAGGAATTCTGGGAGTTGAAGTCCACAAGTCATCAAAGGGTCAAATTTGAGGACTCCTGCTGTGAGATTTTATTTTATTTATTTTTTCATCTTTTTTCCACACCCCCCCCCCCATCCCTGTCCAGCTTTAAGGAAGCTGCGAGGCTCGGATGACGTGGAGGACGAGATGGAGGAGATGCGGCAGGAAGACCAAGCGGAAAAAGCCGAAGGGCGGATGTCGGTGTTGACCCTCTTCACCTACCCGGGCCTCCGCTGGCAGCTCATCTCCATCGTCGTCATGATGATGGGGCAGCAGCTTTCTGGGGTCAACGCGGTACGAACCACGCAAAGGCACGATTTAAGAAGTCGGGGGGCTCCCTAGAGGTCATCCAGACTCACCCCTCGCTCACCCCAACTCTCAGAGGAGAGTTGAAAGGATCGGTTTAAACTGAAAGTTGAAGGTTGAAAGGAAATACATCAACAACAGTGGGGGCCGGGGGCGGTTATTGGAGAGGAGGCCACAAGGAGAGCTTGAGGGGGTGTAGAGAACCAGGGGATGTCAAATTCACGCTCTTGGGAATGTTTTCAATCCGGTTTGCAGGTGTATTACTACGCGGACCGGATTTACTCCAACGCCGGGATTGCGGAAAGCCGCGTTCAGTTCGTCACAGTGGGAACGGGAGCCGTCAACGTGGTGATGACTATCATTGCGGTATGATTTATTTTGATTTGGCTTCGATAGAGAGAGAATACCCCCACTCTCCCCCCCCCACACACAAACACACACAACTACAGGTAGTTCTTGACCTAGTTCGTTTAGTGACCGTTCAGAAAAAAAGCGACTTATGACCATTTTTCACACTTGTGACCTTTGTAGCATTCCCGATGATCATGTGATCCATATTCAGGCGCTTGTCAAACTGACCCGTATTTACGACGGTCGCCGTGTCCCCGGGTCGTGTGATCCCCTTTTGCGACCTTCTGCAGTGATTCACTTAAACAACCGTGCCAAGAAAGGGTCGTAAAATGGGGTCAAACTCCACAAATCCTCACTTAACGACATAAATTTAGGGCCTTGATTGTGGTCTACCTGTAAAATGGCTTCTACTCCCAACAAAGTTGAATTTAAAGGAAATTAAACCCGACTTAGGAATTCTTACTCTTCCTAGCTGTTTAGGAAAGAAAGGTGGGAACAGAGTTTGCTAAACAAATGCAGTTTGAAGGGTGTGGGGAAGGAGATGCAAGGGAAGGATGGGGGTGAGCTGTGTCGGTGCCTTATGGTCTTCGGTTTCCCAATCTAGCTCTTTTTTCCTCGGCAGGTCTTTATCGTCGAGGCTCTGGGACGAAGGATTTTGCTTCTGGCTGGTTTCGGGATCTGCTGCGTTGCCTGTGCAGTGCTAACCCTAGCCCTGAACCTCAAGGTATGTTGGCTTGAAGGCGAAGAGGGTCAAGGTGGTACATCTGGGGGAAAACCCCACAATTTTAGCCTAGATTCTACCATAGCATGCTTCCTTTCTTTAATGGGGTGTGGGAATAGAATAGAATAGAATGCAGGAAAGAATAGAATGCAGGAAAGAATAGAATAGAATAGAATAGAGGAAAGAATAGAATAGAAAATATAGAATAGAATAGAAAATATGAAATAGAATAACAAAAGGGACCTTGGAGGTCATCTAGTCCAACCCCCTGCTCAGGCAGGAAACCCTATAGTGCCATTTCAGAAAAATGGCTGTCCAGTCTCTTCTTAAAAACTTCCAGTGCTTCTGGAGGCAGGTTGTTCCACTGGTTAATTGTTCTCACTGTCAGGAAGTTTCTCCTTAGTTCTAAGTTGCTTCTCCTTGATCAGTTTCCCTCCGTTGCTTCTTGTCCTGCCTTCAGGCGCTTTGGAGAATAGCTTGACTCCCTCTTCTTTGGGGCAGCCCTTGAGATATCGAACACTGCTTATCATGTCCCCCCTCGTCCTTCTCTTCATTAAACTAGACAGACCCAATTCCTGCAACCGTTCTTTATATATTTTATTCCCCTAATCCTCTTTGCTGCTCTTCTGCAATCTTTCCAAAGTTTCAACCTCTTTTAAATATTTTTTTTTATAATTTATAATTTCAATTCACCCCCAGGCGATCTGGTGGATGCCTTACCTCAGCATTGCCTGTGTAATCGTTTACGTCATGGGACACGCCATTGGTGCAAGTGAGTAGTGTCGCTGCCTGCTTTATGGGTGTATGCTCAGAGGACGCACACAAACCAGCCTTATATCTAAGTTGGCTTGTCAACGCTTTTACACTGACTACTACCTATGACATATATTGCCTCTATAACACTCATAATTGCACTGGGCATTATAAAACAAAAGAGCCCTTGACATTTAGTTTCTTCGAATTAAAACTCCCTCATGTTTCTAGTCCTCAGTGATGGGCAACATTAAGAGATGGCAAAATTAACTTTTCACTTAAAAAAAAAAACCAACTGTTGCATTTAGTTCTGACTGGAAACTCCTGATGGACTTTTTGGAGGAAACAAACAAACAAACAAAATTAGCGATGTATGGATGTGATGATTATAGAAGCAGGAAACTATGATGCGATCTGAGACAGGATAAAATATAAGTGCATTTATAATTGTCAAAAACTTTTCTATTCTCTGTCTTATTCTTTGTATTGCTTTTATCTCTTTAATAAAATTACGTATAATAGAATAATATATAATTACCATACTACAGGCATCTAAATTTCTAGTCCTCATGAAGCAACCTCAATGGAGAAGCGTGGGCAGCATCAGCTGGCAAGCTCAGCCAGGCATAAGATTGGGGGGGGGGGAGGAAATGAAGTTGAATTTGTTCTTCCTGGACAAACCCCTTTTTCTGTTCCAATTTCTTTCCTTTTTAGGCCCCATTCCCAGCGTTATGATAATGGAAATGTTTCTGCAGTCCTCTCGCCCCGCAGCCTTTATGGTAGGAGGGTCAGTCCACTGGCTGTCGAACTTCACCGTGGGGCTGGTTTTCAGCTACATGGAGGTAAACATTGTTTTTTAAAAAGTTCTGAAACTTTTTGCAAACACAGAGTTGGTTTTCGGCTGCTTGGAGCTAAAAATCGTGTTAAAGGTTCTGCAACTTTTTGCAAACGGAAGAATTTGTATTGGGAAATTGGGCCTGCGTTCGGCCTTAATGCGTGGGAACGTACGAAAATAGAAATCTGCCTAAGCCATTTCTCCAAACCATGATTAATTTCAACCACCTTGACTAAGTCAATCACAGGGTCTTGATGGACACAACTGACCTTTGTGGATACAGATAGCCCTTGACTGACCCCCCCCTTCCATTTAGTGACTTTTCTAAGTTACAACAGCACTGCGAAAAAAAATGACTCATGAGCCTTTTTCACACTTAATGTCCGTGGTAGCATCATCAAAATCCAGATACTTGGCAACTGACTTGTATTTATGACAGTTGCAGCGTTCTGGGGTCACACGATTCCCTTTTTGCGACCTTCGGCCAAGCAAAGTCAGTGGGGGGGAATCCAGACTCACTTAACAACTTAACTGCAGTGATTCACTTAAGAACTGTCTCACTTTACAATGGAATTTTTTTGGGGGGGTCAGTTGCGGTCATAAGTCTAAACCTGTAGTTTAGATTGGAGGCAAAGCTTTATAACTCTTATATGTCTGAATAGGTCCTTACAAAACCCAAAACCTCAGCAGGATTTTGAGCCAAGGATTCTCCCGAAGCAAAAATAATTTTCTCCCCAAATAAAAAACGTTTTTGCAAAGCTGCTGACCGATGCGATCTCTGTCTTTCTCTTACAAATGTCTCTTTTGTCTGTTCCTTCGCCAGCGAGGGCTCGGTCCTTACTGCTTCCTAATTTTTTGTGCCATCTGCCTGGCCACCGCCGTCTACGTCTTCCTCATTGTCCCCGAAACCAAGAACAAAACCTTTATGGAAATCAACCAGATCATGGCCAAGAGGAACGGTACCGAAGATCAGGCCGAGAAAGACGAATTGAAGGATTTCACCGCCGTTTCCATCCCGTACAGCAGGAAAGCCGACGGGGAGAGAAGCAGCGCGGTGTAAGGTCTTGGCAACCGCCAAACTACCCCGTGTAAATCGAGCCTTATTAAGCTTCTCTGGTTTGCGACGCGCCTGGCGTCTCTTCCCCTCACTGCGGACGAGGGGAAGAATCCTCAAAATCTTAAAAATTTTCAAGCAGAAAATTGCCATTTTTCAGCCGTTGCCCGGAGTTAGCGGGATTTGGGGTGGAATAAGACCCTGTTTTGGAAGAGATTCAGCTAATATTGGTGCGTGCTGGAAGAAATGAGTTTTCAACCGGCCGGACCTTAAAATAATTATCAGTATTTTTTTTAAATTGTTCTTGAATATAGATGCATTTGGGCTCTCTATGTGGGAGCATGTAAATAATTTTCGCTTCTGTTCTTAGATAACACCCTAATTTAACTGGGGAAAGAGACCCCCTACCTACCCTTGCTCATGTGAGAGGTGCATTCTGTGACACACACACACACCCACAACCTCTCCCCCAGGGTGTATTAGATCAAAAGGCTCATTTTTCCCCAGACAGGTCAATCCTGGCTGTCTATTATAACACAACTGCATTTTGCGAGTTTTGTGCTACAGGGCGGTGGTCTCTTTTCAAGTGTTCCTTTTTACCCCAATCTACAGATCCCTGCATTCAAGGTAAGCTTGCTGGAGATTTGGGAGCCCACTTGAGAAAAATAATTTCCATCTCTGGGGATATTTCTACGTTGAGTTTAACTTAGGCTCCTACCAATCGGCCAATTTTTCTATTTTTTTTAACCATTTTTATTTTTGTTTTCCAAAACAAAATGGGTTGATGGGTTGTTTCCCTTGCAATCAGAATTGACCCTTTTCAAAGCCAAGCTTTTTTTTTTTAAAAAAACATCCACAAAAATAGCCAAGAGAACGTTGTACATATCTTGAAATGGATTTGTGTGTGTCTGTGTGTTTGTGGGCTTTTTTAGTTTTCATTGGACATTTTTTTTCCCAAGGTGTGCGGGAATGACACTTTGCACAAACGGGTGTATTTTATTTTTATTATTTGAGTGCTGCAAAATAAAATAAGTTCTTGGATAAAGCTTGGAAAGAGGCGGAGAGTTCGTTCAAATCTCGTTATTAGCTGGGATTGCATTCCTGCGCTGAGATATATTTGGAGAGAACTGATACCACTTCTGAGAAGGATAAATCAGATTTGGGATTCACAGAGGGTAAACTATATCTGAGATTTTTAAAAATAAAAGAGAGTGAGGGAAACCTATCATTTAAGGATTTGTCAATGTCCTTCAATTCAGTTTGGTGTTATCCAACTGACAAAGCTCATCAGATGAATACCGAATCATTGGATTACTGTATTATTGGTGAGAAGGGTGGCACTATAAATCTAAGAAATAAAAAAAGGATTGGGTTGAAATGGCGGAGAATTTATTGATGCCTCACAGCCGGCAAGCCACAGGTGAGGGTTTTCTGCCATGCAGGCTTTTAAATTAAATTATTAGCAGATTTTGTTGGGGAGCTGATCCTCTGGATGATTAGTTTGCAATCTTTTGTTAATCATTATGGTCGACACCCCGTGCCTCCTCCCACTGTTTGACCCAGGGCAATCCAAAGGGGGGCAACCCCAGGCCTACCCCAAATGTGGGGGTAGACCTGGGACATTTTAGCTCCAGATTTCCCAATATTGCCTGAAGGCCTGTGTTCACACCACATCTGTGGGTCAGTAACCTGGGACCTAAGGTCACGGTCCTACCCAGAAGTCCCTGGTGGAGGGGAGTGCACTGAAGTCTCTGGGTAACAATGTTTTTCAGCCTCTAACTCCCAGAATCCCCCAGGCAGCAAAGCTTCTGGAGATGCGGAATCATAATGGAAGCCTGGCTGGGGAATTCTGGGAGTTGACGTTCCCCTCTCTTACACCCACTGAAGTTGGAAAACACCAGCTTAAGAGTCCCAGCAGGGGCAAATGCAAAGATTTGGGGGAGGAAAGAAGCATTTCTGTACACAGACCTCGAACCCAGGCCTGATTCACCTACAACTGGTGTCGGGGCCTAAGGTCACCCCACCAAACAGAGACATGTGTGTTTCGCCCCAGGCCAAGACGTCGCCTTTTTGCTGGCTGTGTTTGCAAAGGGTGAGTTCCTGGATGTCATTCTGGTCCAGCAGCCAGCTCCAGAGATTGACGTGGCTCATCCATCCAGAGAAGGCATCGGCGAAGACGTCCAACATGGCATTCTTCCTCTTCCCAAGGATGGGCGTCCCCCCGCTCTGGATGACATAGTTTTTCTGAATGTTCCGGGCAGTGCCCACGGCTCCGTTGACCCACAGGTTGATGGTGCCCGAGCTGGAGACCCAGGTGACGCAATGGTGGACCCAGTCTTCTGCCCGGCGGTGGAGGTCAAATTGCACAAACTTGCCCCCGATCCAGACTCCTACCGCCATGCCCACGCTGACGACCAACTCATTTTCACTCTCGGGAGTGGAGTAGAAGAGAACGGTCTGCCTGCCCTGGTTGCTATTCTGGACCCAGAAGCAGAGAGTGAAGATCTTCAGTTGCATGGGCTTCAGAGGGACGATGGTCACATAGCTGGCGGTGTTCTCCAAGGGGAAGTGAAAGGCTTGCAAGCTGAGCTGGTGATGACCTGGAATAAACAACCAGGCACGGTCAGGTTGGCATGGTCCTTGAGTTGGCCCACCAACTGGAAGGAACCAATTTTATATATGGCTTCACCTAGAGTTGGTCCTTGGGAGAACTCAGGAGAACCTCTTACTCATAGATATTGTTGAATTATTCCTTGGAAGAACCCAAGAGAACTTCTTAGTCATAGGTGGTCCTTGAGTTGATCCTTGGAAGAACTCAGGAGAACCTCTTATTCATAGGTGGTCCTTGAGTTGATCCTTGGAAGAACCCAGGAGAACCTCTTATTCATAGGTGGTCCTTAAGTTGATCCTGGAAGAGCCCAGAAGAATCCAAATTTAAATTTATTGACATGATACCCAACCTTCTACTCTGGCAAGGTTTCAAGCCATGTCTGGTGTACAGGTTGCTCTTGAGGTGACCCACAGATGAGCCAATCCGTTGGGCTCTTTCCTTACAGAACCATCACTCCTTATCTCCAGAAGCGAAAAAGAGTGGCCTCAACTTTCCGGAGTGACCTGAGCACGGGGGGGGGAGGGGGGGAAGGTGGTGTCAATGTCTTCAGTGTTTTGCTAATGCTGAGAAGAGGAAGTGTTAAGTTGTCACACCTCCTGAGTCCCCATGACTGATGATGGGCGATGTTGGGAGGTTCAGTTCAGCCATATGGGTGGACTTCTCCAACACAATGGACACTGAGGGACAAAGAAGGCCCAGAAGGTGCTGAGACACCAAGGAATTAAAAATTCTGTGATGTGAGGAGCTACAAGAGACCTCAAAGGTAGGAAAGACAAGATGCCTCCAAGACTCAAAACAGCCTTGCCTCCTGGCTTCCATGGGACTTCCAGAATCCAGAATTGTTCTGATGTCTCTTAAATGTTGCGCCCTTGGTTTTCCCAGCTGGGTTGGGAAAAAAGGTTGTCCGAATGCACGCAGGTCAATAAAAGCAAAGGAGGGACTCCTTACCAGGTCTGCCTATGACGTCCAGAAGATACTTCTTCATCTCGCGAAGACTAGTCTGTATCTTATTGAGCTTACTGGAGATGCTCTCGGGTCGACACCTTCCTAAAATGATGGGAGTTCTAGTTTTAGCTCCTTTGTAAACATTGTCCATCTTTATCTCCAAGGAAATTAGGGATTGAACGCTGAAGAATAACTAGGGTGGTTTTTACATTCACATTGCTTTGATCCTGCTGAGTTCTCGCACCCTGCACTGGTTTTAATTGGGGTTTGTACAACAAACCATTCTGGCCTGGCTCACATGCAACTCACTAAGCCACAAATCATGGTTTACCCATCACATAGGCTAGGGATGCACCTGAACTAATCAAGCTAAGCTTTCCTCTGGCTACTTTGGGAGATGGACCATGCGCAAGGGCCAGCTCTAGCTAGGAACGTGGGTCCATATGTTCGAGACAGACATCAGCTGCCTGTTACTGAGCTCATGGACCCTGCATTTTAGCAACCGTTTCCACAAATCTGTTTATTTTATTTATTGCTAAATTTATACACCAACTGTCTCACTGCCCAAACCAATTAGAAATTATTTAATCCCCGTTCCCCTTCCTGAGACCTCCAGCTCCACTGGAGGTGGGGGCCTAAGCAACAGAACAGTAAGGACGAGAAAAGTGACCAGGGAGGGGTTATACTCAAGAGTAAAGGTCTACTCAAGAGGAGGCTGACCAGCTGCAAGCAAGGAAACAGGTGAGGTGAGTCCTACACTTCTCTTCCTGGTTCCTGTCTTAAACCCCAGTCTGTGCTGGTCCTATCAAAGGTGGTTTGCCCATCCTAGTTGGCTTCCTGTATGGCACCTTTTTTTGGGGGGGGGGGTCACTCCTGCTGTGTACCTTCAAACAGCCGAGGTGAGAAAGATGCTTTGACCATCCGTTTGTTGAGGGGCTGGATCTGGCGATAATCGTTTCTCAAACTTTCATTCTTCCAGTCCAACAAGGTGTTTTCCAACAGATCAATCTGCAAAGAGATAAAATAAATTTGAAGGAACCTAAGCAAAATGGGCCAAGATCATATAAAAAAAAAGCAAACAAAGAATTTAAGATGCCAATTAAAAAAGTAATGCGACCTAAAATGTAGAATTAAAGTTAACATAAAACTTTGTTAGGTTACTGTATATATATATATATATATATATATACATATTTTTAAAAAGCCAGTATATTCAATGGCTGGGAGAGAATCAAACTACTTTCTGCAGATTTAATTTCCTCTTTAGTAAAGTTTCATCCCATGCCTGCAAACAGCTAAAGAAAGCAGCCCAGCTCACATAACTTAACCTGGCTTGTTTATTTTTGTGTGGGTGGGCTGTCTGAACTGAGCAACTACCTATTTAAAAGCAAAGCCAATGATGTTATTCAGTCAACAATGGTTTTGTGCAATATGTAGATCCAAACCATGGTTGAATGCAGCATAAACTATGGTTCTAGTGCAATGCACGGACCGTATGCTTACCTGGGTGTAAGATAGCTTGATAGGTGTGTCAAACACGGTCCAGATCACGTTCTCCGTGCATGGTGGGGTGGTTAACGAACCATGATAGCGGTAGAAATTGTAGAGGTTTTCAGGCAACATGGCTAAGACATCCAGGCTATCGAGAGTGGTCGAGTGCCCTAAAAGAGAAGAACAACCCCTGCGTACAACGATCTTGTAAAGTAGACCAGAATCAGATTAAGGTGTGTTGATGGATCTAAATAGCTAATGTTTTAAATGTTTTGCCCATTAACTTGAGATGTTTGGGAATACAGAAGGAAGCTGCTTTCTAAATCTTGGAAACCCTTTGGAAACCGGAGATTGGGAATGCTGGTCTTTGTAGTTCAAACAAAGCCCAGGCTGCATGAAACTGCAAACCAAGCATGATTTTTGCAGAGTCTGTTTTTCCACTTTGCAGGTGCCCAGTGTGGCAAATTGCTCTTTGGTTGGCAAAAAAAAATAAGATTTTTATTTTGTTTTATTTTACTTTTTTTTATTATTTTTATATTTTTTATTTTATTTTTATTTTTCATTTTTCCTTTTATTTTTATTTTTATTTTTATTTTTCATTTTGTTTATTTTATTTTTTATATTTTGTTTTATTTTTTATAATTATTTTATTTTACTTATTTTATTTTTTATATTTTATTTTATTTTTAATTTAACTTTTTACTTTATTTTTTATTTTTTATATATTTTTATTTTATTTTTATTTATATTTTTCATTTTATGTTTATTTTATTTTTTATATTTTGTTTTATTTTTTATAATTATTTTATTTTACTTATTTTATTTTTTATATTTTATATATTTTTTATTTTATTTTATTTATATTTTATTTTATTTTTTATTTATATTTTTCATTTTATTTTTTTATTTTTTTGTATTTTATTTTATTTTATTATTTTTTTATTTCTCTCTCCCCCCCCCCTTTCTAGATGTGGTGCTTAAAACGCCCGCCATAAAAATCCGGCCCTGGGATTAGGCAGCTTTGGTGCCCTTCTGGACTTCGTCTCCCATCAACCCTGAGCAGGCACAGCCAATGGCAAGGAATTGTGGGAATTGCAGTCAGGAGCATCTGACAGGAATGTGAGGCCATCTCATTCACCCTTCAGCATCAGCCCAAGGGAAGGTGTTTGTCCCTCCCCCCCCCTGCAAATCCAGGCCTTACCTGCATACTTAATTTTGGCCAGTTTGGCAATGAAGTCACTGTAGTAAGCATTCTCAAAATGGCTGCCCTAAAAAACAAACAATTAAAATAATCAAAGGTCTTACACTGCCTGAGTCCCAATGACTCAGGCAATGGATTTCCCTAGTTCATGCCCACCCCAAAATGGCAGCACTTATAGAAGATGGCTGTTCTTGAAGGGGGAAAAAAAAAAAAGTGGGGATAAGTTTTGCTTTGGGATGGGAGACCACCAGGCGAGCCTTGCAAGTTGAACGTCCCAGAAATAAGGGCCATCAGGATTGAATTGCACTCAGAGGAGAAGTGCAGATTATATTTTGCTTCTCTCCCTTCATCTCTTTTTAATTTAAAGGTCCCTATTTGCCCTCAGAAAAAATAAACGTATTTCCAGTCTTTATTTCCCTAGTGTTTGCTGCCCCCTAGTCGTAGGTTCAGGGTTGTGAAGTATAATCTCCCCTCTGTTTTCCATTTAAAAACTTCATTTTAGACCCTAAACTTGATCATATGCAGCCTTTAAAAGCCACCAGGCAGGACGAAGTACCACAATGACACTTCTTAATTTTAAAGCATTTTTTTTTTTAAAAATCCATCTTGATAATCCGATTGATAACTCAAGCTAAGCCACAAGGTGATTTGTTAAATTGTGATTTGGTGGGAGGTTGCAATCCAGCTGCTGGCTCTTAAACACACAATTTGAGGTTGAGCAAACCTGGCTGAGTCACCCTTAAACGAGCTATGATGTGAACCCAATTATAATTGATCAGATTTGGGAACCTGGAAGAAATGAAGGAGATGATCCAGGTTGGGAGAGATAGTTTTGTATGTGTATGTATGTAATGTATGTGTGAAGCCCATTGTTCTGAGCCAGAGGCAAACAGCTGGAAAATTAAGCTGAATTCCCAGTTAGCAATTTTTCGAAATGCACAACAACAATTTGGACAGCACCTTAGCAGTTGCAAGGGCCCCAAAACAGTGGTTGTTAGCCTTCCCTGATGGGGAGACCCTTTTGTTAAGCAGATGTCAGACAGATGTTCCAGGCCTGGCAAAGCAATGGGAGACAGTCTCTGGGAAATTGCCTCTTGAGCTTCCAATTGTTCTGCGGTGTTTGCAAGAAAATGACAACCTTGCTTTTGCCAATTTGCAAATCAAAGGAATGCACCAACAGAAGACCCCGGCCTCTTTATAGTGTCCTTCCAAAAAAGGCTGCTTGCTTGCCATGCCAGGAAAAAATTTTTTTTAAAAAAAATAAATCGTATACTGCCACTTTTTCCAACTAAACACTTAAAATGCACTATTGTGTTGTGTTCTAAAGTGAATTAATGTATTTCAATTAACACCATTTATTATTAAAATGTAGCTGCAAAGGGGGCTTCCGGATTCCTTTTGATGTTTAGGTCCCACTGTTGAACCCCATTTTCTTCCTGCAATGTTGATTCTATGCCTGTTTTTTTCTTTCTTTCTATAGACTGGCACCTGCCATACAACACAGCAGAGTTAACAATTGTTGATAAGAGTCTGGAAGTGGATGTAGCAGTAGCCAGAGGCAGCAGAACAGAAGAGAAAGAACTGGAAGATCACACACACACACACACAAAGAAAGACCTGCAAAATAGAACTACTGTGGCAGGAGCAAGCAAAGTTAGTCCCAATAGTCATAGGTGCCTTGGGTGCAATCCCTAAAGAATTGGAGCATCATTGAACATCTTCTGGAATTGACAAATTCACCATCAGTCAATTGCAAAAGGCAGCTCTGCTTGGAACAGCTTACATCCTACGATGATATCTCTAACACGATCAAACATCCACATCTGCTTATTCCAGGTCCTTGGGAAGGCCTTGGGAGGTGGACAAAAATGCCACATCTCATCTGAACCTCTGGCTGACTGTGTCTTACACCATAACGCACAAGTTGGAGTAGGACCACAAGGAGAAATAATGGGATATGTTGGGAGCGATCCTTTGAGAAGGTCTTTAATGAGCCTGTAGTACAAGGAGGTGGGACAAAACTCAACGGCAGACCAGTGCCACCCAACTTGGGTGTGGGCCTCTTAAAAGACCCTCATTGCACACAAGTGGGTTGTCGAGTGCCTTACCACAAAAAGAAAAGCCAGAACAGCCAGCCCGTCAGGTTTATTCTTCGCTTTGTCAAAACTGGAGTAAGCTTCTGAATTGTAATGGACAATGTGGAGCTGCGGAAAAAAAAGAACGGGTGAAAAAGTGGCATGGGGGCCCACACGGTGGTGAACCTCTCCATCAAAGGCAAGTAGCCTTGGACAACCGATTCCTAGTTCTTCAACTACAGGCAGTCTTTGACTTACAAATGGGAGCAGGATGCCCTTCAACTACAGGCAGAATAGAATAGAATAGAATAGAATAGAATAGAATAGAATAGAATAGAATAGAATAGAATAGAATAGAAGGAATATAGAATAGAATAGAATGGCATGGCATGGCATGGCATGGCATGGCATAGCATAGCATAGCATAGCATAGCATAGCATAGAATAGAATAGTTGAAAAGGACCTTGGAGGTCTTCTAGTCCAGCCCCCTGCTCAAGCAGGAGAATCTAGTTCTCCTCCTCCTCCCCCCCCCCCCCAGGCTGATAATTCCAGAGGGAAACGGAGTGACCCACCTCAGCCATGTACCGCAATCCATCGATGGTGTGTTCGGATCCGCTGCTCTCTTTTTCCGTGCCCCCCCAGTGAAGGTGCAGCTGGATGGCTGTGAATTTCCCGGGCAGGCCTTTTATAATCCTCATGGACGAAGGAAGGTCTATGACAACTGGAAAGGGGGATTTTAAAAGGGCAATGACATGAGCCTGGGACAGTGCAATTGTCATACATAGATATATGCTAGTTACCAACCTCCCAACCTTGATCGTGTGACATGGGAATGCTGCAGCAGCCATAAGTATAAGCCACTTTTTCAGTGTCCCTATAATAACTTTGAACTAAACAAATGGTCGTTAAGTCGAGAGCTATCTGCATTATCCCTGTTTACAGATAAGCTTTCTAACCTTGGTGCCTGCCTCAGACCTATCATTCCTGGCCTGTTTTGGCAGCACTAGCTTGCGAAATGCTGACCTGGATTGTCAGAATGAGCCCACGTGCAAAAGTCAGGCTTGCCTTGCCTGACATAACCCTCTCTTTTTTTTTGCTATACTCTTCCCCATCATACTTGTCTTGCTCATCCCATTAAAACATCCTTTTTTTTCCATCCGGCAGTTTTAAAGATGGCTGTGCTGGCTCAGGAATTCTGGGAGTTGAAGTCCATGAGTCATAAAAGAGCCAAGGTTGACCACCCCTGACTTCAACCATCTTTAGGAGAATCGAATTGACCTCGGCTTTTGGTAATTCCTGATTTTTTTCCCATTCAATGGGAATACAAAATTACAGCAAAGTTCCCTTTTTGAGTTTAGATTTGAACCCGCAGAATCTCTTAGTGGTCTCTCATCCATTCTTTCTCGCTGCCGAAGGTCCGGTTGTAAGTTTCCACACAACTCTGATTCTCTCCCTTCTCCTTTTCTAGGCTGCTTTTGGGAATACAGCATTCCTGGTTTTACAGTATATCAGCAAGTTTAAAAAAAAAATGGGTTGACTGTGATAGTCCCAAATTCTAGCAATATCTCCATTCATCCGTAATGTTAGATCTGTGCTTTTGTTGTTACTTTTTTTCTTTCTTCTTTTTTTTTTTTTAATGCCTCGTGCATTTGTACAAGCCTCTGTTGTTTCTGGCGTGCCCACCAGCTTTTATAGCGGATTGGGAAAAATCAGCACAAAATTAGACAGATAGAATGTGGAAGGACATAAAGAAAATGATGACGGGACAGAAATGAATGGATCACGACCGGAGCCGCGTGCAAATTAAAAAAAGCAAGCGGGCCGTCGGCCAATAACTTTTCTGCTGATTTTCTTTTAATCTGGTCGACCTGGACCGCTTCCCTGCAGGGAGGCTAAAACGGGGTTTGTTTTTTAGCTGCACTTGCACCCCGATTTTAATCCTGTTTAAAACAGGGCGCTGCTTTAGCTGCCTTGCCTCCCCCCACCCAATTTTAATCCTGTGTTCAGACAGGTTTAAAGTCGAGTATGCTTAGCGTTAATCTCAGGTAGAACACTGCACCGTGCTTAGAAATATAATGAGGTTTGGGAGCCGTGGAGAGAAGGGAAAATGCCATTTTTACTGCTCCAGAAAAGTCTCTAAAAAGTTAGTTCTGGTTAGTGAATGCAGACAAGCCAGCATGCAACATCCTTGGGATCTGTATAGGTATTTTATTATAAAAATCCTGTCCTTTTCCACTGTACAAGTCGGTCCTTTGTTAAGCTAATTTTGCCCCATTTTATGACTTTTCTCGCCACAGTCACCACGGTTCTTAAGTAAGCCACACGGTCGTTAAGCGAAGCTGGCTCCGCCCCCCCATGGACTTTGTTTGTCAGAAGGTCACCAGAGGGGATGACGTGACTCCGGGACACTGCGACGGTCGTAAGTATGAACCCGTTGCCCAGCACCTGAATTTTGATCCTATGACTGTGGGGATGGTTGTAACTGAGAAAGTTCGTCGTAAGTCCTTTTTTTTTCAGTGATGTAACTTTGAACAGTCTAAATGCTGTAAGTCGAGGACTGCTTATATTTTCATGCAGGAGGGTGAATCGGCCTTAAGTAACTTTTTCCAATGTCGCTTTAACTCTGAACTGTCACTAAATGAATGGGAAGTCAAGGACTACATGTAAAGTGACTTGTAAAAGATGTGGAATTCAAAGCCTAAAAACACAACAGGGCTGGTCTTAGCATTTTGCAGGGGGGGGGGGTTGGAGAAGAAGGGCCTTGCATAGGGCAGGAGCCACTACAGAAAAGTCCCTGTCGCCCATTGAAGTTCTCTGGAAATTCAGCCCCCTTCAGTAGACAGACTGGGGCCAACTCCGACAGCCTCTCATTTAGCTGGCAAAGGGCAGTGAAACCACAAGCTTTGTGGGGAGCTAATGCTATGTAATATTGTGGGTTGACGTGGAGTCTTCAACTGACCACCCACTGTAATTGATTCAGGTTTTATTGCCTTTGATTGCTGCCTTTTGGCTTTCAGGTTGTGATTCTTGCAAGGTCAGGCAATTGCAAGATTGGAAGGGGCATTTAAATAAATAAAGCCTGGCAGCGCAAAACGGGGCAACGAGCTTTCAAATTATTATTATTATTATTATTATTATTATTATTATTATTATTATTATTTTAAAAAGATAGGTAGTGATCTTAGAGCTTGCTTTAAGTGGTTGTCTTGAGGCTCAGGGGAAGAGGTTATTCTGCTTTTTAAACCGAGTTCTGGATAGGAGCAAAAACGAGTCCCATAGATTACAGAGGGAAATGCTCAGAATAACAGAATTGGAAGGGCACTTGGAGGTCTTCTAGTCCAACCCCCTGCTCGGGCAGGAGACCCTATATTAATATCATCACAGACAAATGGCTGTCCAGTCTCTTCTTATAAAAAACCTCCAGTGATGGAGCACCCACAACTTCTGGAGGCAAATAGTTCCACTGATTTCTCCTTAGTTCCAGGTTGCTTCTCTCCTTGATGAGTTTCCATCCTTTGCTTCTTCTCCTGCCTTCAGGCGCTTTGGAGAATAGCTTGACTCCCTCTTCTTTGGGGTAGCCCCTGAGATACTGGAAGACTGCTATCATGCTCTTTTCATTAGACTAGACATGCCCAGTTCCTGCAACTATTCTTCCTATGTTTTAGCCTCCAGCCCCCTAATCATCTTTGTTGCTTTCCCAAGCTCAAGGTCTTTTTTTTTAAGCTAGAAATTAAAATGACCCTTGCTTGCAAGCTCTTTAATCACCAGATTGCTAGATCAGAAGTCTAGGACAGGGGTCTTCAAACTCAACCCTTTTATGACTTGCGGACTTCAACTCCCAGAATTCCTCAGCCAGCGTGCACGCTGGCTGAGGAATTCTGGGAGTTGAAGTCCACAAGTCATAAAAGGGCCAGGTTTGAAGACCTGTGTCCTAGGATTTTGCTTCCTCCCCCCCCCTCATTATTCACCTGAATGGCCATTGTTGGTCATCTTGAATGCGTCACGGCGATAGCCATAATCCTGGAGCTGCAGCGGTTCCAGATCGGGATTAAATCTGGCTTTCGACCTCTGAATATTGATGGGGGACTGCAGTTTCCCCAGGCAGTGTTCGAAGTACGTTCCCCATTCGTCTTCACTGTGTTCCCCTTGGGTTGGACCAGGGAAGGAGAGAAAAAGGCTGTCAGATAAGGCATAGCACAGAAGCCAAAGACTTGTCTTGAGTCCTATATAAGCAAGCTTTTTACAGCAAGAGTCTTCAAACGTGGCCCTTTGATGACTTGTGGACTTCAACTCCCAGAATTCCTCAGCCAGCGTGCACGGAGATCCAGTTGAGGAATGCTAGCTTAGACCAAAGATATAGCATTACTGCAGGGGTCTTCAAACGTGGCCCTTTGATGACTTGTGGACTTCAACTCCCAGAATTCCTCAGCCAGCAAAGTCCACAAGTCATCAAAGGGCCAAGTTTGAAGACCCCTGCTTTACCCGCTTCCAGATTGCCTGGAAAGATTTAAATGGGAAAGATATGACAAGAAAGGAAAGAGGGAGGATGAGGGAATAGGAAAAACAAAAAAACATAGAGATGTGTCCTCTCTAAAACTTATGTTTAGAAGTTCGATCAGCCGGCTTCTTATTTAAAAAAAAAAAAAATGTAAGTTCGTGTCTCCTACAATAATTTTTTTCCCTTATTTACTAAATGAAACCACAACTATGTTGTGCATTCTCTGCGGTGGGTGGTTTTCTTGCAGATGTTTCATTACCCAAATGAGGTAAAATGTCTGTGCTGAAGGGGGGGGGTAGGCTTTGTCAGACCCCACTCTCTCCTAACACTGATGATGTTACTTAGATGGGTAATAAAAGGCCTGCAAGAAAAAACAAACTTGTTCAAAGAGCACCATTTCAACCACAAATATTCTTTATCAATGATGTAAGTCAAAACCCTGCAGCGGGTCCTGGCAAGTGATTGGAAAGACTTCTGGTGGGAAAAGTGGTGATGGAGGAAATTTGGAGATAAATTTCTAGGCTCTCCAGAGATCTCCTGTAAAAAAAGAGAGGGGGGGGGGAATTGACAGATTATCAAGGCTTCTTCTTGGCTATCATAAACATCTTTTTTTAGGCTCTTAAGTGCTCTCTTTTTCTCACTGTCCAGATTCTCAGCTCTGTTTGCAATGGGTCTAAAAATCTTTCTTGGCTCCCTCCCCAATTTTTAGGGTAGCTTCTTTGCAATCAGGAGTGAAAAGTATTGATCGATCCCTATTAGAGGGCATTAACAGAGGAGAAAGATTACTGGAACAAACTATCTCCAGGGAAGAATCTTTTTTCTCCTCTCATAGAGTTTCTCCTTTGGACTTTCTTAATAAATAAAAAAATTAAAAGCAGATTTAACTTCCTTCCATATCGACGTCCCAGAGGCATTAACCTTTGGCTGACTTTACGTATGGAACAGAGAATTCTCGCAGCAGATAGAACAATATTTTAGCATATTGTCCTATGTTTCTCCCCCTAAAGAAGGAGAAATGTCGCAAAGCGTCCTTTTGGATTTGACAGATCAGGAGAGACAGAAAGACAAAACAAAAAGCGACCGGCACAAGCTTGCCCTTTTGAATTTCTGCTTGATTGGCAATCTCTACCCCAATTTATTTTCCACTCCTTTGCTCAAAACAACATCTCCACCTTGGGAGGCCTGCCAAGAATTTGGGCATCCGAAGAGACCCGATTCCAAAATTAATCCTAAGGCAGCAGCCATCTCTGGGATGTTGGGAGATGTTAAGAAAGGTTTTTTGGGGGGGGGGGCAGGGGGGGAACTTACCTGGTTTGAAAGGGAGGCAAATGACATGCAGTTGTGGAGGCTGTTCAAAAGAGGTTTAGCTTGATTTTAAAGCCAAGGGTGCTGCAGGCTGGCAGGTGTTTGGCGACGTGCACAGGTGAGCTAATAGGATGCCAAAACCCATCTGTAGGTCTTTGCTCCCTCCTTCCCTTCAACTGGTCCACTCCAGATCTGCTGGGCAATTCCTAATTCATCCCCAGCAGGAAAGCTGATCCTTAGACTCTCATAGTGAAGGTCTAAAGGAATTATTCTTAAAATAAAGTACTGCATACTAACTTAATTTTTGCTCTAATTGTGGACTATCCGGACGGCATAAGAGTTCACACCTTTTTGCAAACAGGACCCGCAACACAGGTTTCTCACTTTCTAGCTGACCCTAACCCTTAACCACAAGACCAAATAGGCTCCCTTTAGTAACTAGGAGCAACTAGGATTGCAGTCCCAGTCTGGGAAACCAATATTTAACCATGCTGCAACGATTTGCCACCTTAAAATAGATCATAGTTGAAAGCCAAAGGCGTTTCTGCTCTCTTCCCACCTTCCCTCTTTCTTTCCTCCTTACCGTGATACGTCCAGTCCAAGATATCAGAAGAGCTTAGGTGTAGAAAGCAGAGCTGGAGCACCCAGACGCTAGTCCTCATGATTCCGTGAAATCGACCCCCGAAAGGTGGATCCGCTGGTTTTTGTGGAACCCCCCCCGAAAAGGTAAATAATAATTTACTTAAATCCAGCCTCTTTTCTCCTGCCAAAACAAGAGCAAATATTCTATTTTCCTCTGCTGGGTGAGAAAGTTAATTATATTGTGGATCGGGGAGAGACGGCTACGCTTCTAATAGACCCAGCAAGAAGACCACAAAATAGTGACGGAGACAAGTAGTTGTCAGGGGAAGCAAGGCTGTGATGGGGTTTGTTCTCTGGGTTTTCTCAGTTGTAGGCATCACCCACTGTCTTTGGTTCTCTGATTGGCTAGGCTGATGGGCATCGTGCAAGCATTAATGTTTGATGTACCTGGAAGTCGATGCCTTATGCAGAAAGCAAACACTCGCAGAGGCCTGCTTAATGGCCAGCGGGAAGAACTTAGCCATAATACCCAGATGCATTTGAGAAATAAATTACGGGTGGTCCTCGCTGTAAGACCACAGTTGAGCTGCAAATTTCCACTGCTAGCCATTAAGTGAGTTTTGCTCCATTTGACCACCGAGCCGTGGTGGCGCGGTGGTTAGAATGCAGTACTGCAGGCTGACTCTGCCGGCTGCCAGCAGTTCAAGTTTCCACCGGCTTAAGACTGACTCAACCTTCCATTCTTCCAAGCTCGGTGAAAATGAGGACCCAGATTGTTGGGGGCAATTTGCTGACTCTGTAAACCGCTTAGAGAGGGCTGTGAAGCGGTATATAAGTCTAAGGGCTGTTGCTAGTGCTTTCTTGCCACAGTGGCTAAGAGAATCGCTGCAGCTCTTAAGTAAGGACCCGTTGTTAAGTGAATCTGGCCTCCCCATTGACTTTTCTTGTCAGAAGGTCGCAAAAGAGGATCACGTTACCCTGGGACATTGCAACCATCACAAATATGAACCAGTTGCCAATTTGGATCACGTCTGTACTATCTGTATAGGGTAGCCTGTGTGTCTGGAAATAGGGGGAAATCTGACTCCTTGTAAGGGGGCCGTCGCTGACATGTTTGAAAAGCTTGATTCTGGAAAACAAGTATGGATCGCTCTGGGGAATCTACTCTTCCCATTAAGAGATTCCCTCTTTCCATTCAGGGAATCCTTACTCTCCCCTCTACAGAAGAAAAGTAAACAATTTGAGCCGGAGACCCAAAACATTGAAAAGATGACTATTCCTTTGGATTGAGCTCAGCTCCTGGGAGATTTTCACAGGCGTGTAATGTGCCACGTTCCTAATAACTGCTATTTTTCTTTGGAAAGATCCTTCCACTTCATTTGTTTTGCAACACAGGAGGCAAAATTTCCCGGTGGTGTCACATCCAGTTCTAAGCAAAACGTCTGGGCCCTGAAAGGGTGTAACGTTCCCATTCTTGAAAGGGGCAGTTTAAGCCAATATTTCTCAATCACAGCTGGGACTTCAACTCCCAGCAGGCTCCCAGGGATGCTTGCGTGGGTTGGCTACCTTGATTTTTCCTCTTCCCTCCTCAGCCCTCTTTCTTTTTGTGCCGTGTCTTTTTTCAGTTCTCAGTTGAAAAACCAAAGGGCCTGGTTGGGGAATCCTGGGAATCAAAGGCTAGACATCTTAAAGTTGCCAAGGTTTGAGAGACACTGGTTTTAAAACTTCCCGATGCAACTCGGGACCTTGATATTCTTTGTTTGGGTCTCCTGGGCAATCCGGGAGCTGGCCTGAATCGCTGGCATTTCCTGGTCAGCAGTTTTCAAGGACTATTTACCCAACTGGATTTTGCAGGATTATGAAATGCCTTCTGGGCATTTGGTTTGATCTCTGCACATTCTGCCGCTTTGCAGAGCAAGCCAAAAACAAAAAAAAACTGCTGCTGGCCTTTTATGAGCTTTTGGGGAAGGTCTCCTTAAAAGCCCGTTCTCAGAAACCTGATGAGCAGGCAAAGGAGACGTTCTGACAACAGACAGCCCCCAACCTGTCTCCAGATGCTACCGGCCGTAATCCCCTCTTGGCTGGGAGTTATGCAACGGCCCCTTCCCTTCAAGGAAAAGCGAGCCCCTTGGGCTTCAGGCGCCCTCATATCCTGAGGGGCTAGCTTTCTAGATGCAAAGTTGGGTAACTTTACCTTCCTGGGGAGAAAATGTTCATATTGTTGGCCGAGCAGGGTCAAAAATAGCCAGGGAAATGATTGAAACCTGGGAAACAGATCAGGAATGCTGATTTACCACCCAGGTGCTTAGGAGCCACGGAAAACAACAATCAACAATTTAATAGCCGGCTATCAATGCCCCAATTAAAAACTAAAAGCCACACTCAACCAGGCACCCTATAAATACCACGCAGTGCACACTTTCTGGTTCCCCCAGGATGGGCTTCGGAACGAATCCGAAAGCTTGAGAGGATAAATCTTTGGTCCTGGTGACCGACTCCGATTGGATCCTGCAAAAACTTTTCATAGCTCAGCCTTATTTCCACAGGGCTTAAAGTCCAGTCCCGCCTGTTGTAATATAATCCCAAATGTACGACAATCCTCATTTGGATTGCCTGTCTACATTGGGCAAATGCTAAAGTTCAAGGCTCAAGCGATATTTTCAGGAGAAAAAAAATCAGGCTGGGCTCTCGGCAAGAAGACGATCTTAGCCAATCTACTCAGGGTCCAAAGGGAAGGTAGTCCTCGACTTACGACGACTGAGCGCCAAATTTCCACAGCCGAGCAAGGGAATCTTGATCCCTTTTACGACCTTCCTTCCTTCCACGGTTGTTAAGGGGATCTTGTAGTTGTTGAGTTAGTAACACGTGAATCCGGCTTCCCCATTGACCTGGGGAAGTCAATGGGGAAGTTGGCCAAAGTTCGCAAAAGGGGATCACATGATCCCGGGACGCTGCGACCGTCATAAATAGGGTTGCAAGCGTCCGAATTTTGACCACGTGACCATCGGGGACGCTGCGACGGTTGTCAGTGTGAAAAAGGGTCATAAGTCACAGCGCCGTTCTAACTTCCAACAGTCACTAAATAAATGGTTATAAGTCAAGGACTATTTGGGATGAGTAGAGTAGAGACCAAGTCTTGCCAAGCAACCCCCCCCTTTTCCCCTAAGGTCAAATTTTGCATTTTTTATTTTGCTCTATTTATTTCAACTTACTGGTCTGGGGGGGGGGGGTCTTAACAGCCTCTTACTCTGCAGGATTTTCAAAGTTCAAAAACCAGGGGAAAACATCGGGGAATTAACAACTAAACTGTCTTTATTTATTCCAATTTAAAACCTGCTTTCTAACTGGGACGCCCCGATTCCTTGCTGTGAGGCAAACCACCCCGATCAAAACCCCCTTTTTAAAAATCCTGCATTTTGAAAACCACCCATTCCACAGAGGGAAAATAAAACCCAGCCTTTTCAAGTGGCAGGGTCAGAGAAAGGGAAGGAATGCAAAGGAATAATCGTAATATTTTCTGGAAACGGCCTCGTTGTGTAAGAACCCTTTTAGTTTTCGCTGTTTTTTAAAATTTCCATCAGGTCGCGTGCTGTTTCTGGCTAGGTCCCCTGAATCAAAAGACAATGCAGTTTTCATTTGAATATTACAGAGAGGTTTCCCCCCCCCCTTCTACCTTTGCAAATGCCAGCCAGCCAATTTTTTTCTAGAGATAAACGCAATCGTTTTTGGCTGGACAGATGGAAAGCAGAGGCAGTGGAGGAGACAAAGTAAAAAATGTTCTAGCACAGCATCAAAAGATGCTAAATTATAGATGATAATTGTTTTAGGGGGCAAAGCTATGTTTGGTTTCAAGATAGAAGAGGGAAATAAATGGCCAGCTTGCCAGTAGGTTTCTAAATCTTTTTGGAATTGGACAGAAAGAGAGAAATGACACATCAAGCCACATGCTTTGTTAGATCTCGGCTTTTAAATGGCACTGTTGTGAGTGATAAACCAGGATTCCTGGCTTGGTGTCTTCACCCCCAAGGAGGACTGGGGCATGAATGGGGTCATAAATATAGAAACTCTCCACTCAGAAGCAGCTAGGCACCAAAATTTACAGTTGGAAAAAGAAAAACACAACACGAACCAAGAAAACATACCAATTTGAAAATGGAGCTGAGGATTTGCACGGGTTTTGCTGACCCAGCAAAGCACACACTATCCCCGCAAGACAAATTCGCTTTTAATTATGATGTGTACGCTTCAACACAAGGGATACTTACTTGCCGGTCCCAATCCTCTCTTGTTCTGGTGGAATGGTAAAGCTCTCTTAAGTTTTTTCTTAGCTCTTTGTGGACATTTTGCTCCAGATAGGTGCGAGGAGGGGAATCTGCGTGGGAGTCAATCAATGTTAAAAAAATAAAGGAATTAAATGTGGGTCTGGATTGAGGTGGACAGAGTGGACCAAGAGCCATTGAAACGGAACCAGTTGTGGAGTTTCGCGGTTGAGTGTTGCCAATATTCTCTGTCTTTGTGACATCACAAGAGACAGATCCTAAGCTTTAAACCTTCCTTTTTTCCTTCTGATCTGCTGCCCACTTATTTTCCCAACTTTTTAATAGAATTACCGAGTTGGAAGGGGTCTTGGAGGTCTTCTAGACCAACCCCCTGTTCATTCAGGAGACCCTATTAGATAAATAGTGGTCCAATCTTTTCTTAAAAGCCTCCAGTGATGGAGCACCCACAACTTCTGGTGGCAAGCCGTTCCACGGGTTAATTATTCTCACTGTCGGGAAATTCCTCCTTTTTAGGTTGCTTCTCTCCTGGATTAGTTTCCATCCCTTGTTTCTTGGCTTGCTTTCCGGTGCTCGGGAAAATAGGTGTGATCTCTCCTTGCGTGTTTTGTAGGCCTTTATGAGTAAATCTAGCTGCATTTTCAAATTAATGCTCACCCTGATAAGCTGAGGTCTGGCGGACTGTGGTTTGGACTTAGCCACAAGGAGTTGGGCTTGTAGGATAGGCTAAAGGAGATAAAAATAAACCACATATCGTTTTTTAGCGCGGGCTGCCATCCTTACATTTCCAAACCTTATCTTTGCAGTCCCAGTCGTACGTGTTCTGAAGTTGGGGCATTCAGATTTTCTCCAGCAAATGGCTCGGAGTTGCTGCAGATTTGGTTGTTCTAAGTTCAAAACCCGCATCCTTTTAATTTTAATTTTATTTTTTTTACAATCCGCGTTCCCTATTTCAGAATGCAAAACCTGCCTGTCAAAGCAAGTTTTTCCAGCTAAGATCCCTCCGGACCATCCCCTTAAGCCATCCAAACCTCTGGCAGAGATGATAGCAAGGTATATAGCTTCTGGCCCATCACCTCTGGAACCCCAGATGTTCATTATTTTTAAAAGAAGCCGCCCAAATTCCCAATCCTGACGGCGATCCTTCCAGATGCTCCCAGAAAACCAGGGTGGCTGCATGACCTTAAAAAACAATGCAAACCCTGTGTGTGTCTCTACACACACTAGCAGCCTCACAGCACAATATTGTTGTTTAGAAAAAAAAGGGATGCAGCGACAAAATAATTCCAGCACTTGCCCAAAGCAAGAATTTTCGGCGTTTTATTGCTACTAGAAATTCATTGCAAGGCTGAGCCCAATTCCTTCTCTGAAGCTAACTAAAAAGGGCTGAACGCTACTTCCTTCCTTCTAATTTACTGCAGGGGTTTAATCCAACCTTCCTACTAAGCCATAAACTGGTTTATTTGTCGGGGTACCAGCTCTTAGGTGAAATGGCATCTTGTTTGACTAGGATGGGGGGGGGGGGAGAGGTTGTGTGAATCTGTTCAGGGCCTATCAGAAAAGACAGCAGCCAATTTTTCAATGGTGAAGGTTGCATATTGTGTTGGTCTCTTTTTTAAAAATAGTAATAATAATAACAGCTTTCTAGCCAAGTTAGACCCAACGAAGAGGCTCATAAGATGTTTTCTCATTAATTTTGATAAGTATTTTTTGCAAAGCTCTTGTAACTGAGTTTTGATCAAGTTAGTCTAACCCTGTCTGTGTTAAACAAGTCATTAAACTGGAGTTTTATAGGCATGAGAGAAGCAATTCAACTGAGGTTTGGAAAACAGCATTTTCGGATTCTTCAAATACACATCAGTTCCTTGGCTTACATTTTACAGATATCCATCTCTATTATAGTTTCCTTTCAGGGTAAACATTAGCACAGAAACACTGAGGAATAACTAAAGCGAACACGTCAAGTAGTGGATTTTTTTTTTATTTTAAAAAAAGCTAAAATCACGTTTAAAGCTACAATTTTACAAACTTCAGGTACCGCCTTATAAGTTTTGTTTTCGTTAGTGTTAAATTCTGCATTCAATTGTAATCTTTTGTACTACTCAAAGTTTGGCGGACTGGGTATTTAGAATCAATAAGCTTTTTGGTGTTTGGATTATTGGATACAAATTATAAAGTTTTAACACCACAGTCCTATCACTCCATCCTTTGCAAAATAATTATCTTAAAATAATTATTGCTGTGCAAGATGAATATTCCAGTTTCCAAGCTACCCGGTATACACTGTTGTTGTTGTTTTTTTTAAAAAAAGGTATGAAATAAAAACGTGTTCAAATTCTTTACAAAATGGGTTTTTTTTTCCACTTCTCTCTCTAAATAAAGAAATTAAAAAAGGAAACTAAACTGGATTAGGCCCGCCCACGCGGCTGCGTAAAGCAGAAGGTGCCCGAGCACGTAGCGCACGCGCCAAGAGGCTGAGCTGGCGAGAGGCCCCGTTGGCCAATCGGCGGGCGGCAGGGCAGCGTGGGCCGGCCAATGAGAAGCCGCAACGAGTCATCTCATCTGCATAGACTGGGGTATAGTTTAGCGCGCGCCGGCCGCCTCTTCTTCAGTTCCCCGGGTGAGAAGTGTCGAACCGCGTTGCTGTGATTAGATTTTCTTTAATTAAAAAAAAAATACTATTGCAATTTATTTCCTTAGGTGCTGCTGCAGCGCGAGAGCTTAGCCTAAGGTAAGTTGGGAAAGCGCTTGCTTTGGAGGATAGGGGGGAATATTTTGCAGCAAAATACACACACACACACACACACACAAATTTCCTTTCAGACGTTTGCAAACTGTGGTCAAGACGTTTTGCAATTTTCTTTTGCGAGGAAAAGGAAATAAGTGTGTCTTAGGGTGGGGCGGCCCTTTTGCAAACGTTTTCGAAGATTGCATTGCTGGAAGAAAAAGGCACCCCCCCCAGCTTCCTTTCCATTTTCAGGATTTAATTATGCATGTTAAAAATAATTTAATTTAATTTGATACTTATTCAGTATGCTTCTTAAAGATTTGCATCGTGGGCACCTGGAGGCTGTGAAACTAGTTTCCATTAAGCGAGTGGTCCAGAGCAGCCCAACATGGCGCACTTGTAGTTTATCAAGACTGCATGACCTATGGTTCCCTGCCTGGTGATGTAGGTGCGCGAAGGGGGGGGGGGTGTCCAGTAGCTCCAACAGGTGTCGAAGGTCGGAAAACCTGTAGCCTAAAACCAATGCAAGCTGAAAAAATAAGAGTAAAAAGAAATTGAGGTTCTGTTTCAGCTCATGCAAAGCGAATGGGATGCTGTAAGGCTCAAGAAAAGGAAACTTTTTTTTTTTTAAAAAAGGGATGCTTGAGACTTTCTTTGGTCCGTATCTTAGCTCCTGTGGCTTCCATGGCGATCAAAGATGGATTGATCCATCTTTCTGCATCTTGCAAATTCATCTTTATTTAATCAAAATAAAATTTGAACAAGACCAGCGGGGCAAATGAAGGGGAGGAGGGTGGCTTCATTTGCCCCCGCTGGTCTTAGCTCAAATTTTATTTATTTTTATTTTCTTAGGCATTAGGATAAGCTGCAGGAGGATCCTGATGTTCAGGGAAAATTATCTGCCGGTGTGTGGTGGGTTGTGTGTGTGTGTAGAGTTCTGCAGAGGCCTGTCCAGGCTGGGCATCTTTTTCAGAAGCCATTTGCCTTTGTAAAAACAGGCTGGCTTGTGGGTAGCCTGAGATGGGGACATCCTTCGCACATGGACGTTGGGATCCTCCTTTAAGGGGACCACGTGTAGAAAATACCCCACCCCCCTTTTCTTAAGGCGGAAATGCTGAAGAGGGAGATGGCCTGGAGCATCTGGAGGCCATGTTTCATGCCTCACATGCTTCCTTCCCTTGCCTGAGCAAGGACAAGCCATGATTGATGGGAAGGACAGTTGCTGCGTAATGCATATTTTTTTAAAAAAACCCTTCCATTCAGGCTCAGCCCACCCCCTCCTTTGGCAAAGTGTGAGTTTTATTCTAAACCATGCAACCCAATTTCCCCATTCTGGGGCGGGAGGGAGGCTTAGTCAGATCCTCCAACTGCGACATTTAATTGTGTGGTTTATTTATTTTAATTCTTTAGCATGGTTGGCACAATGGGGAAGGTTGCACACTCCTTTAAAGACTTTAAAGTCTTGACAACGGGCCCTGCGCGTTTCTGCCTTCCCAAAATATTTAATGTGGGAACTCTTCCTCAACCTTCTGGATGGGCTTGACCCCCAGCTCGTGGCCTGCAGGGAGACAGGACTCCGATACCTAGAATTCCCAGCTAGCACCAGGTGGGGAAAGGATGCTCTAGGTTTCCTTTGGCTCCTATTGGGAGTGCTTGTACCTTTTTTTTGAGGGCTTGGAAAATTCAAATTTCTGCTTAAATTTGGAGAGAAACAGAAGGCTTGAGACACACTGGCTGAGGAATTCTGGGAGTTGAAGTCCACAAGTCATAAAAGGGCCAAGCTGGAAGACCTCTCCCCACTTCAAGTCTTTAAAAAAAGACTTTGGGGAGGCCAGTGCAACAGGTGAGAATGTCTAAATTCAGCCTGTAACCCAAAACATTTCTTGCTGAAGGAATCCCCTTTCAGTAGAAAGTTAGCACCTCGGGGTTAAGGCTTATTATATTCTCCTGGGAAGCTGAAATAACTTTTTTTTTTTTTAAACTTCCTGGGTAATTTTATTCCTAGAGCAGCTCCAGATGGTCAGCTAGGGTGAAGGGAAGAGTGTGGTGTCCTACTTGGATTTTCATTTTAGAGTTTGGAGAAGGTCCCAGAATAGAGAGATCCCTGGGGCTTGGAGAAAAGAATTTAAATAGCGTCATAAGCAAAGGAAAAAGACAAGTGGAACACAGGTAGTCCTCAGTTTATGACCACAGTTACACTGCTGAGACTTGATTTTTTTTTTTGCCCGGTTTTACAACCTTTTTTGCACTAGAGTTGTTAAGGAAATTTATTTATTTATTTATTTGCAGTTAAGAGGATAATATGGTTGTTAAATGAATCTGATTTTCCCATTGCTTGTCAGAAGGTCACAAAATGAGGATCACACGACCCTGGGACACTGCGACGGTCATAAATATGAGCCAGTTGCCCAAAACGGTCATAAGTCGCTTTTCCCAGCGCTGTTGTAATTTT